TAAGGAAATATTATTATTATATATTTATTTTGACAATCAAATTAAATGTAATACCAAGTAATCACTGATTACATTATAACAATTTTATATAATAATATTATATTTTAAATAATGGTTTGCTATAATTATTGGAGCTTCAAGGTTTTACGGTTATGCAAGAAAATATTTCCAACATTTGAATAGGTACTTAAATGCAAACAACAAAGCAAAACACACTAAAAAAACACATGTTTTTGATAAACAACAAACCGTAAAATGTTATTATATCGTTTGTAAATTTTGCTAGTACGCACCATACAAGTTTTAACAATACATATTGCATAAAGCATTGAAGGTTCCTCCAAAAGAAGTTAAGTGTGTTAAAACAGATATGATATCTACAGTTGTGTATCTTAACACTCTAACTTTTATTATAGAAAACTTGTCTGCAAAAAATAATGAATCTGTACAAGTTTCCCAAAAAAAACCTAGACGTATCGATGCGAATCTGTACTAGACCGTACTTTAGACATTTCATTCTGTGCTGGTTTGGCCCTTGCTTGATTTGGACTGTGCTTGATTTAGACTATGCTGGTTTATACTGTGTTTGGTTCAGACTGTGTCACACATTTTAAGTTTTACGATAAGAGAACTATTGTATTTTACAAATATAATTGAGTAGTTTTACAATGTGTAATAAAATATATTATACAAATATTACAAGCAGTTAAAATGAAAAAAAAACGTTTTTGATAAATTATGTTTTCAATTTTGCCCTTCTTATATGTTTTGTATTATGCAGTTGGACCATCGTTAGAGACCATCTGGTTAAGAAGTATAAAGACCATTTGAAGGAAATATGACAACAGCTGGTTATTAAGAAAATTACACTTTGACAGTGGTAAATTTCTAGGACGTTATGTGTTTCGTTAAATGTGTATCGTTCAACGATACGTTATGTGTCGTTTGACAATGTAGATAAAAGACAAACAACTGCGACTGAATCATCGGTCAATAAGTATTCGAAAATATTTTCAATGTATTATTATTTTAAATTTTAGTGTGATTTTGTATATACAATTTATTCCCACATTCATACGCGATAACCAATTAAAACAAATATAATAGGTTAGGAATAATCATTACATTGTTATAATAATTACAATCATACTATATTCAGATACCATCAAATTAGTACACGCTCAACCCTCGTTTCTTTTATTGTTAGTGTTTTTTAATGTTTGAATTTGCTCGCAAGATAGTACCATATTTTTACAAATGTTGTATAAAAACCAATAATAACACTTAAAAACATATTTTTCACCTACGTGTATCTTTTTCTAGAAAACAAATTTTTTATTATTGTGTTCACATTAATGTAAATGAAATAGGCTGAGCCTTTAGTTGAACAATTATAAGATGTTTCCAAAAAAAAAGATTAGCCAATATGTTTTATTAAAATGTAACCATTACATATTATGATTTACACTTAAAAAACAAAACTTAAATTAAAAAATTGTTTGTAGATATAAAAAGGTTCTGCTTTAAAGTATTCCCGGAGTCCGATTAATTAACTACTGTTGTCACTCAGGATTTTGCTTTAGTCACGGTGACACTAGCAATTTATTGACAATTCCTAGACTATTAGGCAATATGGTATATCGTTCATGCCATACTATTAAGCAAAGCGTACTGTTAAAACTCGAACAAATAATGTTGTTAGAACACTTAGAAGCGACTGTGGTTTAGAGTATTTAAATGCCCAAGTTTTAGCCACATTGGAAGATCTTGGTATAAAACATGAAACTAGTGTACACAACTCAACATAAAGGAAAAACAGAACGAACTTTTAAAACCAAATATTAAATTTTCAGCTGTTATAGCTGGATAGATGTTTAAAGTTATACCATAATTATAGTAACCATTGCCTCAATATTGTGTTGTATCTGAAAAAGAATTTTGGTTACTCAATAGTTTTTAATGACAATTATAGAGCTATTATTTATATTATTTTAATTTTCAAAGTTGATGCCAACTAAGTTGCGTAAAAAGTTAATTTTTAAATTGTTTCTATATATATGTATGTATGTTTTTCTTATTTATATCTTTGTTATATTTTATTTTTCGATCGCAAAACTTTGGATATGAAAAATAATACCAATAGTTTGCGAGCACACCGCATGGCCTATCAAAAACATGCTTTGGGTAAACAACGAAGGTATTTTGATAAAAGATATAAGTATATCGACCTATATAATATACAAAAAACAAAGACATATAAACCAAACACCTTTCGATTTGTTGTGTAAACAACGATGGTATTTGTATGAAAAGAAATCGAGTCGCACTAGTACGTTGGAAGTCACATCTACAAGTTCGAGTAAGTAAAGTGTACGTAATTTTCTTTTATTGATGATAGTAAATGTTTGATATTAATGTCTTTAATTATTTCACAGATAAAGCTACTGTAAGAGGCGACAAAATGGCTGTGTTGAACACGTGGTACGTAATGTTGTTATTTTTTATAACGCAAATTCCCTACCAGTCGTACGGTGACATAACGAAAAAAAATGAATATTTAGACAAATTATTAAGCTTACAGTCTTTAGCTACCGGTTACATTCACAAACCCAACCAACACAAACGCCAAAAACTAGAAAAGGAGTGGTCCTCAGAATTGTATAAAAAAATAGTCCACTTATACGACGAACTGGAGTGCGGTTATCTTTACAACGCTCAGTTTCATTTTAAATTGACGGGCGATGCAATTTTCGACAACGACGAAAACGTTCTCACGTCGGAGACAATTGAGGATTTTTCGTTCGTAAAAGAAGCGAACATTATGGTCAATTCGATGTTGGATCCGCAAGAATACTGGATAGACGATCTATAGTTACTATACATATGCGCTCGTCAAATAAGTAATTTCTTTGGGCAGATTGTCAAAGGCGGTAAGTCAAAGTCTGAAATTTTAAAAGAAATTAAATTTTTGCACGATTACGTGCTGTCCATAATAAAGGAACACGTCAAAAGCTGTAATTCGAGAAACTGTTTCAATATGAAATCCATTCAACACTGGTCAATCGCAGACGACCCACATATAAAAAAACATCTCTTATTATTTCATGGAATAAATGCTCAAACTTTCGGTGGAAACAATGAAGGCGTGATGAATGCAATAAGAAGGAACAAACAGTTACTGTATGAAAACTTCAATGCAAACCGGGATAAGAAAATATTGGAGTTCTCGACGACAGAATTTATTTCGTACGAGTTGTTGCTATTTGAAAACGAAAAATCTTGCAAATTGTTTTTTGACGAATTTTTGATGGCCGATTCCGAACCTGTCGACTTTCGGTTTCCAAGCGAATTGACGGGAATCAGATTACTTGGAGAGTACCAGAATAGGGTAATCGGCACATTGAAAATAATAATGTTGCATATTATATTTCCATATACCGTTTTGATTACCGATGTACAATCCTCTAAACTCAATTTATCCAAAGATGAAATATTAGCTAAATTTTTAGACTCTATAGACAAGTTCAAAGACTTATTGGCGTTGAATAACAACTGGGAATTTACAGACAACTTTAGAAACCCTAAGAGTTATGAAGCAAAAATTTTTTTTGAACCTTCCTTAAAACACATAAAATGGTTAATTCTGAAAATCTCATTAAAAAATAAATTACCCAAAATTAAATCGACAGTGACCAAAAGCGACCAATCTGAACCCTTAAAACACATTCTTGAAGTAGGCACAAGATTTGTAGAGAAAATTGAAAAGGAGATTGGAAAACGTTCAATCAGAATGGTGCAATCATTTTTAAAAATGATTGACCAAAAATTTCCACCACAGCCCGATGTTTTATATTAAAGATGATACATGTCTATGATAAGATGTACATTATATGACTTTGATTGTCCCTTATATTCTATATTATATAATCATAAAAACAATTGTTCGTATTGAAATTAAGGCACATTTTATTTTTTACGCACCTAAAGGTATTTTTTTATTTGGTCGTAGGAATATAAAAATAAATACAAATAAATATCTATTCAATAATATATAGCGTACTATTTAATATACCCATATCCGACAGGGAAACTTGTAGACTAAGCGTCACAAAATAAAACATTTGTTGCTCTCAATAGTTTTTTTGCCAAATAACTAACAAATAAGATAACACAAAAATAATTTCGTGATTTATTGATTATTTATACATTACGAGGTATAATTTCTTCCGCACATTTTGCATACGTTTAAAAACTGACTAATAGAGAATTTCCTGTCCAAGAACAGAAATTTGACGTTTGTAGTAGTTCAGAGTATCTCAGAGGAGCAAATGAATTATGGCAACCATGTTGCTAGTTGTCGATTAGTAAAAAATGGTGCAAATTGATATCAGTTAATGGTTGTTTGTCCGATTTTGAATTCATACTATTTACATGAAACCTGTCTTACGGTTTAAATGCAAGTATCTGTGTGATAATTTGTCACAGCGACATGGCAGCAGCGTTTATCAGCAATTGTATTACTATTATTATTATTATTATTATTATAAATATTATAAAAATCAACAATCGACAATGCTTTGATAAGGCATAATAGACAAAAAAAAAATAACATACAATACAGAGAATTCAGGGAGAGATCCAGGGCTTTACATTTTTACGCTGCGGCAGCTGTGTCAAGTTGGTCGTGTTTGAGCAGCCGTCATGTGTGTACGCGTTTCTGGCCGATCCGCGATAAAGTGAGTACATTAGAAAATTGCAGTGCCCGTTTTTTGTGCTTTACGGGTAAAAAATTTAGCCTAACAATTTAACGGGTAAAAAATTTCGGCCCAACGGTTCGAACGCGGGCCCAAAATCGAACTCTTTTATACGTGGTAAATACGCGTATTTAAAGTTTGTTCAAATTGTAAAATAGCGTGTATGTAATAATAGTGTTATAATATATTATCACGGGCGTTAATGCAACAGTTGTCGACACATACGGTGGACGGGCCCAAAGTCAAACTCTAATAACTCGGCCCTGGGTGGTCGCAGAACCGCGATTCGAAGAAGCACGGATAAAGTTCCTTCCAAGGAACACGAAAAGCCAAGTCGGTAAACCGTAAGTGATAAAGCTTTTGCTTAATTGTGCTTTTTAATTTAGTGCTGAGCCGGCACGCGCCGTCGCGGCGTCCAATTACATATTTGACTGTAGGCCGCGGAATTTCAGCGGCGCGCGGAAAGTAGGCCGTGGAACTAGGCCGTGTTTACAACGCGTGTCATATGCGTTAGGAATTAATTTCCTTGCTGTTTTTTTTTTTTATTATTTAATTAAAAATTTCATTTTTGGAGAAAGAGTAAAATAAAAAAAAACATAATAATAAAATACAAATAACGGTAAACGATGCCGTGGCCGTTTAGCTCAAAGCATATTAGCGCTTCGAGCACACCAAAGGGTTCGAGGAGGGCACCAAGGACGGAGGCCATAGTCATTGGCCCAATCCCCAGCAACATGAGATGCTCGGACGTCATGGGCAAGATCATGGCAGCTGTAAACCTCCAGTCATTCGGGGTGTCCATAAAAGGCACAAGAAGGACCCAGAGCGGAGCGGTGCTGCTTCAACTGAAGGGCACCTGCGATCAGGCGGATGGAGTGGCCGAGGAGATAAGGAAGGCTATTGGCTATTGGCCAGTCCATCAGGGTCGGCAGGCCTAACAAATTAGCGAGCGTCCTCGTGCTCGATGTCGAGGAGTGGGTCGGAGCAGAGGACATCAAAGAGGCCACCAGGAGCATCGTTAAGGACGGCCCAGCGGCAGCCCACTGGAACGACGTGCGCCTTCCGGTGGTATCGAGGGGCAAAGATGGGACCAAAGGAGTAGCCCACTTATTGGCCCCGCTAAAGGTAGCCGCACAATTGGTCGAAGCCAAGAAACTAAGTGTCAAATGGACAACTTGTCGCGTCAGAGGACAAGGGTCCGCGATACTTCAGATGTTTGGAGTGGGGCCACACGTCCACCCACTGCAACGGACCAGACCGGTTGGGACGGTGCTTCCAGTGCCATAAAGAGGGGCACGCAGCGAAGGACTTCCAAGAAAAAGCCGAAGTTAATTCTACCACTAACCCACCGCAAGAGAAGAGAAAGAGGAAGAGGAGGAACAGGACCATAACCAACACCTCCAGGCGGCCAGAAGGTGCAAGCAAGGGAAAACCATCGATCAAGGAGAAATCTGAAGGCGACCGAACAACGCGACGTTGTTTCAGATGCCTGGGAGTTGGACACCTAATGAAAGGTTGCACTGGCCCAGATAGGAAGGGTGGTTGCTGTAGATGCGGGTCGAAAAACCACAAGATCATCGAATGCAAGGCGTCCAAGGAGGACCGCAAGTCGTTCGACGAGCTAACAAAATAACCACCCCTGCATAAAAAGAAGATCTCGGTGGCAATAGAGGACATCGACGCCGAGGATGAGGTGTCCTTTTTGGAGATGGACCCAATGCAGGGTCCTTCTACCGGCCAGCCCGGTGTATGAGGCTCCTCCAAACGAACCTCAACCATTATAGGCTGGCCCAGGACACCCTGGCCCAGACGATCGCTGAGGAAGCGATCGACGTGGTCATAGCCTCTGACCCGTACAGGCAGGCACACGGAGTCGGTGGCTGACTAACTAGTACCGACACTGGTCGAGCGGCCCTGCGAGTGTTCGGGACAGGAGGCCCTGGGATCAGACTGTATCAGCAACACGATCCTGGCGTCGGTCTACAAGGCAGACCCCGACTTTGTAGCCGACACGCTCAACGCCTGCCTCAAAGCAGGAAGCTTCCCCACCCGTTAGAAGCAGGCCCGAGTGGTGCTGCTTCGTAAGGGCCAAAAGCCGGCCGGTGAGCCATCATCGTACCGCCCTTTGTGCCTCCTGAACGACGTGGGGAAGTTGATGGAGATCTTACTAGTTCGTCGACTGGAGAAACACCTCGAAGAGAGAGGTGGACTCTCCGACCGGCAGTTCGGCTTCCGGAAGGGAAAGTCGACGAACGACGCAGTGTGTTTGCTCTGGGATGAGGTCCAGACAGCGATGAACGCGCGCAAAGTATGTGTGGCTGTCAGCTTAGACGTGAAGAACGCGTTTAATTCGATCGGCTGGTGCCACATCATGTGGGCGCAACAGGAATGGGAGGTGCCGCTGTACCTGCAGCGCATCTTCCGGCCCTATTTCTCGGAGCGAGCAGCCAGGGTCGCGTGCCCAACAGCTGACGATGGAGAAGTCACCATCGAGGTATCCTGCGGCGTTCCACAGGGTTCGGTGGTTAGTCCGACCTTGTGGAACCTTACGTATGACGCGGTGCTGCGAGCCGATCTACCGGACCAGTCGACGGTCATCGGTTTCGCGGACGACACGTTGATCATCGCCTCCGGCAAGACGGTCGAGGAGGTGGAAGATAGGACAAACCGAGCTCTGTGTGCGGTGGCAGCAAAGTTTTGGGAGCTGGATCTCCAACTCGCCGTCGAGAAGACGGAAGCGGTGATGATCAGGCGCAGGTACAAGGTTAGCGATCCACGTATCTTCCTGAACGGGGTAGAAGTTAAGCTAGGAGAGACGATCAACTATCTTGGAATGCTAGTCGACCGCAAGCTTAACTTCAAGCAGCACGCCAAAGCCACGGCGGTTAAAGCGCAGGGTGCGCTCACGTCGTTGACTAGGCTTATACCTAACATCGGCGGCCCCCGTGAGCCGAGGCGGAGGCTACTCGTCAGTGTCGTCCACTCCATTCTCCTCTACGGAGCACCGGTTTGGGCCAGCGGGCTAAACCAAGCCAGAGTAGGGGAATTGAGGAAGGTGCAGCGCAGAGCTGTACTTCGCAGTGTCTGCGCGTACCGCACCGTGTCGTACGACGCAGCCAACGTACTGGCTGCGATACCGTCGATCGATCTGCTGGCGATGGAGCGAGAAGAGGCGTTCCGCCTCCGCCGGCAAGCAGAAGAAGGATCCGGACAACGGGCCCCCCTCAGGACTGCTACCCTCGGCAAGTGGGAGGACAGACTTCGGACAGCAACAGGAGGTGAGTGGACGAGAACGCTCGTCACTGACCTCCGGAAATGGGTTGGACGAAAGCACGGGATGATGGGCTACCGCCTAACCCAGTTGTTGTCTGGGCATGGGTGCTTCAACGAATTCATCCACAGGATCGGCAAAGCATCCAGTCCATCATGCTCACACTGTGAAGGCATGGTGGACAGTGTCTATCACACGCTAGTGAAGTGTTCGGCCTGGGAGTCCCAAAGGCGGGACCTCCAGGACGTCGCCGGTGAAGTTGTCCCGGAGACACTGGTCGCCAACATGACTGCAAGCCCTGATGCGTGGAACGCGGTCGCCCGCTTTGCCGAGTCGGTCCTCAAAGAGAAGGAGGAAGCAAAGAGGGCTAGACAGTGGCCGGCCAATTGAGAGCCCCGGTGTGCAAGGGTGGCGTGTGCGCGCGTCACTGGCCCGGAAACATGCCACCGGGGATTGGATTGTACATAAACCTGTATAGACTAATATAATTGAGTGTAAGTAAACTTGTAACTAAATTTCGATCTGGCCTAATGTGAATATTGTTATTAGGCCACCACCCAGAGTGAGTGTGTTAGTTTTTAAGTTCATGTTTGTATTTATTGTTTACTATACCCAATAAATGGCATCGGAGACTGGGGGGAAGTAATGCCTCACAGGGCGCGTCCCCCCCCCCGGTATTCTATGGGTGCATGTGGAAAAAAAATAAAGCTGTGTCAAGTTATCTGGCAACGACTGTTATGACCGTGTTTTATTGGTGCATTATTTATTGCCAAAACGTTGAAATTTGTTTTTTGCCGTACGTACAAGGCTATTCAGTATTTGGTTTTAAAGAAACGTTACTTAACAAATATTTAAATGCTAATTTTTTTTCACAATAAGTTGGAATTTTAGCTCGGAGATATAAGTTATCATGTATTTTGTAAATATAATTGGTTTGAATAATCATAGATAATAATTATTAGTAGTAATTATTTATGTAAGTAAATTAGTATTAAAACAGTTTTAAACGTTTTTAAATTTATATAAGAAAGGTACTATACAGAGCAGCAGTTTTTACCAAAAACAAACAACAATAGTATTTATATAAATTTATTTAATTAAAAACCTTTTTTTCGACACGTTGGTAAAATACTACTTTAATCTCGTGTCATCCCAGACGTTTTTAATTTACATAGATACACATAGTCGATACGATATTTATTGAATGTGATAATAAGGAACGTGTACAAATGAACACGTAGACTATATCTCAAAATTGTACAAGGGATTTCATTAAATAGGTAATATATTTTCTTTAAAAAAATAATTACATGGTAGAACAGTTTAAAAAAAAAATATATGAACGCATCTGTGTATACAAACATTTATAAAATTATATATGATTCGAAAATAATTTAAAAGCAATAATTGAAAAAATGTAACAAATATGTGCAGCGTCATTTTTTGATCACGGGCCGCTCAATATCTCACTGGGTTTACTTAATAATTTAATTATTTTTTCATAGTAATTTCATATAATATGCCCACAATTTCCCTATAATGATAATGTTCCTACCCCAAACTAATTATTTTCATATCAACTTTTGAAACTTGAATGGTAACGAATACATTTTATTAAATTTTAAAATTGAGAATATAACACTAACAATTTTGACGGTTCAAGTTGCTATTAATAAACCTAATCTGAAAGGGGATAAGAAAATAACAATTTGCGGAAAATCGAGATTACATTATATGAAAACATTAAGAAAAAATATATATATATATATAATTATTGATTAAACACAGTAAGATGTAGTTGCCAACGATAAAAAAAGTCACCTGTATATGATTTTTTTTTTTTATTATTAAAAAACCACAAGTGTCACGTTAGTTTTTATAAATTATTATAGCGCTGCGTATATTTTACATATTTGATTTTACTTCTTTGGTTGACAAGTCAACACACCGACATTACGACTAGTTGCTAGAAAATCACTAACACAAAAAGTAAAACAAGCTTTTAGTATTCGTATTTTTCTTATAAGTTTCATTTTTTAATTGTTTCGTTAATATTATCCAGCACTATGAAGCTTCTCTGTATTTTAATAACGCTTGCCATTGTGAACGTTTCGCCAATTATGACAGGTAATTATGTGAAATTTTACACGTACCTTTTCAAGGTATTTAAAAATCTGAATAGAAAATTCAATATTTAATTATTTCTCATAGCGGAATATGCAAATTCGGTTCGCACTACAAGTCAGTATTAAATTTTCAAACGGTACAACATTTTTATTTATTTTATCATATTTATATATAAGTTTGAATAAATGTATTACAGACAAATATATCAGAGCGGCTTTTGATGCAGGTAAGCTTCATATGGGAATTATTTTACTCAGCCCTGGCTGACTAAATGATGGGCAACGCCGGGGTCCGGACAGCTTGTACTGTGTAAATACTAAATTTTAAAAATTAAAGGAATAAAGGCAATTCCTATAATTTACATAGAAAGTACTTAGCTTTACAAAATTACCATTCAAGTGGATTGCATGCGGTCTTTCCATAAAAAAAAATAGGTTTTAAAAAATTTCGACTATTTCTGTTTATTTACCAGTTAATTTGTACAAATATCAAGGTATTATTTTTAATTTAAACACATTATTATGATTTCATTTGAAATTGTGTCTATAGCTCTAACACTATTTGCTTATAGATCCTACTGGATTGGAGAGGGCAATTTCAAATATTGTTAAAGATGATGATATAACGATAGGTAATCATTATTTTTTTTTTTTACAAGTTTAACGGGATTTATCAATCAATATTATTACAATTTCAGACACACTTAATTTGATGTTGGTTACGCCGGGTAATAATATTTCTTATCACTTCTTGGACTTATTTCCAAATAGATGCTTGATAATAATTAATAACTAATTTTGGCATAACATATTTTCGTTTTAATTTCAGAAAAAGCAAATTTCTGGTTTACAATTGAACATGGTAATCAATGTTATATACTACTAATACTTTACACAGATTTTTATCTAAAAAATAATTCCTTTAGATTTTAGATCTGTACCTCAAATCTAGATAGTACCTCGGGTTTTTTCGTTTGATTATCATGGAAAATATTAATTTTTCACTGAAAAATTTTAGTTTGAAAAATATGTCATCTCTTTCATTTTTCTGACAAAATCCAACGTTGTCTATAAAAAAACTGGTCTTGAGATTTATTAAAAAAAAAATTGTAATTAAAATCTAACAAATTAATGGGTATATATTTAATATTTAACAAATTACAAAAATATTAAATCCTGACGTGCCGTTTGTGAATAGCCTGTTTTTCAGGTCATTCTTCTTCTATGTATCTTAAAATTTACTTATTGTTATGAAATTAAAATTGTAAAGTTTTTTATAAAAAAAAAATTATTGGGCATATGTGTACATTGGTTCATAACATATTTTTGTTTTAAATTTAGATGAACCATTTATTAATAACTTACCAGGTAACCTATTTGTATATATTTTATATACCTACTACTAATACTTTATACACCTTTTTATACAAATACATTTAATACGGTTTTTGTTTAAGTACCTTGTGATTTTTTTAAATTTTATCAACATGGGAACTTTAAATTTTTCCTAGTCTAAAATATTATGATTTCTGTCATAAGAAAATATATTGTATAGTATTTTTTTGTATTTCAGAACATATTGCCATAGCTGATCAGGTGGCAGTGCAAAAAGCAATATCCCAAGTTACAAGTAAATATAAATTTTAACACAATTTTTAGAATAATTTTCAAAATTCATAATTACTCAGGTTTAACCAAATTCGATAAATTTATAATAATAATTTAAAGTTATAGAGCTATATTATGTTTTTTGATACAAGTCTTGATAGTCTATTGAAATAGAACGCTAACCAATACATTTTTACATTGATTAGGTAAATGTGTGTTTTTTACTGGAAAATAATAAAAATTTGTATACAGGAATTCCTGTGCCTCAACTTGGTCCCAACGAAAGTAAGCAAGCATTTAATAACTGCCGTAAATAACCCTTAAGTCTCAGTTTATAAGCCAATAAACCAATTCTTTTAGCTTCGATGCAAAGCGAGAAGGTATTGGTTTTACTCTGATGTGTGTTTTTTTTTATCTGTATACACTGTAACTTCTTTAATACTGGACCAATTCTTTCGAACAGCAACTCTATAAATCGCAATTTTCATCTAGTTGGTACTTTGGGGGGGGTAAAAGTTGAAAAAGTTTAATTCTTCACAGACGAAAGTTGAAAAAACAAAAAAAAAACCGTACGAGTTTTTAAGTTAGAACTTTTACTGGCTATTATTTCGAGAAAAAGAGTCGGATCGAGTTGAAATGTATAAGAAATAATTATTTGGTATGCCCGCACACGTCAGTTGTGTCAAACTTAAACTATACCCATTTCCCACCCCCCTAGGGGGGGTACAATTTTTTTTGTTTTTCCGGGTTTTTAGCGGTAATTTTAAAAATTTTGGGTTGAAAATTTGGCAGTAGTTGAAACTCATATGTACTCATAACATATTAAACGGGAAAAAAATTCGGCACTACAGTTTTTTTTTAATTGCCGGGAAACTGTGTTTTCGCAGATTTCGTATATTTTAACAAAAACACCTAAAATCTTTAAAAAAAATTGATCAAATCATTAAAACAATTTTATTTATATCTATGCAGAATGATACTATTAGGTTTTGTGCTCAAGTACCACTTTTGACTTAATGTTTACACAAAGTTCATTTTTTTTTTTTTTTTTTTTAACTTAAAACGTGGTGTACCAGATGTGAGAAACGAACAAACACTAAAATTTATCAGTTGGTAACGTCTATCCGAGTTAGATTAGGTTAGGGCCCAATGATCGGTATCATAATATTGTGTTTATTACATGATATCACAGGCGACAAAAATCGTGTAACTGCTTATAGTAGACACTCGATTTATTGGGGAAAAAACCTGTCCGTGTACTTATTAAGACACTTAATGATTCTGATACGACAAAACCACTGTCGTTATCTCGTTATTTTATAGCCTGCGTTATATAACCTTACCGAAGGTTAACTATGAGTATATAAGGTCCATCTACCTGCAAATAATGAAGAGGACTGTTGTTTTTTAGATTCAGATTAAGTGTTAGTTTTTATGCAGTATACCGCCTCAAAATGTTTTTTTTTATTACACAATTTTTTTAAAGGAAAACTAATGTTTTGTATATTGTTATACTGTTATTCATTTAAAGAGATTCACGCTTGATTGTTTGAATTGTCTAATATTAGATAATCTGCTTCGTGCTTATTTTAATTTTTTAGTTTATTAACTTGTATCTCTAATTTTGTATAAAATATTTCATTATTTTATTACTATGTACTATTACTATTAAGATAAATTTTAATAATAATTAAGTCATAAATGATAATATTTTATTTTATGGCTAGATCAAATCTCGTGAACATTTAACATCATGATACTGCTCCTATTCTATTATTAAAAAACAAAATTTTTAAAATCTCCATAAAAGGTTATTGTTAAATAACAGGCAACAGCCGACCGCTAGTGGCTATACACGTTAGTAATATTTAACTTATAAGTAATATATGTAGGTAAAATTTATTGTTTTCTCCATCACAGTACCAGAATACGATTTATTTTAATTTAAATGTAAGAAAATCGATTTTTCTTTAGAAAATAACAAGAAATTAATATACAGGATGAGGCAGTAAAACGGCGATTTTCTAATGTATTTAAATGGTAAAACTCGTTTCACTATCCCACCCTTTACATTTTAAGTATCTTTGAAAAGGTTTTTTTAGTTGCATTTTATTTTGTTCATTGTCAATCTAGTAAAATAGAAGTTTAATATAGCTTTGAAATAATATAATCTATGAAGTATAAATAGTTTGTGTGAGATTGCTTTAATGGAAGTATATAATACATAAATATTAATTTTATTGAGAATAAGCGATTATAATTTAAACTATGGAGTACAAACGATTGGAACATGAATCGTCGACCATTCCAACAAAACATAACAAGACATTGTATATGTGTTATTTGGTCCAATAAGTTTTTGCAAAAAAAAAAAAAACCAGTACAGTGGGGTCGGTGCATAGTGGGGACGGAACATAGTTGGGTCGGGGCATATTGGGGATGGGGAGGTCACAGGTTTACAGAAATTTTTAAATCTGAAAGTGATAAAATCACTTTCGAAAAAACGCTTCGATGCAAATCGGTAGTTAGTATTTTCAAGCCAGTACAGTCCAAACCAAGCACAGTATAAACCAGCAAAGTTAGAAAGTTTTAAATGAAGGTTCTGTATTTACAAATGAGCATCAAAGCGTTTATTTGAAAGCGATTTTATTCAATTTTATCACTTTTATTTATAATAATTCTTGTAGACATGTGACCTCTCCGTTTCCTCATTGCTTTGATTACATTATGCCAATACTCTACTGTACTAGTCCTCTCGGATAAAATCACTTTCAAATTAACGCTTTGATGCTTATTTGTAAATACAGAACCTTCATTTTAAACTTTCTAACTTTGCTGGTTTTTACTGTGCTTGGATTGGACTGTACTGGCTTGAAAATACTAACTACCGATTTGCATCGAAGCGTTTTTTCGAAAGTGATTTTATCACTTTCAGATTTAAAAATTTCTGTAAACCTGTGACCTCCCCATCCCCAATATGCCCCGACCCAACTATGTTCCGTCCCCACTATGCACCGACCCCACTGTACTGGTTTTTTTTTAATTTAATTTTTTAACACTTTAACTAACTTTTTTGGTTTTACAGATTTTGAGAATGATTCATTGGCACGGCTTGGACAAGCCAGAAGATGTATAACTGGAAAAGTTACAAAAAAATTACTTATCGCTGCAATTGGTAAATATTAATATTTTGTGTAGATCGGAAATAGATAACTTTTAATTATAATATTGTTCTACTTGATGTACCAGTCAAATAATACATTTTTAATTTATACATACCTTATAATAATAACACCAGCTGATATTCGGTCTCTTTTTAAGAAAGTATTACCGTTTGATTTTTTGGAGACCAGCATAGTGTCGGTCCTAAATCTTTTAAATAAATACCCAACAATGGATTTTCTATCATTGACGTTATTTGAGATTTCTGTATCAACATATCCCAATAAGTGGCTTACTCCTTCACTTGTTGTGAAAATGAGACCAACAGCAGTAGTAACCTTAGTGCTTTTTTAATTTGATAAAGTTTCAAGTATAAACATTGATCAGAGTTATTTCCTACCAAGTGGTTGATATTTTATGATTTAATTAAATATTTTATCCCAATATGAGGAGATTGTTTGAGACCACGCAACAACTTATTTATATTACATACTATATTTTCTCTATCGACAAAGCCCTATGATTGTCTCACTTATAATCTTCTTCGATTATTCCATTCAAAAAGGCTGTTGTCACGTCCATATGAATAATATTCATGTTCTTGTGTACTGCTAGTGCTTGTAATCTGCCAACAGTCACTATGGTGAAGACAGGCGTATACGTTTCAATATAATCAAAGCCTTTACTATGATTTACCACTCAAATAATAAATTTAAAATTTGTACACATTTCAACCTGTAATCTTTTTTCAGGTTCTTCATACGTTTAAATGTTTTCTTCGTCGATATTTTCTTCTGTTATTTCAACATTTTCTAAATCAATGATTGAATTTGAACAATTCATTTTCATTAAAAATTACCATCGCGACTTACAAAAATAGTTCTTGTTTAATGGTTGCTTAATCTATAGTGGCTTAATGCGTAGCCAACCAGTATACATTTTTTTGAATCTAACTTACGCATATTTGGTTAGAAATGTGTGCAAAAGCCACACATCCGATTGTTAATTTATCAATTGAATGTGTTTCTATTTCCGTAACAATATTGTTGTATGTGTTCGATATTGTTAACAAAAAATGAAATATAATATCTTCTTTTTCTAATTTCACATCAACTATCTTATTATTTTATAAAATCTAATAAAATAACCTTCAAGGCTGGTATCATTTTAATGTAATTAGTCGCCTTCATAAATATAGTTGTCTAGCAACACTTTCACGCTCCAAAGTCTAGCACACTAATGAGCACACAAATTTTTATAGCCTTTATTGCATCTCTTAAACTTATTGTTCTAAATTGTATTAGACTGTACAAATAAAAGTTAAAGAAAGAAAAAAAATCCATAACAATTTCTCAAAAAAAAAAAGTTCTGAAGCAAACTTCGGTTATTCTTGCTTAAATGTATTTTAATAAATTTCATTCCAAAATAGATTAAATAAAATAGGGTGTTTTTTATGGGTAATCATTTGTTTTTATGTTTTCGCTTATACACGTGTATTAGTTGTGTTTTAACAAAAAACAAAAGTATATACCTATAAGCTAAAATTGACAAATTTTTAAAAATAATTTGTTTTATAATTTTTAAGATGAAGGGACACCAGAATTCCCAAACTTTACCAAAATATGCCGTCTAATAGCTGTGGCTCGATCTATGGAATTCCCAGATTTATATATAAAAACTGCTAGTGTTGATCAAGCTGGTCATGTTTGCACGTTAACTTCACAAAACGACAATAGATTCCTATACATACCTTATAACGGCTTTATTGCTCAGGTATGGCCAGTAGGTCCTGATCCTAATGAATATGTGAATGTTTTAGAAGTGATAAATGATTGGTATGAGTACATAGTATATTGCACCTAATGTTGTTATTTTAATTTAATAGTATTTATGTCGAACTTGTAACTAAACTGTCACTTAATTCAATGTAGTAAAAAATAAACAATTTCTTTCATTGATATTAAATACTCTTAACCACTTGTGTTTTTATTAAACTTTGTTCATTGCAGTGTAATAAAACGGAATTGAAATAATAATCCAACATAAACCTAACAGTGAAAAAGGGCCATGTTCCAGACTCCTTTCCAAATGATTCAGCCTATTCATCTTTAATTGACTTTTTCTTTAACTATCTACTCATTTCATTGATTGACTTTATAAATTACTCACAGGTAAATTTTCGTTCACATATAATAGTAAAATCAAACACACATTACTTTTAATTTCTATGTATAAACATTAATCAGAGACTTAGCCTTGATCTTATATGAATTTAATTAAATCTTTTATCCAAACCATGAGGAGCTTGTTTGAGACCATATAACGACTTATTTAGTATGTTAATTGCTGTTTTATTACCCATTGAATATTCTAAATGGCTATCAACAACACATTGCACCATAACGACTTGCATTTCTTGTTGTTCTTTACCCACTTTGCCGCAAATCGTACTTGATTTAGGGATTGGGCCGCAACTCACCAAAACCGATTATTTTTATCTGAGCGCATTTCCCAACCGCACTTCCCCTCCTATCCTAACTTTAATACTAGTATTACTTTAAAAATAGTTATCCGAAACTGGTTATCGACCAGTCAAAATTTTTAGTACATAATTCTCAACTTAAAAAGTTAATAACATATATACGTTACCATTTAAGTTTCAAAAGTTGCTATCAAAAAAGCTAAGTTGGGAGGGGGGGGGGGTAAAAACAAAAAAGTTGTGGAAAACTGAGATCACATTGTATAACAATAATAAAAAAAACAATTGTTTTATTTCTTGTTGAACCTTATTAGATATTGCGTGGTTCATGATAAAAGAGTCACCCTGTATTGTTATTTGGTTTTCGATCGAACAACTTTGGACAACTTTGCACGCCGCATTACCTATAAAAAAGATCTTTGTGTAAGCAAACAATGTAATTTGATAAAAAGTATAGGTATATCGACCTACATGATTTACACATAACATAGTCCAAAAACGGTGGTAACAATGACGGCGTATTAAAATGCAATTGAAAGGCATAAACAATTACTGAATGAAAACTTCAATTCGAAGAACTGTTTCAATATGAACTCCAATGAACACTGGTCGATTGCAGACGACCCACATAAAAAAAAAAGTCTCTCTTTATTTCATGGAATAAATGCTCAAACTTTCGGTGAAAACAGCGACGGCGTGATGAGTGCAATTAAAAGGCATAAACAATTACTGTATGAAAACTTCAATGCAAACCGGGATAAGAAACTATTGGAGTTCTCTATGACAGAATTGATTTCGAACGAGTTGTTACTATTTGAAAACGAAAATGCATGCAAATGGTTTTTTAACGAATTTCTGGTCACCAATTCCGAACCTGTCTACTTTCGATTTCCAAGAGAGTTGACGGGAATCGAATCACTCGGGGAGTACCAGAATAGGGTAATCGGTACATTGAAAATAATAATGTTGCAAATAATAATGGCATGTATAGATTTTATTAGCGATGTACAATACTCTGTACACGTTATTTCCAATGATGAAATATTAGCCAAATTTATAGGCATTATAGACAAGTCCAAAGACTTAATGGCGTTAATCCACGACTGGGGATTTACGAACATTTTTAGACACTATAAGAGTTCTGCTGCAATCGATGCTCGTAAGAATACATTTATACATTCGTTACCTATTAAAAAACACATAAATTGGTTAATTCTGAAAATCTCAACAAAAAATAAATTACCCAAAATCAATTCGACAGTGACCGATGGAGATCAGCCCAAACCCTTAAACCACTATCTTGAAGTAAGCACAAAATTTGTCGAGAAAATTAAAAAAGAGATAGGAAAACGTTCAATTAGGTTTGTGCAATCGTTTTTGAAAATGTTCGACAACAAATTCCCTGTAAGTCTCAAGGAGGAAGGTTTTTTACAAGAAGGTTATTTTTACAGAAATAAATATTAAAGATGATCCATGTCATTATATGACTGTGATTGTTTGGTTCTTTATCCCTTATAATATATAGTATATACTATATAATCATAAAAACAACTGTTCGTATTACAATTAAGGCACTTTTTATACATAATGCACCTATAGGTAATTTTTATTTTAGTTGTGGTAATATAAAAATTATTAACAAATAAATCTATATTCAATCAAATATTGTAAACTATTTAACATACCTAACTTCGCCCAGGAATTTTGTATGTTAAGCGTCACAAAAAAAAAAACACTTGTTGCTCTCAGCAGTTTTCTTGCCAAAACAACAGCTCAGAAATAAGATAACACAAAAATGATTTTGCGATACATAGACTATTCATATATTACGAGGTATAATTTTATCTAGACATTTTGCATACGTCCAAAAACTGACTAATAGTAGAAGTACCCGTCCTAAAACAGAAATTTGACGTTTGTTGTAGTTCTCAGAGTAGCAAATTAATTCCAGGAACCATGTCATATAGTTGATGATTAGTCAAAAACGGTGCAAATCAATATCAGTTAATGGTTGTTTTTCCGATTCGTATAATTCATATTATTTACATGAAACCTGTCTTACGGTTTAAATGCAAATATCTGTGTACAGTCGTTGCCAGATAATTTGGCACAGCGGCATGGCAGCAGCGTTTATCAGCAAGTGTATTACTGTTATTATTGTTATTTTCTTACATTTTATATAAAATAAACTATCAACTATGCTTCGACAAGGCATAATAGACAAAAAAAAAAAAAATAATAACACAAAACACGGAGAACCCAGGGCTTTGCAATTTCTTGCCTCCGCAGCTGTGTCAAGTTATCTGGTTACCACTGTAATAACCGTGCTTTGTTGGTGCACTATTTTTTGCCAAAACATTGAAATTGTTTGATTCTTTTTTACCGTACGTACAAGGCGATCAGTATTTGGCCATATTTTGTTTTATAGTTTGTGTTTTGAATGTTTGAACTAGCTCGCAAAGTACCTTATTTTTATAATTAATATTATAGCGAATACAAATGTTGTATAAAAACCAATAATAATACACAAAAACATGTTTTTACACCGACGTGTGTGTTTTAGTCAAGTTAACACATTTATGATTATTGTGTTCATATTAATGTAAAGAGGTTCTGCTCCCGAAGTCTTGCTAAGTATTGTCGAATAGTTTAAATAAATTGTCTATGGATTAAAAAACAAAATCTTTTAATCACCAAAACGATGAACTGGTCTAAATTAATTCTGCGACTTGCGAACCTCTTTTAGGCCATACCATTTTTTTTTCACAGTATTAACGTATTATAGTGTAGTTTTTATAAATAGTTATAGTAAAGTACAAAAGAAATAGTATCACATTAAGAGATATTATTATTATTATTATACGAACAATCCTCAACATTACCCCTCCCCCCTCCGGGATCTGCGGAAATCCGAGTTGGCTTAATGCCTTCTTTTTGGTCAAACACAAATAAGACCTGAACATTTCGACTTGATAACTTGAGTAAACTATTAATGTGTGTTAGTATAATACTGTGTTAAAATTACTAGGCATGACGACCGATATAGTTTCCGGGATTTTTATACACCGAAACGGGCGGAAACGTTAAAGAAACATCTTATTCTTAAAGCGGATATCGTTAATTTTATTTCTGGAACTAATAACAACATCAATATACTTCAAAGCTGTTTTACCGGCGGAGTGTTGGATCTTACAATTTACTCCACTAGGCTAAATATTTCTATAATATTATGTTCAATACAAATAATTAACCAAAGTAGTAATCGAACGTGACCATATTTAATAGTTGCGATACCACTAATATTTAGCAAATAATATAAAAGTGAAAACGAGTGGAATCGAGTATTTGAATAAACGACACAACGCGAATAAATTAAATGATTAAACACACTAATATTATCAAACACATGTGGTAATTACAATAATAGTTTATAATATTACATAGAATATAATGAACAATACAATATCCTGTAATCATATTGGGACTCGGACATCCAGGTTGCCCTACAGAGGGTCAGTTGTAGGGGTCATTTCACTATAGAAAGTTTAACATAGAATTAAGTGTAATTGGGTCATGTGGAGAGAAGCGTCAGGTTTTTTATATGATAAGAAATTCTAATGAGACTTAAAGATAAGTTTTACCGGAGTGTGGGAAGATCGACTATGTTGTATGGTTCGAAATGTTGGGAGGTAGACAGCAAAATAAAACAGAGCAGAAATGACAAGAAGAGAAAATAGGATAAGGAACTGATACATAAGAGGTAGCATAGGCATTAGGCGTAGCTTCGAAAGCGGACTAAATGAGAGCAAAAAAAAAAGAACAAAAAGGTGGTTGGATGCGATTGAGAATAATATGACGACTGCTAGTGTATGCGAAGATAGTGTGAGAAATCGAGTCAAATGGAAATTTAGGAATAAAGGTGGCCGACCCAAAATAATTGGAAAAAAGGTGAAGGGGAAGAAGAAGAAGATTAAAGAAATACCATTGAGTATAATATATTGTACAATATGTACTCAATGGAAGTACTAGTAGAAAAAAGGCAGCATAGTGGGGACGGACCAAAGTAAAAAGTCTTCAACAATTATTACAACTAAAAGTGACAAAAATCACCTTCAAATACGCTGTCGGGACTCGAATAGCTATAAATGGTAATAACAATAAACACATAATATAAACCTTTTTATGGAAAATAAATCTGTTCATTTTTGTACAATTTTTTTTAGTGTCATAGTTAAAAAAACGTTAGATTACAGATTTTATTTTGTTTTTGCTTCGGATGCGGAGCTGAAAAGGTAATGTATTTAAAATGTTTTTTTTTGTAACTGGACCTACGATATCTTTTAAACCACTTAACCGATTTCTTCGTGTAGCAACTCTATATGTCAGAATTCGTATCTGAAAGGTACTTTAATAAACCAAAAATTTAAAAAATTCACCTCTTTGCCTTCAAAATCGAGAAAAAAGGCCAAAAGATTTACATATTTTTCACCAACAAATTACGATGCTCTATAACTTTTAAAAAAGTAGTCGAGTTAGTTCCAAAATTTGTATACAGTGTTTAATTTTATTCTACTATCCACAGACTCGCATCGAAGCGTTTATTTAAATGATTATATCACTTTCAATTATAATACCACTCTACTGGTCTTTCTTTAATGGTAAGTAGCATGTATTTAATAAACTCTTCGAGTTGAGAATAACCCACTGAACATTTTGACCAATCGATTAGAGAATTTTTAATACCTACTTACTGTAAAAACAAACAAAAATGTTTGTTTTAAACAAATATAAAAACTGAAACACAAATTAAATATCAAAAAGAAAAACACAGTAAGTAAAACTCACCAGATAATAATATTACATGTTATAAGAATTTTCGCATATGAAACTGAGTAATTAGCTTTTTGGGGAGTTTTATCTAAAAAAAAAAGTTAAGACTACATATATTTTGAAAAAATTGTAAATGTTATGAAACTATCGGCCTATACCTAAAACCACGAAATGTCTACCTCTCCTAAAGGGAGGATTAATGATAATTCCTTTGGTTTTTCACTATATTACGTTAGTACTATATCTACACAAGCTAGGTACATACTCCACACAAGTTAGGAACCAATTTATATATTTTCCTAAAAGTTATAGCGTGTTGTAATTTCAAGTCAAATGTGTACGTTATTAAGGTGTTTTTCTCGTAATAAAAGAAAAGGATACCTATATTTTTTATAATCAGCATTTTAAAAACAATTATTCTCTGTTCTACATCAAAACTAAACAAAAAACTCATCATTGTTAAAACAATACGTTCTCGGAGTTGAATTTTAGCTAAAACAGTCATAGAAGAAAAAGAAGAGAGTAATTAAGCTTAAGTTTACTTATTTTAGACTGTATTAATGGCGGACCCTACTCACCATTAAATTTTGCATAATTTGTTCTATCAAGAACGTTTACCTATAGCATGTACCGGTTACAATTCAAACCCATCTGTACCTTAGCAATTTTTTTTTAACTAGACATCCCTAAGCCTCATTCTAGTTGATTCTATAAAAAAAAGTACTATTTTTTACTGAGTACTATTAGGAGTAAATTAATATTTAATGGTCGCTTGAAATTACTTAGGTAATAGTTAATTATTGTCATATGGTTAGGTTTCATAAAAATACTTGGCGAATAAATACAAATGATAAAACAAATAAAATGTATGAGATATATTATTAATATAAATATAAAATAAGCGTAAGCCAAAGACAGAAATATATATATACATAGTATCTAATGTTAAAGGATCATGCCTTACATTTCTTTTACCTTGTATTCCTATTAAAAAAAATCCTATTTCTCGGTTTACTTTTACAAAACTTATTGTGTATCCATAAGTATGAATCTAAGTTGTACAATATAATTTATAAATAAAATAAAAGTTAAATATCTACAGAGCAAAAGTGTGTTTTCAGTTTTCACACATCAGTTATATTCTCTGAAAATATAATAAACATTAAAGGTCTTATATTCAAAACATCATTGAAACCTTCATCGTTTTTTAATAGCAATAAAGCGTAAGCTATAAAATTTGCAATGTACCTAACTAAGAAATAAGAACAATTGTATTGTATTAAAAACTAAAAAATTATACATAAAAAAATAGAATTATTTTTTCATTATTTTTTCTTACAAGAAAAAATATATTGTATTGATGTACACCATTGGTTACATCCAAGCATATAGTTCCCCCGACAACTTGGTTACAACCAATTTATCAAACGCACAGTGTATATTTATGTCAATAGTAAAATTAAATGTACAAAATATATTTAAGTCTATTTTAATGATAAAGGATATTTTCTTCTCACAAACTGTAAGTATCAATGTAATATAAACTAAAATAGTACATTCAACGGCTATGATAATTGCTCAAAACTTGATAACTGTTATTCAATTGGGTCATTACAATTATCTCAATCACCTAATTGTTAAACACAAAATTATAAACTAAAATATGAAGAATATTGATCAAATTTAATAGGCAATGTATATACTGACATGCTACGATCATCATTTGTATCATCATCGCTGCTTGACATCATTTTACGTTTCTTTCTTTTCGGCTGTGAATCGTCTGTAGTAGTTGATTGTCTATCACTACCTCCCATGTCATCATTGTCCTCATCCTCTTCTTCGTCATCGTCGTAACCTCCTTCATCTTCTTCTTCCTCTCCATCATAATTATTTCTCTCAAAAACACCATGGAGTAACTAAAATGTAATACAATTATATTTTATTACACAAGTTCTGTTTTATAATACATATGTGTATATATATGTATATATATATCAATTTATAAACAGTACCCGACAGCTGGATTTGAGCTCAACTTGTAGACTCGTTGCATCATTACAAATCGTGCTGTAAGATGGGTTTAACATAACAGCGTTAAACGACATCAACATCAAGTTTAACTGGAGTTCATCAAGACTTCTTATATCTCCCAAATCAATTTTCTTTTTTACTTCCTTAAGGTCTAGCGGGCTGCGAATCAAATACAAAAAGCAAAATTCTTAAAATAACATTTATAGTCATAGTTATTTTTTCGTAGGTACTTTAATATGTGTCAAACTGCTAGACACCTACAATTTCTATTTATAAATACGATACAATAGAAAATAGTTAATACAAATTATAATATACTTCAACATTGTTTTTTTTTTTTGTTAAATTTATATTTATATGTTTTAGGTGTTTTAGTTTATACTAACGCCTATCTTATCAAAAGAATTAAAAAAATTAAAAGTTAATTATTTAGCAGTTTTTATTTATACTGGTGGTCTAAATCCCAAAGGTCGTAGGTCCAAATTGGTAAAATGTACAGGAGAAGAAAAACGTTTAGTAATTTGTTGCACTACAATGTGTGTTACTCTTATGACAAGACACATGACTCTTTATCAATTTAAAAGGAACACAATTATGAAATTGGAGTTTTACCGTTTGATAACTATGTAGCTTTTTCGCATTTAAAAAAACAAATAATTACAAAATCAAAAATTGTTAAATTGCATCCTTGGCGATTTAAACCAATGATATACTAACTAATACATAACTACTGTTTTTTATTAGACATTTTGTCAGTTTAAAAGGACAACAATAGAATAATATAACTTGATAATCTTACCTATTGTGTACATGTTTGTACGCAGGAATATTTTTAAGTGGCTTCTCAAACATTGAAAAATATTTAATTTGACGTAAATTATTAAAAATTAATTTTAAGCTTTTTTTGTTGGATTTTTTTTCCTCAAGAGTTCTGAAAAAATACAATTAAAATTTTATTCAAACAGTTATAATTTACTTATGCAGTGCACTAATTGTGTTCTACTACATTTGAATATAAAAAAGTATAATACTACATTTTACTTGTCATAAGGAATACATTTTCTTCAATTAGTAATACCAGCATAAATGTGTAAGCAGTTGAAAAGCCATTCTTTTTACAGTGATATCAAAAGAAAATGCAATTATATATTATATATTTACATGTGTATTACTTAAAATCATATACTTTATTAGTAGAATTTTTTTTATACCAATTTATATATAGCTAAGTTTCAAATATTCTATGATATGTGTATTGCTTGTATTCTTAGTATATTTTTCAATAATCTTTAGAGCATGCTACTAAAATGTCTTTTAACTATAAGGCTTAGTTACAACTAAACATTGTTGAACTACCTAACATAATTTACATATAAATTTACTTTCAAACATTAAATTTTTTTAAATACTTGGTATATTCTTGGAAAATTTTAATTTTCTAACCAATCTAAATTTTATAAATATATATTATATATTTTTTTTAATGTTATTTTTCATAAATTATTATTAGTGATACGTTATTATTAAATTATTATGTAAGAATGTGTGCATTGGTTTAATTCATATCAAAAGCAAAATAGAATACTTGAAACTACTTTAATAAAAATATAAGAACTCAAATTTAATTATAAGAAAATAATTTAGGACACTTAGAGCCTAAATACTTATTTGGTTGCAAATAAAATTTTATCTTATGTGCTTGGAATTCAATTTTTTTTTAAGAATTAACAGTTATAATTATAAACGTTATTAAGCTAATAAGTAGTATTATAAATATGCAAGTAGTAAAGAGTAAATAACATTTAAAATTACTTATTTAAAACTAATTTTTACATTATTTACTGTTATTAATTTATTAGAAAAATTTCCAAGTACCCTGAAAATATTGCATCTTCTATTTATCAGAAAATAAGAAAACTTAACATTTTATTACACATTTAAGCCATGAAATTTGCTAGAAAGCCTACTAGAACTTAATAAATTTGGAATGAATGTATAACATGAAAAAGTTTAAATATTTTAGTGATAAAAAACTTGGTTCAATTCAAATAACACCCATAAAAATATTATTGAATTATTAAATTTAACCTATAATAAATTACTAAACAATGATGCTAGATAATAACATATCCTTTATTACCATAAAGGATATGTTAACCTTATTTAAAAGGATTTATTCTATTTGTTTTATTAACTAATTAACTATCCATAGATTTTTTTATAGGGTCACAATAAAACCGTGGAAAATAACTTTTTGTTACGAATTAACAAATTTTATTATAACAAAAATTTCATAAGATTCCATCATAGAAATTATAGTTGATTTTTCAGAAATATTATAGATAATTTTACAAATGAAATCATAACTCAAATAAATTATATGACAACTAATAGTAAAATAATTATTTTTTAACATACAATATATTAGTTTTTTTTTAACAATTGTCTTATTATTTTGGGATTATCATATAAAAAAAGCAAAAGAAAGAAAGTGAAAGAAAAAATTAAGTAACCCATATTTCCACGATATCATTAAGTGTAAATAAGCAAAAGACAAGTGTATAAAATTAGATTAAATAGCGTAAATAAAATTATTTTAAAAATAAACAACAAAATCCAAATGGACTCTTACTCGTCCGATCGCTCTTTTCTGTTTTCTCGTGGTTCTATATTTAATTGTACGCTTTTTCTAGTTCTCTTAACTGAAGGTTCACTCTGCTATACAAATATATGATAAACAAAAATATTGCAATAGTAATAATTTGTATATACTTACATCAGACAAATCTTTTTCAGACATTGCATCTTGAACACTGGACTTGTCACTGTAATATTTAATTAAAAATGAATTTAAACATTAGTAGATCCACAAGTCATTTTATAGTGTAATACAAATATTACTTTTCTATTTAGCAAACATTTAAATTTGTATTCCATTATTACCTATTTGGCTGTTGTTCATTAAGTTGATCAATACGACGTTTTCGTCCGCGTTTTTTCGGAGCAGGTTTTTCTTCTGAACCATTATTTGCGATATTTGGTTTAATTGCTTCATTTAAACTAAAATCAATCCAATTATAAGTAAATCACACAATAAAAAAATCGGTATAACCTATCTGATAATTTCACTAACTTTGCGACTGCATACTGTTGATCTTCATTGTTACTCTCAATACGATGTAATTTCATTTTTTTAAACACTGGTGTATCGTCTGATGCGCTTGATATTCTAACTGATTCTGAAGCTTTACACGCCATGTCAGTAATTGGAGGCGATAAACTTTTGCGAGACTGAACTTGATGCTTGGCATTTGTAGTTGTAACTTCGGCCAGAGTTGATGACCTATCTTTAACTTTTTCTAGACTTCTGGAACTTGTGTCCACTTCATTAATTTCGTCTGTGTAAGGTGGGAGAGACGACTTGGTTTCTATTAATTTAGTATCTTTGAAGTTAGCTGAAGAACGTGTTTTTGTTTTAATATTATTTTCATTTGAGACAAAATAGTTCTCGTCTTTTATTTTATTACACAAAACTACAGAGGAGTTAGTTATTAATTTGATGTCTTCAATAATTTGTGAGCTAACACACTTATTATAGTCAGTGATTTGTACAGGACTTCCATTGCTTGATGACTGTTTTTCAGTACTACTAGTTGAACCTACATCATCAAATAATTGCGGGTCCTCTGATTTATTAGATTTACCCTGCGCAGGTTTTGTAACCGACAAGATTTCTTCTATTTTTAAACCTTTAGTTTTATTATGATTTTTTGTCTCAACATTAATAGTTTCCATCTCATTTATTTTTTTGAATTCATCTATCATTGATTTTTCCAATTCCTGTTCAACTGATTTTAAATCGCTCTTGCTTTTCACATCAGACTCGCATATTCTACTTCTCCTAGTTTCTCTTCCAATGTCTTCGGATTGCTTAGTTTGATATTCATTAGGTAGAGTTTCATTTGGTTGTTTCGAACCATTATTTTTAATTTCTTCATCTTTGGTTAAAGTCTCTGCATCAACTTCTTTAGCTTTAGTCAATTTTTCTCCTTTTTCGTTATTATCGATTTCATATTTTTTGTTCATAGCCGCTGAATGAGCCTCCTCTAAAACCTTATTTATTTTTGTCTCGGTTTCTTTTTTATGTTTTCTTTCAATTTCTTTGACTCGGTTTTCTTCGTATAGTTTTTTTAGTTGGGCTTCCATCTTCTTTTTTTCTTCCAAAATTCTTTGCTCCGATTCCTTTAGTATTTTTGCCTCTGCCTCTTTTAATTCGGCGTCTTTTAAAATTTGCATATCAGTATCTCTGTTACTAGAAGTATTTTCAGCTTCTAGTTCTACTTTTTCAATTTCTTTTTGACCCATTTCTTCCCCTAACAAAACACTTGCAGATTTACTAGTCTCCTGTGCTACAATATACTTTTCATCTTTCTTTCTATCCTTATCTATATTTTCAATATTATCTGATGTTTTTTTATCAAGTATTGTTTCTTTTATACTGATTTCATTAATAGTATTTACCGTCTTATCATTATCAGCAACAATAATTTGGGCTTCATCGTCTCTTTTAATCGTATTTGATTCTTCATCATCACTACTTATTTCCACAATGTCACAAGGTGGTTTAACTTCTAATTCTACTTGTTTTAAGGCTGCAGCACGATCTAAATCTATTTTACTCATTACATCCAAAATCACTCCTTGCAATATTGGTATTCCTGTAACTGATGAATTTTGGTCATCGTCTAAATCATCAGGTTGGGTAGATGCGTCACATTTCTCATTGTCCTTTTTGACTGATAATTCTGGGCTAACAGATTTGTTAGCTTTATATGAAATATCCTTTTGAGTATTTTCAGTAATCTGAGTTTCTTCCGTTTTGCTGATTTCTAATGAACCACTTTCTATTATAGAATTTATATCTTCATGGTCAAAATTCACAATTTCTTCTCCATTGTACAAATCAGTTAATGAGTTATGCGTAATTGAGGAATTAAAATCTAAATCGAGACCTTTAATGAAATTCCCGCTATTTTCCATACTTTCCTCTTCACTATTCTTCTTAAGCAAGTCACTCTGAACTTTTCCAAACAAATCCCATGTAGATTTAACATTATTTGATTTATTATCATCTAGTATTTCAGTTTTTGAATTGCCAGATGCAGTTATGTTTTTGATAATATCACCTATTGACATCAGATTATTAGATTTATTAGGTAAAGGTTTAATATTTGTTGATTTTTCCTCGTTTGAACTATTATTTACACTGTCGTCATCAATAACTATTACTTCATCGTTAACTGAATTACTGCCATCAATGATTTTTATTACATTTTGAGAACTGTTTAATATTTTAATATTTTTCTTAGGATCAATGTTTATTATTTTGGTATCATCTGATTTATCTTTTAATTCAGAAGATAATTTAATATTAAAAGGTTTTTTTATTTTATTTACTACAACAAAAGGTTGATTCACAAATGAAAGGAATTTTGTATCGCCTCTGGTATCAAAACACTTTAGGTTTGTTCCTTTAATTTCAATTATTTTTCTTTGTTTTAACAGCTGTCCATCATATGCTAACATATTATTTCCCGATGTAGAAAATGTTTGGTTATCTTTGCGTAATACAATTGCATCTTTAATGGCAGAACTGTCAAAAGGAACATAACGTTCAGAAACCTTAGGACTATCAACTCGCGATTGGCCTACCATCAAGTTTTTGTATTCACTAGCCACAGTTTTTAATGAGGTGTTTAACAGCGGAATGTCATCTAGTGTTATAGGAACTTGAGAAGAATTGAAATACTTGTTAAACGATTGATTTCCAATACTGTTTTGAGAAGAACTATCAACACGTTTTAAAGGTAAAGTAGTCTTTAAAGGACTTTGAGTTTGATCTTGAACTGATGTCAATGGTTCAACATCTATGTTATCTATATCAAACAAATCATCGTCAACTAATATTGTTTGATTATCGTGAGTGCCTCCAGTTTGTTGATCTTTTTTATCATAGACAGATTTCACATCCTGACTATTTTTAAAACTGCCACCTTCTGCCCTTGTTTGACTTCTGGTAGATCGAAGCTCAATTAGTCTTCCATCTTTTTTTTCTCCTAAAGAATTCACAACATGAGAACCTTGAACAGTATTTCTATTTTCCTCTTCAATTTCACTGTCACTTAATAAATTAACAATGCAAGCATTACCAGAAATCGTTTTGTTTGGACTGTTAGTATTAAAAAATGGCTCTTTTGTTGGATCTCGTTTTATTTCCATTACAGCATCTAATTTTTTCAGATGTATAGTACACTCCGAAAAAATTATCCTATCTGTAGATGAGGTCTGGGCATCCTACACAAATGTAAATTATTTTGGTATTAATGCATATAATATTAAATACAATTATATATAAATGTATGTGTGAGCATGAACATATTATGCAAGTAAGTAAAAAGATATTATCTCAATTAAGAAAAAGTTCAAAACACGTTTTTTATAAATACTGCCAAAGTATCCTCAATTAAAACAATATAGATAATAGGAGTATCTTTTAAGATTTCCATAACAAACATTTTTTAATTGCAGTGAATATAATATTTAATTTAACTAACATCCTCTTAAATACAAATCACAGTTACAGGTAAACATACATTTCAAATGTATATAATATGTAAAAAATTACCTTACACATCATATTTAAAAGTTTTTACACATCAAAAATAAAAATAGTATTTTATATAGTAGTTTACATAATAATTAATACTATAATAATAATAAAAAAAATTATTATTTAACTACACTCACTTTTTTATTGTTCAGCACACTGAAGGAAGATTTATCTGACCCAGCTGCTGCACCTAAAATGAAAATACAAACATAGTATTTTTAATTTATAATGTCAATTACTAAAGGTATCGAATTTTGTTCACCAATGGCACAAGCTCTGCTTCTATAATTCTTTGGAAGAGGTGGCGTTAAGAATTAAAACATTTTTTTTCCTGTGTATATGTATGAGGTATAAGTTTATGTTAAAACTAAATTTTAATGTTCGTATATAGAAATATATTGTAATTTTGATACTTAAATTAGAGAAACATTTTAATACCAGACTTTTATTTTACAGTAAATACAATTTCAAAAACTTACTTGGTTTATTATTTATAGGTTGAGATGGATTTCGAATATAAGGATTTGCAGGAGCTTCAAGTAACTTTGAAAGTGTTGGAGTACCTACAAAAACAATTTAAAATACCATACATAAATTATTATAATGAGCATTACACTCATATAAGATTTGGTCCTTCTGATAAATTACCTTGAGCTGTTTTAGCATTTGGAGAAGTAGTTAAGGGTAATAATTTTCCTGATCTAGTTCTAGATGTACCAGCTGGAGGTTGTAATAACGAAGCAATCGTGGATGCTGTTCTATTAGCTGGTATAGTATTTCGAGATCTTAAAAGACTTGTTAACAACGGAGCAGAAGGAGTATTCCATTTTATTGGCTAATAAAAAAATAGTTACTCCATTAAATAACTTGAATAAGCAAATTAAATAACTTTAAAATAATTTACCTCGTCTGTCGTCCCCGAGGTGAAGTTGTCAGACGCTAGAGATGAATTTTGCCTTGCCATAAGTTGTTCAATATACTGTTTTCCTTCTATTTCATTTCTATAAGAAATAATGTATAATTATCTATTTTATTTTATTAATTGTTATAAATCACAAATAACAAACCTTCTGGCTTGTGCATAAAGATTAACAACTTCGTTTCTTGTGAGATTGCCTTGCTTTACTCTATTCATTACGCTAAATAAACTAAAATATTTTGTCTTTAAGGAGTCTTTCGATTTATTTACATCACGCACATAATCTATACACACAAAAAAATTAACAACAAAATTATCTCCAATATATTTTTTTTATACAATATTATACTTTTAATAACTTGAATGTAATCAAATCATTATTTAATTTAATAGAAATAGATGATATCTATATGAGTTACCTCTTTTTAAGCTGTCAGCAATAACCCGCAACATTTTGTTAAACGGTAGTGATTTTACTTCTCTACTGTAACTAGATACAATCATTTTAAATTGTCTTTCACAATTTTTGGGAGTATACCATCCTTCTTTAGGTCTATAAGATTCTCCTGCATTTTTGACCACTTGAGCCACCGACTTCCTAAGATTTTATATAAAAGAAGAAGAAAAAATCAAAATGTATTTATACTTAATTAATAATATGTTTTATAAGATCTCAAATAATTACCAGTTGTGAATTCCAAAATGACAAGTAGCAGTAATTAACCAAAATTTTTCCCTTGACGTCCACAGAATTGCTTCTGATAATGGCTTTCTCTCTATCCACCGATAAACTGAATCTAAACAATTAAAAACCATTTTTATATTACAAAACTAATAAAAATATTTTTTTTAGACACTCCTCAGTTTTTTTACTCTTTTAAAAAATACCAAAAAAAAAAACAAAATTATAACTCTTAAGATATTTAGTGAAAAATGACTTTAAATATTGCGTATTCAATTCATAAATATATTGTTACCTAATAAAAACTAGAATTATACAATATTTTGAATTTACCTACTTGACTTATACTAAAAACATAATATTAAAACAAATAATGATAATTATGTTACTAATATATATAATATTTAGTTTGAAATGGTTTTGCTATGATAAGAATATTATTTAAAACAATAAAAAACTGACAATAAAGCATATAAAGATCCGGTATTAAATTAATTGCTTTAATACAAAATTAGTTTACAAATATAAAATATTTTAGAATTTGGATACTTTAATTTAGTTTATTTTTAAAAGAAATAGTCTACACTTTTAAAAATTTTGGGAAAATAAGAAAAACCATTTAAAATGGTTAAAAAAATTATAAAAATAACATGCAATTATTTTTAATTACTCTACCTATATACATTATAGTAATTTAAAGTGAATATATATCAGTGTATAAGTGAGTGTATGTAAGTGTATATATATGATCAAGTATACTATCATTTTATTGCAATTCGTGATAAGAATTCAAAAAATCTGTATTTTCACAAAAATTGATATTTTAGCCATTTAAAAATTGTATGAATATTGTATATAAATTGCAGTTTCTTTTTCTCTTTTCATTTTTAGTAGGTAGTAAATTACGATCAATACATACTAAAAAAAAAAAAGACATATTTTATTTGTAATTAATACATTATTATTACCTACATCACGTTTTTATTATTATATTTTATAACTTGTTCTTAATACTTTACAATTATATTATAAAATATATATATACATATATTATATTTAAAAAAAACATTGAGTCACAACAGTAGGGGATTACAATAAACTTATCATCTTTGAGAGGAAAATTTTAAGAAAAATTTTTAGCCCTGTTTGCGACGACAATGAGCAAAGATGGTTAAGGAGATCAAATGGAGAATTGATGATTCTGTATACGAAAGAGGATATAGTGCAGTTTGTAAGAAGTTCAAGACTTGCGTGGGCTGGTCATGCATGGAGGGCTGATGGTTCCCTTATAAAGATGGTTATGGTAAATCAAATAGATCAGAAAAGACCAAGGTGACGTCCAAGACAACGATGGCTTGATGTTGTGAAGAAAGATCTGGAGAAGTTAAAACCGGATTGGAACGGAAACTTGGATCAAGCTTACACACGAGAAGTATGGGGTGAATTGGTTTTAAAAGCAAAGAGCCTAAATGGTTTGTAAAAGCTTAAAAAAAAATTAATATTATAGGCAATAAATGGCTATCAGCAAAAAAAAAAAAATATGACTTGACTAGAGCTCTTGAATTTTAAGGCGTAATACCCGTAAAGATAAAAAATTAGGTACACCAAACGTAACAAATATCCAAAATGATCGGATACTTTTCAATTTCACCGGGTATCTGGCAATTTTGGATAATAAGTAGCCATAAACTTCTAGTATAGTGGTATGCCAAAATTATGTCTTAATTAATGATTAGGAAATAGTACACACTACTCCGTATTACAGATAATAAGCGTGTATTAGTATAATCTGAACAATCATACTTAGATAAAATGTATGTAAATGTGTCAAATCATTGTCACTATTTTAAAAAGAAATAATAATGTATCAATGTCTAAATTTGAATTACTTTGACAAAAATAATATATTATAGTCATTCATGTTATATTTATTTATTTATTTATAGTAATTTACGCCAAGCAGCTTTTTATAAATTAGACAATAATATATATATGTAGTGATATTTAAAATACACAAATCAACCAAAAGAAAACGAAACAAAACAAAACAACAAAAAATATACATAATAAAAAGGTAATATTGAGAGGTGTGGCCTTAACACGAATAATATAAATCATAAATCGTTAAAAATTCCCATCATACGAATGAGAGGTGCATTTTTAGTGAAATTGGATCTGGTAGTAGGAAGATAAAAGAACTTTTTAAGTCTGGTGTTAGTCGGGACCCGAATACTAAGTTGTTCCAATAAGCGAGGGGCGTCAACTCGCCCGTCTAACAAACCTGAAATAAACCGAGAGCAGAGGTTCTTGCGCCACTGCTCTAGTGGTTGCAGTCTAAGAACATTATTAATGGGACTGTAATCATGAGGTGGGCGTAAGATTTTTAAGCAGTACCCTACAAAACTTAAAAACCTATTCTGTACACGGTTCATTCTCTGTCTGTCACCTGCAGTATATGGCGCCCAAATGACTGCGCCATACTCTAGGTTAGACCGAACTAGGGAATTATATAGGGCAGACAGACATTCGGTAGAATTGAAATCAGACGAATGTCTCCTAATAAACCCAAGAGCTCGTAATGCTCTACTGATCGCGAAATCAATATGGGGCCGAAAGTCTAGGGTAGGGACATACAAAAATCCAAGATCCTTTACTTGGTAAACTCGCTCGAGAGGCATCGCATTTAGACTATAGTTAAATGTCAACATCGCACGTGTACGATAATAGGACATGACTTTACACTTATTAGTATTCAGTGATAGACCTAACAAATTACACCAGATTGAAAATTTATCCAAGACAGCTTGTAGTACAAAGCAGTCTTCCTGAGATGAAATTGCATAAAAAATTTTGGCGTCATCAGCAATAATATTAATAAGCAAAAGTTCATTCATAGTTAATTTATATGCCAAAAAAAATTATTATTTTAATTATTATTATTATGACAAGTTGTTTTTTTTATATTTTATTTTATATTTGGTTTTATATTATAGTTAGTTCTTTCGTTTATTTTATGACTAAGGTTGATCTACTTTATATAAAATGAGGATTTATTATTATTTGAAATATAAAAATTAAAAGTATAGGCACTAAATAAAGAATTTATTTTATTTTAAATAGCAATACCTATTCATGATTTAAAAAAACATATTTATTTATTGGCAGTGTTACTTTAATGTAACAATTAAAATACCATCTACCCCTAACTCCACGATAAGAAAAAAACATTTCCTACGCCTCATCAACTAACAAATCATTTATACACATAAATAAATACGTAGTTGTCAAATTTTATTTTTTTTTTTAGCAAAACTACTAGTCCAGCATTTTTGTTAACCCGGCAGTCTTCTGGTCTGATATCTGCCTGATTACCAAGAGACTATTGCACTTCCTTTTTAGTATAAAATTAATTAATGTATTACTTATATATTTTTATAACATAAAATAGCTTGGTAGTATAAAAAAAACCTGCATTAGCATATGCTATGTCATTAGACCTATTTTTGCTATGACCCTTTTGCCATGTAAACATAAATTATTATTATATTAACTTCAACTATTATGTAAATAGGTGACTACCATAGACCAATTGTCAAATGTAATATGTATGTATGCAACTAAATATAGGTAAGGCGCTTGATGCTTTAATATCATTTTTATCAAGCTCCGCCTATAGTTCAGTATCAAACAAAATAAAACATTGTCGTACAAAGATACTTACGATGACATCTATTCTGATATTTTTTGTTCGAAGCCATTATTAATCGACGAATTTTGTCGTTGGTTTTTACAGTCATTAGTTTAGCATACTGTTGTAAGACTTGGACATTGACGCTATCTTTCAGTAATCGTAAATGTTTGTTAGAAGTATAATATAGGTATTCTAACTTCAATCTAATATGTTTTAACGTATTTGAATAAGACTGAACTATCAACGACCAAAGTACGGCGGGTATAATAATTGTAAAAACAAAGCGCCTATACAACACACTCAACAATAATAGAAGGTACGCGACATATTTCAGTGACCGCGTTGTCTTGCTGTTTGTTTGTTTTCCGGAGACATTTTCTCTTATCACGTTATCTCGCGCGTTACTTTTGCATTCATGGAGAATTCATATCAGTTCCATACACAATATGGATATCTCCAACACCAGCTGCGATTGGTTTGCGTCGGTGTTATCAGTTTACTCACAGAATAGATAAACTTTTTACTTTTAAAACAAGTTTGTTTTTACAAATTTTAACTTGATAGTTGCGAGAGTATAGTTATAAAACAAAACCGGGGTCCGGGATAAGGTTACAAATCACAGTAGCATCGCCACCATAATAGAAATAATCTTGAATCATATTTCGCATATTTTACTTAACACAATCATACTGGCTAATACAATACACGCCCTTTCGTTGCCTCTTAACTGTATAGGAAAGCTCGTCGATATATTATAACTTGATAAAAATAAATTTACTTAATCATATACCTGCAGTGCTTAACTTGGGGGGGACTGAGTACCTCAACTAATTTTTTGGATATTCTAGCGTACCCCTACTTCTTTTTTAAAGGGGAACGCACGGGACGGGTTGCTATTTAGTCTTACCTATATTTATAAAGTTGCTCAACTTAAATGTTTGTTTTAAATATATAAATCTTACAAAATGTTCTAATATTTACAAAATGTATTGATATCTCATATCTGATACGTATATTTTATTTTACAATCAATATTTCATTATTACTTATCAGTGACTACTCGGCCGCAAAACGTTTCCCGTTCGTGTCCGTCAAGCGTCATATTGTTGGTCTCGTTGCGAAACGTTACCGTTTAAACTTTAAATACGCTGTCTAGAAAAGTACCGTCATTGATTAAATACCGGGTGATTACAAAAGAACAAGTCGGTTTCAAATATCAGTATTTTTTAAACAGTACAAGCTACAGAGCTGCGCGACCTCTTAAAATGACCGCTATAACCTCAAGTTTTTTTTTAAAATAAATCATAAATGTTCAATGTTTCCTCCTTGAGTAACCCGAACAATGTCAAGTCGCTATGCAAATTCCTTCCACACTCTGTAGAGCATGTCAGTAGTTACTGTCTGCACAGCCAAAGTTATGCGTGCCTTCAAATCTTTTTTGTTCACAAGCAATGGCGACACAAAGACTTTTCTCTTGACGTATCCCCACAAAAAAAATTAAATGGCCAATCTTTCAACATTTAAAGGTACGAGTTGCCTGTAACAGTAGCTTTATTAAAAAAAAAATGGTCCATACACTTTCTCATGAGACATCGCGCAAAACATGTTAACTTTTGGTGAGTCTCTTAAGTGTTGTGTGTGGATTTTGTTCACCAAAAATTATCCTAGCGGTAACCTAATCTAACTTGAGGTTACAGCGGCCATTTTAAGAGGTAGAGCAGCTCTGTAGATTGTACCGTTTAGAAAATGCAGATATTTGAAACCGACTTATTCTTGTTTAATCACCCTGTACAATTGTATTTATATTTACATTTCATCAATGGTACCGTGGAATTTTTTAAATGAAGATTGAAGTTATACTTAGATAATTTTTATATTATTCTTTTTTGTTTAATGGTATTTTATTAATGTTCCTTAGGGCACCGTTAAAGGAGGTATGGGGTATTATCTACTTCATATTAAAATGAATTAAAATTATATGAACGCAAACTGCTTATAAATAATAAGACTGGTAATATTCACAAACTTATAATTCATAAAAAAAAATACAATCATTTTAACATAAATAATATTTAGCATTACATCACAAAATATATTATGTTTGAAAAAACAAAACTAAATTCTGTCAAACAAATAAAAAAAATTATTAAATAATTAATTGGCTTATAAAACATTTAGCCACACTATGCGAGATCGAGCTGCAACAACAATTGTTTTATGGTTTTTATAGTCTAGAATTTCTATTGCTAAAATTGGTCCCATACTTAAATGTACATCTAATAAAATGTTACTCTCCTTCGGTTTCAACAAATCATTCCAATTATTCAAACGATATACTACCAAATAACTGTTACGTGTACCTACAAACAACATATTGGTATAAATAAATATAGCAGTGGCTTCCATATACTTTATATTCAACCATAAGGGAACTACCATACACTCATCTCGATTCATATCATGAACTGAAATGTAATTGTTAGTCATACGCCCTATTACGAGCTGATGTATGACTGATGAAAACACAGTTGAACTCAAGCGATCACAATAATGTTCATGTAGTTTTTTTAGTGGAGAATGTGAATAATAACCATACCAGCTTTGACGAATCCAGCAACATTTTTCTTCATATGGATTGACATCTACACTGAGGAGTTGACCGCCAAATCTTGCTATTGGGATTCCTGTATGACTAGTACTTCCCTGAGATTGTAAAGGACAAACATTTGGTCCTTTTCTATTAAGCCAATTATATTTGGCGTCATTATTTGCTTCAGCACACTGTAGTCGAGGGTTTAGCGCTAGTAAATAGATAGATCTGTGCAACTGACTTTGTTGTTTCTTTATAAGTTCAACTTTATTTGTTAGATTATTTCTTTTTAAAATATATGGACAATAAGAATAGTCCGTCACTACTATCAGTTCATCTTGATAAGCAAGAAGGCTACATATGCCGTTAATCAAGAAAGTCTCTTCAAAAATAAGTGATACTTTAAATTTAGGTTTCTGCCACAGCAGCCAACCTTTAAATAAATTCTCATAATCAGACTCGCCGAATAAATTTATGTCTGTAAAACGTTTCTTTAACATTTCTTGAAAGTATTTTGATGGAATATCATTTAAACAAAACTTTTTCCACATTTTGTTGTATAAAACTGCATTACTTGCTACAACATTACATGACTTAGAAACCAATTTAAACGCAATTAAACTTCTGCCGTCGAGATAGGTAGCAATTTTTTCCATCAATTCAGGTGGAAAATTAATGCTTACTTTACTTTCTATAATATTTTTTTCATTTTTGATTGTTTCATAATTAGATGAATCGACAATGTCAGTCCAAACTGGAAGACTGTTCGTATTGAAATTCATTGTTGAATCCAAAAGTTATACCGAAGTCCGAATGTAAATCAACTAATTAAAGCCAAATACAAAAATGTATTACTTGTCTATTTTTATTTTCATTCTTAATGTTACTGCGGTAAAGTATAAATTATACTGTACCTATTCTGTAATGGCGTAGAACGGGCAATTTGCACAATAACGACTTCGAAAGTATACAAATACGCTAAATTTAAACGATCAAAAGATGATCGATAATCTATTAAATTATAATTATATAATATAAATATTATTGTTTACTGTTTAGTTGAGAAGTTTTAAAGATAATTTACCATTAGATAACACTGAACATACCATGGCCACAGATTATATGAAAACAGATTGTTCACTTGGGCCTTTAACAATAGGATTGCAAATAAGGTTCTATGATTGGCCCACCAAAATCAGTGTGACCGTCTGAAGGGAATTTGTTTTTAAACGTGTTCGCGGGCTTTCGCATTTGTTAAATAATTGAGCTAAACAGAATGTTTCTCTTGTATTTACCAAACATTTTATAAATATTAATAACCATAATGATAATAATAATAATTTAATAATATTATTCTTACAATTACAGTTGTTTTATATTATCTTACGCACTATATAGTATAACTTATCCAAGGGCAATAATTTTAATTTCAATAATAAATTACAATTAATACATAATAATACATTTAATAATAAGACATTTTAAAATTCCCAATAAGTAAAAATATAATGCATTATAAACAATAAACATAACATATCCATACTTATTAATATACAATTTTAATTATTTCTAACATAGAGAAATAGTAAGCTGTCCACCATAGGGCATGACAACTGACAGAGCATTAATCAACTATGAATAGTATTGACACGCAGTATTTAATTACATTGTTATTGTAAAAATAATATCAATTCAAAAATAATAAACAAAAAATAATTATAAATAAAATAATACAAATTATTATAAAAAAGTATTAAACAACTAAAAGTATTGCATATTTATATACCTAGTTATACGTGTTTTAATATAACCAATTTTTTATTTACTCTAATTCTATAGGCTACTCAGATAAAAGTCGTGCCTTTAAAAGTATATTTGGCGTACAAAATGCGCATACGCGCCTGCTAATAGGTTAAAATAAATAAAAAATAATGAACATGACATAATTAGTAAAAATTAATAAATCACAAAGTTCACATAAATAAAATAGTATAATTGTTAGTAAAATAGTATAAAAAACTGAAGTGCCGAATTGTTTTCCGTTTAACATGTTACGGATACATATGAGTTCTAACATCTGACAAATTTTCAACTTAAAGGTCCCAAAATTATGGCTTAAAAACAAAAAAAACTTGTAACCATCCTAGGGGGTGGGATATGGGAGTAATATAAATCCGACACCAGTCCATTTTTGGTCGTTTAAAAAAAATGTTTTGCCAGAACCATTTCCATTATTCTGAAAATGCAAACTGTATAAAAGACTTAGATGCTATTTTAGTATTATGAATGAAAACAAATTTAAAAATAAAAATATGTTTTAATAATTTTAATTTTTTTTGGTCAGAATAATAATGTCAACCAAAAGATCACCTTGTATAAACTACAGGTGATTCATCTGATATAAGACATTCGTTTTTTCAGAAAATTAATTCCTTTAAAACTGTTTATAAAATGTTATTAATTGATTATTTATTGTTCATCAATCTGTTCATTTGCTATGAAAAAATGTATAAAATATATCATAAATTAAATACAAATTAGTGAATTACAGTCAATTAAAAATTACTAAATTGCCATGAAGTGTTTCTTTTTTTAGAATTCATTCACATTCCGACATAAAGTTAATTAATTCCCATTCCTCATTCCTTAAAACTAAATGTAATACATTCATGATTGCATTCCTCTAAAAAGGAATGAAATCCAATAAATGCATTCTTTCCAACACTGATATATATATCAGTGTTAGTAATGAAATGTCTTTGAGATAATGATAGAGTGTTATCGACGGGATCAATATTATTACCGATATAACATTTATTATTTTTTTAACATTTAATATGATAAATACACAGATTATATGAAATAATCATATAATTTGTGATTATATGAAATTATATGAGATTATATGAAATAATCATATAATTTGTGGTAAATACAAGTTCGATAATTTCGTTCCGGCTGACATGGTCACACTGGTTTCGGTGGAGTGCTTATCAGCTCATTTTTTGTTTACATCGAGAGTGAACAATCTGTTTTCATATAATCTGTGGTAGTACCATTGATTATAAATATTATAGATAGCCCACCGAGACAAATTTCAGTTCTGGACGTCGACACGGGTTGGGCGCTAGTAGTATCGTTTTCAATAAAATTGATACTACTAGCGCTAATCCCGTGTTGACGTCCAGAACTTAAATTTGTCTCGGTGGGCTATCTATACTATTAATAATCAAAGGTAGTACTTAGTACACAGAATAACTGTTATTCTGTGGCCTGTGCTTAGTAGTTGGTAGGCCTAATAATTATTGTAAGATTGTCCGGGCTAATATTTTATCCCAGCGCGCCCCTGTTTTTAATGCACAATAATTAGTACAATTATTGTACTAATAAAAAAATGATCTAGGTATAAAATTGTTTTCTGTTATAGTTATTCCCTTGCCACTCAGTTTTTGAGTTAGGTCCTTGACTGAAAAACGTCTACAGACTACAGTTAACAGTTGTATTCCATTACTATTTCATATTACTTATTTTAATTAATAATTATTAAAACTATCATACAACGGTATCCAGACTATCTAAGTGTGATGATACATCGTCCTCTAAAGTTTTAAGTGGACAGTTGGTATCCACCTAATGTAAATACTCGAGTTGAGTTGTGATAATTTTGCTAAACAAATATATTGTATTTTAATTCTAAGATTACTCAGCTATAAAAACGATAAACAAGTCTACAGCAAATTACTTATTTAAATGAATAATAACTAACAAAATGTTTGGGTATAATTTAAAATTGTATAGGTATTCATTTTGAACATTTCTCAAAACGAGTATTTAAAAATTTAAAGAACCATTGGAATTTTTTTAACAAATTTCTCTGTACCTACAGTGAAATTTAAAAATAAACGCGTTAGTAAATAATCAATTTTGAAAAAATATAATCTCTATATTATATAATATTAGTTATGTGCAACATCGTGCGAACATCTATAGGTTTATATAACATTTATCTATGATATACATATTCCAGTTTATTAAAATGTATAAAATAATGTATATCTTACTAATATTTTAATGTATTTTTAGCTTATTTAAATGTTGTCTTATTACAAATTTATTTAAATTGCTCTATAGAAAGGCGGGTTTAATTCTTATCATTATTCGTACCGGAAATTGTGACGTGTTCTTGATTAGGACTTATCACTCAATGGTTGTACGCAATCAGTTCTACACATAGATCTGTGGTTCTGCAAGAACTTCAACTGATAACGTATCCGCCGCCGTTGCCATCGTCAGTTATTATCTACTATCTAGGACTTGAAAATGTTTAACAGAATTTTATTACTATTCGTGTTCATTTTTTAATCGGTTACTATATAGCAGCATATATGCGCCAATAGTGCAGTTTTAGTCACAGCGATTTTACTGTGTTGATTTTACTTGTTCGATTTATAGATTTTTTTATTATTTAACCGTTCCGTTTTCTTTGAGGTGGAAATGCTTTCAAAGAAATGCATTAAATTCATTGCATGCCTGCTCCTGTTTGTGTTCATATTTTTGGGCCTACCGGAACTGTGCAAAAGCCACGGCCACGATCACGACCATCATGGTCATCATGCCAAGTCACTTAATGAACAGTCTTCCCTACCATGGATGTGGGTAAAAGCCTTGTCTTCTACTGTGGCCATCAGCGTGTTACCTTTTTTTGTCCTTTACTTCATACCGATTGACCATAGAGATGAACATCAGTCGTTCTTGAAAATTTTACTTAGTTTTGCATCTGGAGGTCTCCTGGGCGATGCTTTCCTTCATTTGATACCTCATTCACTATCCACACATGACCATCACGATCATGATCATCATCATCATCATGATGAAACTTGTCATGGAGATAGCCATGATCATAGTAACGAAACTAGAGTAGGAATGTGGATTTTAGCTGGCATATTAGCATTTCTTTTTGTTGAAAAAATGGTACGAGTGCTTAAAGGTGGCCATAGCCATTCACATTCTCAACGTAAAGAAAAGTTAAGTGATGATGAAGATGAAGCAGTGCCTAGACGAGCAAGGCATGCATGTGTGTGGTCGTTAAATTTTGATAAATTTATTTTTTTTTGTTTAAAATAATTTTTGTTTTATTAAAATTGTTTTCAGTACCACAACAAAGTCTATCAGTTGCTGGATGGTTAAATGTTATTGCTGATTTTACTCATAACTTTACCGATGGGCTTGCCATTGGAGCGGCATACTTGGCTGGTCAAAATGTTGGACTTGTAACAACTATAACTGTACTACTTCATGAAATACCGCATGAAATCGGAGATTATGCAATTTTAATACAAGAAGGCAGTACTAGAAAAAATGTATGTAAATCAATTTCAGTCATAAAATTTATATTTATCTAGAATATAAATATCTTGATGTCAAAAATTAGGCGATGAAATGTCAGTTAATAACTGCAATAGGAGCCATTTGTGGAACAGTAGTATCATTAATGTTTGGAAAACAAAGTAAGTTTTAAAACCTATCGATTACATTTAACATTAAAATAAAAATGATCTTGTTTTAATAAAAATATGTAAGATGATTTAGAATGAGACTATAATTAACAAATATTAGATTTTTACCCATGTTTTTCTGTAAAAATAAAAAGTTACAATCTATTTAAAACCTAACAGCCAAAATTATAAAACATGGAACATGCTTTAGCCTGCTAGCTCCTGAATAGGGTCATTCCGTGCTATATCTCCTGATGTGTGTGTAAAAAGATTTTCTAAATACCTCAAACTTATATATCCTATGCCAATAGTTCAATAAAATCAAAAAGTCAAGAAAAAACTTTTTTAGGACTTGGGCGATGCTATATTTAATAAATTTATTGTAAAAACCCCTTAAGTTCACAACCACGTTACTTAATAACTAAGTATGGTATCGAAATGGTATTTCCACTGAACAATTTTAATTTAAGTGTTTTTTTTTTCATAATATCCTTAAACTATTTTTTTATTCAGCTAAAAATTTAAAAACAAATTAAAATTTTATACATTTTTATTCTGACTCAAGGTCAAAATATCAACAAAAAAAAGTTTATGATAAATAAGTAACTTCAAAGTTTGGTATTTTACTATAAAGTGCTATATTTAAGGCCTAAAAAGTTATAGGCTCTTAAATATAGCACTTTGAAGTTACTTATACATCATAAAAAAAATAAAATTGTCCAAAACATTTAAAACGTTTTTTAGTAGTTTTACAATATCTGGTCTTAATTGATTTACTGGCAATACTTATCAATGTTTAACATTTCAGTCAATCCTTCGAATGCAATGCACCTCATGCGTAACATTAAATGGCATCTTATATGTTATTATACGTTTAAAGTAGGCACGCTACTTTAGTACTGTAGTTTAGTGTAATTTTTGGGCTGGGCGGCCAAGGCTTAAGCATGTTCCATGTTAAAAATTAAATTAAAAAGTGGTATTTTCAGTAGGTATGAAGTATTAATTTCCCTACGTGCTTATAGGTACCATTTATCTGTGTATATCTTAACGGTTAATAATTTATTACTAGTATTTAAACTTCTAAACTTTTAAAAAATTAAAAAAAAACTAAATTAGCCAAATTTGTAATCATAGATCTTTTAATTTATAAAACAAATTAAAAGATTAATTCCAACTTTAATTTTTCATAACATAGGCTAATTTTTTATGTTATAAATTTATTTTACATATGACATCTGGGTAGGAAGTAGTAATAATATATAAATAACACAATAAACATATTAACATGACAAAATATAATAACAATAGTATAAACGGTGACATGAACAGAATAACAGAAAGATGTATAAGCTTAAGATTATATTATATAACATTCATTATAGTGGTGTCTCTAGGTCCATTATCCACTTAACTTCCTCCGTCCCAGTTTCATGTAATTTCTCTATTCTGCCTTCAAATTTAGTGCTTGGACACATGTTAATAATATGTTTGGTTGTTTGATCAGCTCTACAAGAACAAAGAGGAGATTGTGCCATTTCCCACTTGTAGTGTAAACTTTTGCATTTACCTTGTTTAGTTCTTGCCCTATTTAAAGTTAACCTTAGCATCCGCAGAAGATCAAAACCAGGGACTCTTGTCACTAGATTTTTAATCAAGGCGACTATACGCACCCTTGAATGCGTTTTTCATGTTTTTGACAAAGATGAAAGATTTTACAGAAATGCTAGGTCACATATCGGGTGTCTCTTTTGGGGATGCGCAACAATATCTCCATTGTAGATAAAAAAAGATAATATGTACAGTGCAATACTAATTAAAAATCTTTTTTAATAAAACTAACAATATTAAATACTGGTTTCAGCTTCTTTTAGTACTTTTTTCACTTACATATATTACCTATACAAAATGTACTAATAGTGCTAATTCACTTTATTTATTTTTTCAGGTGAAGCAGCAAATTCATGGGTGTTACCGTTTACAGCTGGAGGTTTCATTTACATAGCTACTGTTAATGTTATACCAAGTCTTTTAGAAGACACCAACTTTAAACAGTCCATTAAAGAAATAATTTCTCTTCTTGTTGGGGTGTACATTATGGTGCTTGTTGCTAAATATGAATAAATATGTTATTCACCAAGCATTTCTTTAAAATTACGTTTTGCATAAATTAATAAAATATAAAGAAATACATTATAAATATACCAACATCATAGATTATTAGTAAGTTTATTACTAAAATGATGACTGAATTGATATCTACATGAAAATTTAATAAAGTATTCTTTGCTTTTTAATTTATTTTCTTAATTTTGATCATCACATTTCTTTGTTATTGAATAAAATAGATATCAAAATCATTTTATTTTGAGAAAACCGCTATTTTAGTTATGTTTAATATAATTTTCTGAAAAGTAAGATATTTTTAATAATTATGATTTAGTATTTGTGTAATCATGCTATAAATTTACACAAATTTGACTACGATTTCCATCCAATGTATTATTGCATTCAATATTAATTAACACATGTAATTTTGCTATATCCTTGTCATACACATAATAAAAGCTGCGTTTGTCTTAATTTTTTTTATGGTAGCTATTAATTTTGGATGTATGATACATGTCTTGTGCCTTTATTACATAAAAATTATGTGTGTTTTTAAATAGTAGCATTATAATTTGTATTAGTTAATTTTTTCCCATGGAGATTTAATTTAATATAATTTTGTTACTTAGGATATTATATTATATAATTTATTAAAATGCCTATTTTAAAAAGATTATGTTTTTTTATTATTATTTGATAGTCAACCAATGTTCTTAACCAAGTAATACATCTTTATAGGCACATTTGGTTGTATTGATTTGTACTATTTTTCCAGATTTTTCAAACTGTTCTCTTTATTATATAAAGTATACCTACTTATAATTATAAAATATTAGTCTTAATGTACATAAAAAGAATATAAATAAATAAATGGACGAGTTATGGATAGTCAACGGTGAATAGGTACATATTATACTGTTGTAAGATGTACAAAGGTATTCCTAGAAAACTATCCATTGAGGAAGCTGAATACATGTATATTCTCTGCATGAATTCCACTATAATTATAATACATAAAATCTAATTTAAGTAAAATAGGTAAGCTTATAATAAATACGTTACATAATTTTTTTTAAAAGCTATACGTAATTTAAGAACAATGAATATGTTTTAAAATGAATGGAAAGAATCCAGTTTAATAGTTTTAATAAAATATTTTTAGATTGACAATTGACATGGAATACATTTTATTGATAAATTTAAGGTTTATAAAAAAAACCGCCAAAAATGCTTATAATTTTTTTTCAAGACAAACCTATTTTTTATCATTCTATAAATTGTATAATAAGTATGCTCAGTACGTTGTGTAGGATATAATTTTTATCCTATTATTATAGGGTATATGTATAATATGTGTCATAATTCGGATACCTTTTATATTATTAGATATTTTAAACGATGTCGTCCATTATTTTTAAATCCATCGGTGAACAACGAATCTGAAATATAAATAAAGATAATTATATTACCTATATCAACGATGAAGTTTTTCATCTTTGTTATCTTTTTAATAAGTTGGATTTGGTAATTTCAACCTTAAAATACAGACTACTTCTGATTCATTTTAGTTTCCTTCTTCTTCTAGAAATTATTCTAGCATTGGGCTTTAATTTTTATACATACGCAATAATTGAAGTAAATTTTAAAAAATGTAAAAGAGTAATCATATCTGATTTTACGAAATTTATCGATATGATTCCTGTGCTCAATCAAAAGTCTGTATTTCCAAAGCCTGATATAATAGCGTAAGTATTATTTATGAAAAATATTTTATTGCGTGTACCTACATAGATTTTTTTTATATTTATCGATTTCGCCAACCAAATCCTCTCTCTCTACACCTGATCTTAAAACACTTCCCATTTTACTATTTTATTTTCTTCTTTTTTCTAACATGTCCAAACCATATCTATCTATTCTCTCAGTATTCCTGCTATAGGCGTCATTCCCCTATTGTATCTAAATTCTAAACCTTATTCATTTCACATACGTTTCAAAATTTCTTTTTCCTTATTTAAATGTACGCCAATTGGCCCAAGTACAGTAGATAATAAATGCGTTTTTTAATTTGCCAAAACAAATCTAACATTTCAATCTTGAAAGAAAAAATTATTTTAGTACCAACAAAAATTGTGTAACATTATAATATTATAGGTATCCGCTATCAAGATTTGTCATATATCCAGCTACCCCAACGTTAACTGAATTTCAGCATCCTAAAGTTTGTGATCAGAATTCGTTAATCAGATGTGGTGGTAAGGGTCATAAGAACTACAGACAACAACAATACTCATACACCTATGATAGATTGTATAGTCCAGACAGCAACAGTTCATCTACCACTTCTTCGGTTTGGTCACTATCCACTGTCAAATCCACTCCTTCTTCATCGTCGTCATCATCTCGTACTACCCGTCGCAGTAGTAGCCGTCGTAGTCGCCGTACAACGTCTCCAACTGTGCGTCATGCACATCATATGACAGTAACTCAACATAAATCACATTCATTTGGGATGAGTGATTGTGATTGCAAAGTTCAAAAGAGAGATCGTAGGAGACACCTGACTACTACAAAGTCAGTAGAAGACAGAAATGTTGTGAAATGTGCAATTACAGAAAGTCAAATAGTAGAAATGGGTTGTAGTACAATAAACAATGAATTACCACAAAGCAATACCGAAATGGCACTGCATCTGCAACAACACGACATACTTAGTAGAAAAAGTCATCGAAGGCCTTCACATTGTCGGTGTACTACGGACGCTGTGTTATTGGCACACAGCAATCGCTCGTTGCATATCCTATTAATTCAAAAGTGTCAAACTACAGTGGCTATGATGCCCTTGGAAGCTTCAACATCAAGTCTTGGGAAATACTCAAATATAGCAAAATGTTCATCTTCCACTGTGATTACATACAAACTGTATGTACAGCATATATATAATTATATAAAACAATAATTGAAATTGTATAATAATTATTTACATGTGTTTGTACTCAGGCCAGGTGGGCATTTTATAGATGATTACAGCACAGACGCAGATGATCCAAATTATTGTTCCTGTAATGATGACTGGAAGTGGTATGCAACAGCTGTTGAAAATATTGTTGGAACCCAATCATTGGTAAATAATCAAATTGAGCTGTTATGAATAGTTCATAAAATAAGTAATTAACTGTTATAGTTTATAGTCTAAGTTATATTATAATATTTATTAATCCAGAGGGTTGGGTCATTAGCAATGTCCTCATTACCAAGTGGCCCATGTTCAATTGATCAACCAGTGTTACTGGGGAAATGGTATCGTACCCAAGACAAGAAATCTCAGGAAGAGTTATACGGTAATGACAAAACTTATCATAATTGGTATTATCCTTATAAACCAACACACATAAGTAAACATCCATTTGAACGAAAACGAGTGTATGCTGTCCCAGATGCAGCTAAAATTTTTGAAAGCCAATTTCTTTTGAGGACGCCACTTACAAAATCTTTAACTGTTAAAAATCCAGCAACAGGCACTATAGTTACTAAAACAACATCATATCGGTGCAAATTTATTCCATTGGCACGTCTTCATGAAAATAGTCGCACTTACGGACCTATACTTTCCTCGCTTCCTGTTGTTTTAGCCAGGTACAACATTTTTGTTAGTAATTGTTTCTTGAACGTTTTCACTCATACTGAGTTTTAATTTTAGTTTAAATATTATATGCGTGCCATGAAGTCTTATCAAATGTCAACACATGAATGAGTTGTCTTCCAGCAAACAGAGAGAGTATAAATATTATTTGCCATGCTTAGAATGACGTAATGCATAACACCAAAACTTCCCGATTTAAAAAAACTCTTTTAAGTCTTGTCATATTTTTTTTAAATAGCTATTTTTTATTGTAAATTTTTGTTAATAATAATTTAAATGTGTGCAAAACTGTTATTTTTTAATTTTCAATTAATTTTATTAATTGAAATCTAATATATTTTGCTTTAAGTTTTGTTGATTATTGGGATAATATTATTATATTATTTTATAAAATACATTTAGTGCACAAATATTCAATTGATAATTATGTTAAATTTTATAGAGAATGTTTTAACTGTATTGCTGAATATACATTTTTAAAATTACTTATTATATAATATACAAATAAAAAAAATAGTCTACAGAATTACTACTGTTAATTAATATATTTTTACTGAAATTAAAAAAAAATTACTTGGTTTATATCATATATTAAGATATTTAATAAAGCGTTTATAAACAAAATTAATTACATAATAATAAGTTTTAAAATTTCAGTCTTAAATATTCACAGATTCACCAACAAGTAATATAAAATTATTTTAATAATATTTTTTATGTTTGTTTCAATAGTTTAAACAATTTAATAACAATAATTGCTTATAAACATTTAATTAATAATTAGTACATAAATAATAAATCGCAATAACAAAATAATAGTATAAAAAAATATTTTGGCTATAGTCCGCCAAATATTAATTCACGTTCCAACTGTTTGGGATCAGCTGAACCTTGAATTGGAGTACATTGTGGATTAAACACTGAATAAGCACTCAGTATGTTTTTTTTCCCATGCGAGTTTGATGTGTTTAAATAAATTGCAACAAGTGCAGAGCAAGCAAAAAATACAGCACCAAAACCAGCTACTGCGAACATCCAGTATTGAACAGCTAGCCAGCATAAAAATATTGCAGTTTTATAATAAAATTTAGTATTATTTTTTTTTGGTTTTGATACATTTTTATCCACAAATGCATCATCATTAGAATCATCTGAATCAGTGTCTGATAGGTTACTGCTATTCATTGGGAAAGGTACAGGCACTCTGCTACGTTGTATTATTGGCACCTTTGGTTGAAGTATTTCTTGATGGAGTAACACTCTTTTTTTTTCCCCACTATATGGTAACGATGTTGAGGGTTTTTGTATCTAAAAAAGAAAATACAGTTAAAAAAAACATCATGTAGGCCTGAAACAATTGCTAAGCTTAGCATGAATGAATTGTGTGAAAAACGAAAGAGTGCTATGACCTATGGTCATGGTTTGTGTTATATAACTTTTAAATAAAATGTAAATAAACATTTCAAACTGGAAAATATTTAACCTACCCGTTCCCAGATGATATATTATAATCAACAAATTTTTAAGTATTAGGCAATTTGTGGTAGGAATATAAAGTAATACTATATTTGATATACAATCATATTATCATATCATGTATAAAAAAAAAAAATTGAGTTTATCGTATTAAATGTTATTGGCTAGGAGAGATGTGCTACCAAGTATGCACAGATAATAACAGTCCAAACTTTTTATCGTCAATAACTTTTAATGTAAATAACATAACTAAAAGAAAAAGTCTTTTTTTTTTTCCAAAGGGAAGAAAAAGTATTCAATTATACTTAAAGTATCTGTAAAAAAACATAAATAGTGAATTATTATAAGAATAATAGGTTCATATAAATATAAATTCCCTGCCAAGTGCACATAAAATTGGATGAAAGTAAAGACTTAGGGTAAGTCAATAAGATGTCAATCGACGAAATTAACTATACTTGGGTGCATAATTATTGTTTACAAGATGTGATAAAAGAAATCATTAACTATTTTTTTTTTCTGTTTACGACCCATATGTCAGTTTGGCAATTCTTGATTAACATAAGTTGATGCTCAGTCAGATGGCCATTTCTTTCTCCAGACGGTTGCCTGCCAGGGGACTGAGATTGTAACCATGGCTAGTGTTTAGAAGTATTTTTACTAGTGTTTTTGGCCACGACACCATGACTATTGACTATGCAAAGGTCCAAATGCAAATGTTATTATAGAACTATTTAGGTTTATTTTAAATATCTTGGATTAATAAAATATAAATTTTTTAAATGTTTAAATAACCGTAGCTCACTCAATTAAAAGTTAATGTTTTGTTTTAGTACCAATATTTTTTTTTTTTAAATAGCTCATCTAGTTAATAATTATACACTAGTTAGAAATTTTAATAGGCTACCATTTGGATCTCAAAAGTTATCTTCCCCAATTAATGTTTCAAGTAAAAAAAAATATGTAACCCAAAAAGTAGTATAATAAAACTAAATGGTTTTGGTCAAGGTCATTTGCTCTTAATTTTGTTTTATCGTGCAAATTTGAAAATAACGCTGTATATATTTATACGATTATAATAAAGTATTTCTTTTAAAATAGGTATGCTTAATCGTGTAATTAATATTACAGTATACTTGCTGGTAATGATAAATTATTTGTTTAGTATAAGGGATCGTTCATAAACTAATTTCTTGACTCGCGTTCTTATTTTTTACATATAGTTATTTTAAGACTTGGACCTTAACAGATACCATTTATATATGGTTATATAAATATTAAGTAATGCATATTATACACACCTGTTGGTCCCGATCTTCAAAGCTATCACGTGTAGATTGTTGAATTCGGCTTTGTGAACTCGTCAGCGACAATGGCTTCAACACTATACGTTTTCTACTGGTCATTGTTGTGGTTTTAATTCCCTACTGTAGTCAAAATCTACATGCTACTGAATAGTTTCGAAAATGTAGTTAATTTTTCAAAAACAGCATTGGTGAGTTGGAGAATCACGAAAATTACAAAAATCTAACAACACTGACGCGAAATATTAAAAGAAAATATTAAAATTGTAAGACAATTGTTTTTTTACTAAGTTCACTTGAAGGTCTTTCGTACTACTCGTAATACCATTTATGGGTACAGGTCGGAGAAATACAGTAGCGACAGTGATGTCTATAATTGTAGGCCGCCGCCACGTACTTACACGGCGATACGTTTGGCAATTACTTACTGAAGTGCAGCGTTTACAAAAAAAAAAAAACGCTAAAAAAAAGGCATGTCTATATCGTTCATTGACAGAAATGAGGAACCAACTTTGAAAATTAAAATGATTAAATATTGCGACTTGCGTGTAGGGGACAGGACGTAACTTCAGGAGGTTTTTTCAACTTGTAGGTAATTCGGTATTCGGTAATAAATAATAATTGATGACAAATAATGACATTGTCCCCGATCGTGTTATCAAAAACCGACACCGAGTTCATAAAACTAATGATAATTGCCATTGAAAATAAAAAACTTTAGTTGTTATCTACGTAATTATTATTATCATAGCTGATATTATCACAGTCTTCTATGGCCGTGAACGAGATTATATTTAACTGGTATTACCGTGGTTTCATATGATAATTGATAATCATACAAATATTTTTTTAATGTTTTGTATAAAACCATGAATAATAAAATATTACCTATTATTTTATTGTACATTTTATTACTATAGATTTGTAAATTAATTTTACAATGTAAACGTATCATAAAAACAAAAACAAAATTTTAATAAAACTTTTGAAAGTAAACATTTTATTTTAGATGAAAATATTTTTAAAACGTAACTTATAAAAATATTATTTGTTTCAAAAATATAATAAAACATTATTCTGTCATACATTTGTAAGAACAATGTTGTAATGTTTGCTTTACATTTAAAAAATATTTCCTTGCCTGAAAGGATAAAATATACAAATACCTATAAAACATGAAAAAAGTATTTAGTTGCAGAACCGCACAACTTAATCTGTAACAATTAGCTACAATATAATATCTGTCACTACATTGATACAGTCCAAAAACTATGACATTATTTTGATACAAAAATTGCTACCCTAATATATTTTGGGAAAGGGGGAAATATATTTAGGAAGAGGTAGGTACCCTCGAAAGGTTCATTTCCAAGATTCTTATTAACAGTTATTTTCTCGGTTACAAAGAAAAATTAATAGAGGTTTTAATATATATATATATATTCTAAATAAGTCGAAAAGCACAATCATTCTAAATTGCCATAACGTTCATATAATACCGATTACCGATCAGTTAACAAGTACATTATAGATAGAAAAATAGATTTTATTTATTATCATTTTAAAAGATAAATATAATATTTATATCTGGAAAAAACTTTAGCAACTAATAATAGTTATATAGAATAATAAAGAAATTATTATTTTTATGGTTAAGGGTTTTCAAATATTAATTTCTTTATTACAAATTACAATATTATATAAACAATACATATAATGATTGTTTCCGTAGGCTAAGGTTATGTGGAGATAATAGTTCTTTCTTAATTATTTTATTAAAAGTATACATATAATAAAACAAATTATGTTGGTTATAATACAAATATAGTAATAAATTAATAACTCAAAAGTTTAATTTTTTCATCAATAGTTTTTCTATACGATTTAAAGCTTGTAAACAAGCCAACATCAATAACTAAATGCATACCTAGTTTAATGCCAATAATAAATGGACTATATAGTCAAAAAGAAGATTTGTGACAAACAAACATATTACTGTTTGTTTTAATAAGTTTCCATGTACAACTGAAAAATTATTGGTTTTGAAATGTGCTTTTTAAATTTGGTTTGCTAATTATTTATCTTCTATTTTCATACTGAAGTATTTTTTTTTTTATTCTTCATAATTCAGTTTATTGGGTTCGTTAGAATGTATAATGGCTATAATGATAAATAAAGAAAAATTATTATTATACAACTATTTAATATATTAATTATTAAATAATTAATTATCATGATGTATATTTATTAACTTTATTAATATCAAATCGATACCTCTTGTAAATTTGTATAAGAAACCCGAAATCTCAATTTGAGGGGTTGAGGGCACCATTATTGTGATATTAGCACCCCCAACAATGTTTGCGTTCCTAACCTCACCCTGTTTATTAAATAGGTAGTGTACCAGTTATCATATAGTTAAACCATACCATATTATTTAATATATTATACATAAGAGGTAAAGAAAAAACTTGCAAAGAGTGCCTCTTCTTTTATACGTGCAGTGCTAAACTCTTTTCTATGGGCAATCGTCTCTGTGGCCCTTGTAATAATCCCAATACTATTGTTTGTTATTATTAGTCTTATTATTATTGCCATATAGATGTTGTAATACTTTTACTTGTTTGTAGCCACGCGTGTTGGCCAATAGCCCAATCACGCGTTATCGTTATTGACTATTGTTATTATTATTGAGTAGTAGTAGGACTAACCATTGTTTAGTTTAATATAAAAGGGCAATAGTTATTAAGCTAGACACCTCAGTACTTAATTAGTATATTCAGTGATCTAATTGATACTCTGTGTCACTATTATAAGTATTGTCTTGAGTTATTATTGTGTTTAAAAGTGTTAATTAAACATTACTATAAAACTTGTTTATTCTCTGTCTGAATTACCTTTCACATATCTTCTAAGTCTTATAAGTGTGCTGCTTAAATCTCTTGGTGCAGTACACCCTCTCCCTTAAATACGTCACTGTTCCTAAAGATAAATAGCTATTGCCTGTATTATATTATAACAGATAGCGTATTTAAAGAACGCATTTGGAGCAGCATGTTAATTCTGACGTTAAATAAAAATAGTTCAAAGTTGGTCCGTGGCCGAAATCTTCCCTGTCTGGGTCTGCTTATAGGATTTACAAGATAAAGACATGCCAGACGGGTCTCGTTTGTTTCCATCACATTATCTATGGTTCGTAAAATATATCGTGTATAATACAATAATACCTAGATTATTATTAGTATTAAAAATTAATTTATGATAATTCAATAATAATAATTAGAATATTATTATGATAAACGATAAGATTAAATGTTCATTGGAAAATATGGTGCTTAATAAAATTATTACGATAATATTTACTAATAGTCAGTTATTACAGTATTTAATTTTACTAGTTGATACTTGGAAAAATATACATAAGTCATATTATGCTAATGTCAATTTTTTTTTTGGTATAATTATTATTGTTGTAGGAAATAGTATCACGGGTAAAAATGTGTTAATTGTTTCAGTCCTAACTCTTTAGTCAATTGTAATAAATTTACAAATGTAAATATTTCCTCCTGATAGCTTATCAAACATCCAATTTTTCCAAACACCACTTTACCTAAATGACAAATAATTATTAGATATAGTGGAAATTAGTAACATTGGTAGAAAACCCTCTTCTAAAATTGTGATTTTATCAGTTCACTGTGATAAGCGTCGTGTTAAATATTTATTGTTTGACAATACTCATTACTATTTACTCAATACTCACAATAGTCAATTTGTGACGACGGCAAGCAACGTTCTCTACACGTAGCAGTTATTAGCTAATAAAATATTATTATTATACATAATTATAATAACATAACATCATCGCTGTCAATCTTCATTACTCATTTGTAACAACTATACAATTTTATAACGACAAATCATAATACCGTGCACACAATATTACTTTTGTAATAGCAATGCTTGCCGTAACAACAAAACTCTTGACTTCAGTCATTTGTTGTTCTACTGTCATCACACAATTATGACGTGGTTCATGTTTGAAATATTTTTTGCCTGTGAATCTCTGAGTTTCTAACACTGGTATTCGTAGCTTCACCACTAATTTAGAATGCCATCATATCATTATGCTGACTATGAGTATACGCTGTCTATTACAGCAGCGGCATCAACGTATGTTCAATTCTTGTCCGGATTGTAAGTCCAATATATACTGTCGTTGAATTTAATGTTGATTTACAAAACTAAGCATTTGTATATTATGTTTCAGTTTAATTTGTTTGAACTTTATGAAAAAAGGAAAAGTTATCAACGAATCAGTATTCCCTTTCGTGACTGGATTTCTTTCGTAAGACAAGTTAAATTTTGTATACTTCAACTGAATAATGGTTTATTTATTAAGATTGATTAGTAGTTAAAATTAAATAGTTGTTATCATCTAATTTCATTGTAAAAGTTATCATATATAATTTGACTAAAATATATAATAAAACAATAACATAGTTTTTAACACAACATAAATTACTTCTATTATTGAAAACTAATGTATGGTTGTATAAATGTTCAAGTAATCTGCTGAGTAGTTTCTTAAGCTTTAAATAGTGACCTGTGATTAGCCTATTAACATTTTTTTTTAACCAGCCGGTATACTAGTAAAAAAGGATATAAAATAACACTTTAATAGTATAGTTATGCATAGTAGTTATGTTTAACTAGTTAAATATTTTAACGAGGTACTTAAAATTAATTTACATAAAAATAGCCATTACATATTTTGATGCCTAATAAAAAAATTATTTCTTACATATTCAAGTTTTACATCTTTCTTCTTATATTTAAACTGGTTGTTATTTCAATGTTAAAATTTTTGAGGGACCTTGTTTTTTTCGCATAACTGTATATACCTTATGAATTCGTTAAAGCTTTCGTGGATTGAAATTCCATTTTGCTGATTTTCGGATTTACTAATGTGGATATATATAAAATTATTATTATTATTTTTTTAGATGTTCCTTATGGTTGTATTATGGAATATTAAAAACTAATGGAACATTAATTTTTGTTAATACATTTGGCTGTTTATTATTTCTTATGTACACGAGTATATACTTTAAATATTCATCAAAAAAGGTGTGTATATTTCTTATTTATTTTTTAGATTTAAGATTCTTTCAAACTAGCAAGCCAAACTCCAAATTTTAACTTATTGTGTTACAGTCGTTTCCAGATAAGTTAAGAGGTGGAGCGATAACGCGAAAACCAGTGGTTTAATGTTATTTACCAAATAGATTAACAAACTAACAATTTTAAAAAATGATATGTTATTTTTTTACAATCAAATATTCTGCGGTAGATTTTTTTTTGTTGCAAATTTTTTTTACAGATTTCATTAATAAAAAAAAAAAAATAGAAACTGCCGCTGTGCCAATTTATCTGTCAACAATTATATATGTTGTATGCAACGACATACAAGATAAACAACACCAACATACGCTGTGTAAAAATTTTGAGTTTGGTTATCTAGTAAACAAGGTTTTAGCTGTATTATTTGATACTCAAATGGTGCATATTTTGGCAATTTTTTATTGGTGTTAATTAATTTTTTAAAACTTAACTTGCTATCTATAACCTGTTTATGATAGTTATTAAATATAAACTGCATATGTCACACATTGCCATAAACCTATAAGCCTAACTGTTTATTGCATATTTTTTATAGCATTTAAACATTTTCTATGTCAGATTAATAAATTGTTTAACCTTTTTTTTCTTTCATAGAACCATGTGGTAAACTTGATGTTATTGGCTATGATAGTAATTTTATTGGTGTACACAGATGTCCAAACGGAACAGGTAGTTGAAAATGCTATTTATCGTGTTGGATTGGCATCCTGTATTATGACAATGTTATTTTTCGCTGCACCACTGTCAAATTTAGTGAGTTATAATTATTTCTGGCCAACTATTTTTCTGAGAATGAATAACAACTAAAAAACGATTAATAGTTAAATTGTTTCAAATGTATATGGTAATTTTTAGGTACATGTTATTAGAGTACGAAATAGTGAATCTTTGCCTATGCCGTTGATAGTTATGACATTTTTAGTTTCAACACAATGGTTAGTTTATGGAAGAATATTGCGTGACAAGTTTATTATGGTATGTATATAGAGTATGAAATAATATTACCCCAAAATGCCATTAGATAACCTTAAAATAATAAAAAATATGTTTTTGTTATCAGTATCCTAATGCTGTAGGCTGTGCACTTTCAGTTGTACAATTATTACTGCTCATTAAGTATCCAAGAAGACCAACTGATTTAAATTGCAAGTTGATGGATGCTTAAAACGCACATATCATATATATTAACAACAGCTAAAATATATGACAACTGTTGAACTTGTGTACTACACTACTACCTCTACTGTAGCCCACCAATTATATAATATAAGTTAATTTTGTGATATAATCTACTAATAAGAAATAACCAAAATTTGGCTCCTAAAAATTCACAAGATCTACATGAATAATGATCACCTTCCTATTTCAAAGTTGAGAAATGCATATGATTATGTTAATATTACACTAAAAGAAAACCATCACCTATGTAATAAAAAATTATCATATTAATTTTATAAGTGTTATAAACTTAGTAATAAACTATACTTTCTATTGTTAATTGTTACATTAGTTTATGTTTCATAGATCTTAAAAATTATGAAAATATAAATCATTTCAGTATTCTTAAAAATAAAAATTAAAAAAAAAAAGGTATAGTATTAACTATATACTGCTTTTGCTGCTGGTTTGGATCTTAATATTAATGACATAAGTTAAGTTTTAATATGATTTTTAATTAAGCAACCTCTAATATTATTTTAACCAAGTGACTCATTGTGATTGAATTTTCATTTATTTTTCTTAGCACCTTATTTATTGTTATTTTATATATACTGTTGTAGTGGTTACCAAAAATACCAAGTATTTAGTAATACTTTTTGTGGAACACATGATTGACTTTTAATATTTGTTAAGTGATCTATATTGAATCTCTGTGTTGTGAAATAGTTTATTAACTATTATTATTGTATTAAGATATAAATTTAAATTGTTTATTTTTTTGTCCAAATTTCATTTATTATTACTATTGTACCTTGAAAAATATAAATGTGCTGTTATATATATATGATATAATTCATCATTAATAATTTAAAGAAAATCATTATTAATTTCAAGTAATACCTTTGAATTTTTATATAACTTTCCCAGCAACTAACTTAACTTGTGTATGATCTCGATGGTTATAGTTGTTGTCTTTTTAGTTTAGTTTAATTGAAATATGACCTGTTACAAATAAATGTCTCCATGAGTACCTCTTTAATAAAATATAATAAAGTATTTAATTAAATGATTCAATTTTATATTAAATTGTGTTTATTGGAATTGGTAAAATGTGTGAACAGGGAACATAATTTTAACTGGTCTAATTGGAGATGTTTGGAATTTACATCTTCACAATAAATTGTATAGTCTGATAAATTCCAAACTTAAAATGGTGTTTTGTAGTTTGGCACTCGTTGGTTCAAAAATCTGTATGTTTGTTTGTTGAAAAAACTAATTCTTGGATTAAAAAACAACAGCTAAAATAAAGTATTGACTCATTTATAGTAAGCCTTAATATAAAAAATCTATCAAGTTAAATGTCAACCACACAATAAAAATTATAGGCTTGTAATTATTTTTCGTAAAATAAGTGTCTTATGAAATATTTAACAGTCTTATGATGCTGTTATAAATTTATAAAGCAATAACACTTAGCTTATATATGAGCCCTTTTTCATGTTATTTTTCTTGATAAATTTATATATATTAATAATATTATAAAATAGTATATGTATATATAAATATATAGGCTCATATATAAGCTAAGTGTTATTGCTTTATAAATTTATACTTATATATAGCATTACAGTTACTACTGTACAAATACATGCCATTTTGAGTCTTTTTAAATTTTGGCGCCCGTTGCCAACACCTCCTCGCACCCTCTCATAAGTCTGTGTGTTATCTTCATAGTGATTTACGATTGTCACATAAATAATATTACAAAAAACGATAGGTATGTGGTTCACACTCTAATAGGTTTATATGCGACTAATACTTGTAACATTAAAAATTCAAATGGTTTTTAAAAATTAGTTTATCAATTTCCATAAAGCGCCTAGTTAAATTATATTAATCATGGCAAAATGAACAGGTGTGTCTAATGTCGTTGGTAACTTAGGTTATGAATCTTTACAACATGGCCGTCAATGTTCTCCCGTAAGAAAATCACAGCTGCTCGAAAACACCGGAATCAATTTTGAGGTTATCACAATTTGCTCACATACCTGTTATTTTTTATGTCAACATGTTTAGTAAAAGTCTGAAGTTGTACACACGTCACATGGCGTGGTGTGTTTTTGCTTATCGCCGTAGTAGCAACTCTTATTCCAATTTCCATTTTTCAGTTGCCTGCTGCTGCCCTTTTGGCTTTTAGTACTCGAGCTAGCCGTAAATTTGTCGGTTTTTTGTACTTGAGGATTTACGCCACGTTTTCAGCATACAGTTTTAGGTAATACAATTTAACTAAAATGTTTGAATAAATTATATGATAACACAGTTGTGCATAAATTTGCAGCTTTTCTGAAAGAGACATACAAAATGAGTAGATTTTTTGCCACCGGCTCAGATTCCGAGTCTGATAGCTCGTCCGAAGAAGAACAAGTTATACGCCAGCCTACTGCTAACTTCACGGTATGTAAAAATGTTGAACTTATAAATATGTTTTTTTAAGTAAAAGTATAAGTATATGTACTAGCATTGATACCAATAAACAAAATGCCAAACACTTGTTCACTATTCAATTAGTACAACACATAATTAACACGGGCATAAGGAATCCCTTAAAATAAGTTTACATAGTTAAATCCTATTGTAAATGTATAAACATTAAAAAAAAAAATGTTAGGACAGTGACTGTTTGCAGTACAATATCAGGTTAAACTTTTTAATAGATATTAAGAATATGAAAAGTCAATTTTAATCTCATTTTCAGAGAGTTAAAAGGGATTTTTTTGTAGGCATTTTTTCCTTTCTAACAAGTACTGTAATGAGCGCTGGGTATATAAAATCATTATTTAAGCCATTAACGTTTTTTTTCTGTAGTAGTGCACAACTACTAGTGTGTAGCTATCATGTCGCTGATGGCTGATTACCGCATTTTTCCATGACTAGACATTTTGAACTATAGAAGCCTGCTGAATTTTTACTTCAAATTTGTAATTAGCGTACAAAAAAAACACTGATACTGTAAAAAAAAATTGCTTGAAAAGTAAATTTCTTCTGAGGAATCTAATATAACCAATTACTTGTAGCAAAAAACCAATATTTTCTAAAAAAAAAACGGGAGTATAAATCCTTAATTATAAACCATTCTCCTTTTCTTAGAGGTAGGTCATTTGAAACAATTGCACTTTGCCTTTACTTTACAGTTTTTTTGTCATCTTGTTATGTCATTTATACTGATGACAAATCTAAAGTCAGAAATTCGCAGACGCCTCTAGTTCAAAAGCTATAGATATTTGAACTTCGAGAATTATCATTGCGCGAGATGCCCTCTTTACAATCCAGTCTTAGCAAGACGTCAGCGACGTGATAGGAACATGTGTGCGAATATTACAGTATGACTACTATTTTAGTGGACTCCCTACATCTGCAGGCTATGGAAGCTGTTTCGTCCTCAGTTAAGAAAATAGCTTGATCATAACATTTATAGAAGTTTCTCAAAACTGATTATCAATTAGTCAAAATTGTCAGAAAAAGCTGTTCTTTAAAATGGCTATCTTAATTTTTTTTTTTTAATGTATGAAAAATCAACTATTTTAATTAAAATTGTACTATAGTAGATTTAAATTTTATTTATATATATGTAGTTATAATGTGTAAATAATGGTATGTTATTATGTAACTTTTCTTTTTTTTATATGTCTGAACCAACGATTTCTGAAACCACTGAACCAGTTTCTTTGTGTAGCAACTCTATAAATTAGAAATTATACTTAAAAGTTACTTATTAGGTAAAAAATGTAAAAATTTCACCATTTCCCCTTCAAAATTCCTATTTTAAAAATCAATGGATTTTTTTAGAATTTTAAGTTCAGTTTATTTGTTTTATTTTGTTTGGTGGGTCTTTTAAGCCAAATTGCATAGTAGGCATTTCTTATCTAGTCTGATGTGGTTTTACTACATTATTTTATGACAATTTAACTTAATAAATATTATATTTTGTTAAACTGTTTTATTTGTTCATGTAGTTCAGCGATGATGAAGAAGATACCAAACGTATTGTTCGTTCATTGAAAGAAAAACGCTATGAAGATCTAAACATGACTATTAAGCAGATAAGAAACCATAAGAAAATTAAAGATATGAGTAGCTTGCTGACAAGTAAGTTTTAATAAACCATTGTAACTAAAAACATTTTTATTAATATATTATTATTTGCCCTTAAATTTTAAAGGTTTTGAAGATTTAATTCGGGCATATACCAAAGCTTTTAATGCTGTCATATTGAAAGAAGAAAATGGAGTGGCCCCTCGTTTTTTTGTTCGTTGCCTTGTTGAAATGGAAGATTTTATAAATGATGTTTGGGATGATCGCGAAGGACGTAAAAACTTGTCCAAAAATAATTCTAAAAGCTTAGCTTCGTTGAGGCAAAAATTTAGGAAGTATATTAAGGATTTTGAAAGTGAAATAGCCAAATTCCGAGAAAACCCCGATCTTCCTGATCAAGAAGAAGACCCAAAAGAAGATGATGACGCTGATTCTGATGAAAGTGAAAGTGCAGATGAAGCTCCCGCTGATTCTTTTAAAAAAACTGAAGAAAAAATACCTAAAGTATTAATGATGCCATTATCTTTTTATTTTCCACATAATGTTCATATTTTCTTAATTTATTTTAATTATTGTCTTTAGGCTCCCAAAGCAGCTGGTGCTGATTCTGACAGTGATGATTCTTTTGATTGGGGTAGTGATTCTGAAAGTTCTTCTTCGAGTAGTGAAGATGAAGGTCAATATCAAAGTATAAGAGAACGATTTTTAAAAAAGTAAATATTAATTTTTTTATAATAAAGTCTCGTATTTAGTCTTAATTATTTTTCATTTTATTTAGATCAACTGATAAAGATGATGATGAAAAGAAAGATAAGAAAGAAAGAAAAGAAAGGAAAGAAAAACCAAAGAAACAAAAACGAGAAGATGATGATGAAAGTGATAGTGAATGGCAAAAAGTCCGAAGAGGAGTAGCTATTCCTTCGGTAAATTAACAAAATGATACTCTGGTTAACTATTGTTCATACTTTACTAAAAGTTACTGTACTGAAATTAAAGTATACATTTTCATTGTTAATAGGAAAAGCCAAAAATGTTTGCTAAAGATGCAGAAATCACTCATGAAGCTGTTTTGCGTAAATTATCTGAAGTAGTTGCAGCAAGAGGAAAAAAACGTACTGACCGAAGAGAACAAATTGAATTACTTCATGAACTGCTGTTAATATCAGAGGCTCATAATTTGGGATTGGGATTAAGGATTAAAATTAAAATGTCAATAATTTCTTCAATTTTTGACTACAACCCCAAAGTCTCTGATGCAATGAAACCTGAAATTTGGAACAAGTATGCTGACAACTTATAGCTTTGTTTTTCATTTATATTAAAAAAAAAAACTATTATAAATGATCAAATCTTCTATTCAAAAATCACAAGTTTATCACCAGTTTAGCTTATCAATTAAGTATAGTTCAACGAACCTTAAAATATAGATTTAACTATAGTTAAATGTTAAGCCAAACTGGTCAGAACAATCTATAATCTCAAATAATCTATCTTAAAGTAATAAAATTAATAATAATTTAATTTAAACTGTACTTAAAATTATATTAATAACAGCATATAGTTACTAATAAAATTTATCTAGGTTATTGGATTGTATAATTGAGCTTATGGACATAATTCTTCCTGCTAAAGAAACAATATTTATTGGCGAATCAATTGCTGAAGATGCAGAAATTTTAGATAAACCTACTTTCCAAATTCGTGGTTGTGTTCTTACAATTGTTGAAAGATTAGACGAAGAGTTTACTAAACTTCTAAAAGAATGTGATCCTCATAGCAATGATTATGTACAGAGGTTAGTGATTATATTTGTAAATAAATTATTATAGAATTTGGTCAGTCTATTTATTATACCTAAACAATATGTTTGTATAATATATTTTTGTTACAATATTTAGACTTAAGGATGAAAAGCGTGTGTGTGATATCATTGATAAAGTCCAGTTGTTTTTGGAACATCAAAATATTGAGTCAGATATCTGCCGTATATATATGCGAAAAATTGATCATGTCTACTACAAATTTGACCCCTTGGTTTTGAAACAGAAAAAGGTATATTTAAAATTTTTAAAAAATATTATTTATTAGAAGAAATAAAAATGGTAATGTTTATTTTTTTTTTATAGGGAGAAATTTTACCATCTCTAAAAACTAATGTTCAAGTTATGGAAAATTTATGCAAGTACATATATGATAAGGATGGGACTGATCGTTTGAGAACTAGAGCGATCTTATGTCATGTATACCATCATGCTCTTCATGACAATTGGTTCCAAGCTAGAGATTTGGTACTTATGTCTCATTTGCAAGAAACAATACAGCATTCTGATCCTGCTACTCAGGTAAATATTTTCAAAATAATAGTTTAGCTCTGGAATAATTCAGTTTAAATTATTTTGAATAATGAAATTTATGTTTTTATTCAAGATTCTTTACAATCGTACAATGGCTCATATTGGGTTGTGTGCGTTCCGTCAAGGTAACATAAAAGATGCACATAATTGTTTGGTCGATTTAATGACCACTGGTAAAGTCAAAGAATTATTAGCTCAAGGACTACTACCCCAAGTAAAGATCATTTACTATGAATATAACTCAGATTAACTCTATTTAAATACTTTACTGTGAAGCTATTATTTTATATATGTTATTTTCAGAGACAACATGAACGTAGTAAAGAACAAGAAAAAGTTGAGAAACAAAGGCAAATGCCGTTCCACATGCACATCAATTTAGAACTATTGGAGTGCGTTTACCTGGTGTCAGCTATGCTTATTGAAATTCCATATATGGCCGGTAATTATAGTTTAATACATGTTATTAGCTATCTGGTTTAAATGTAATTCAAAAATCTCCATTTTTAGCACATGAGTTTGATGCAAGAAGACGTATGATATCTAAAACATTCTATCAACAACTCCGATCGAGTGAAAGGCAATCATTAGTGGGTCCTCCGGAGTCGATGCGAGAACATGTAGTTGCCGCAAGTAAAGCAATGAGAAATGGAAATTGGTCGGCCTCTCGCAATTTTATTATTAATGAAAAAATGAATGCTAAAGTAGGTTTTTATAAACCATAAAACAATAAACATTTACAGTCGTTACCAGATAATTTGGCACAGTGGTGACGCGAAAATGCGAATCCAGGGGTTCTCTGAGGGTTGTTTTTTTTTAATATCTTTTATGCCTTGACGAAGCATAATTGATAGTTTATTTTTATACATTTTAAAATAATAGTAATAACAAAAAGAACAACCATAATAATAAAGAACCTTCGCGCCAAACCATGCGCATCTTAGCCTTAATGGATGGTCGAGCAAAAATACTAGTTTGGCCGCCACTGTGCCAACTTAATTGGCAACAACTGTAAAAGGATTTAATTATCAATACATTTTCAGGTTTGGGAGTTGTTTTATGAAAGTGATAGAGTCAGAGATATGTTGGAACGATTAATTAAAGAGGAATCTTTACGCACATACTTGTTTACTTATTCACACGTCTATAATTCAATTTCAATGAAAACTTTATCCGAGATGTTCGAACTTCCAAGAACTTCAACTCACTCAATTATTTCGAAAATGATTATCAATGAAGAATTAATGGCGTCTCTTGATGATCCTACCCAGACTGTAGTTATGCATCGTAGTGAACCAAGCCGGTTGCAATCACTTGCTCTTCAATTGGCCGACAAAGTCAATAATTTTGTAGATTCTAATGAAAGAATCTTCGAAATGAAGCAAGGTAACTGATATGAAAAAAAGTTATCATTTAAGATTATAAATGCTTATCATCATTATTATTTTGTGCATAGGTAACTTCTTCCCAAGAGGTGGTAACCAAAACCAGGGACAATACAGGCAGAACTATAATCGCCAAGGAGGACAAGATTGGAACAGACAGAGAAGAGATAACCATAACCATAATCATAATCGAGGAACATATAACAATAATTAATAATTTAATATTTGATACAATATTTGTCTGTCATTTAATAAAAACTTAAATAGTTCAATCTCATTACATTTTTGTCTATTCTTTATAAATCAAATTAAAAAAAAAAAACTAGAACTGTTGAAATAATACCCAGAACGGTCAGTGATGAGTTCTTGTAAGGGTATTTATTGCGTCTGAACTAAAAGATATAAAACCATTTCCATAAAGACCTTTGGATGTTACCAACATTATCTTGAATCACCTTGACAAGATTTTATTGGGTTTGTTGTTTAAATCCTTGTCGTTCAATCTTAATAAAAATTATATGCAAACAATATTTCCATCTCCCGTTTATGTATTTGTAATGGACCCATTTTTGAAGGCCTAAAGCTACATTCATGAGATCATATGAGTAAAACTAACACAGCAGGTTGTTTGAAAAACTATTTTAAGCATTTAAACTTTTAAATAACCATAAAAGCCTACATTTTTTTAAATATTAATGGGGGTTTTAAATGGTTTTCTTATTTTAATGTGTTCAAAGAATTTATAAATGCAATTTGACACATACATATATTTGATACATGCAGTTTATAAGCTCAATATGCAAAAATATTTAATACTATATTTAATCAAACATTTTAGTTTAATATAACGAGTATTACAAAAAATGTAAAACTATAATAGCAAGGCTATGTACAGTGCTATTACAGATACTAACAATATTTTGGGTGAACTAAGTTAAAAATAAAAAATGTGAAATGTACATCAATCAGCATTATTAAAATATATGTATAGAAAAAAAGTTATGATATAAATCATATTATGATTAGACTGTGAATGTATATCTAATAAAAAAACATTAATATTTTCATTATTTATTTTTTTAACTGTTAATAAATACATTTTTTTTTTGTCGTAAACTTTATAAGTTATAACCAATAATTAAATTACATAAGTTAAGATTTTAGAAGTCTTCATTTGTAATACCAGTTGTTGTCATATTAGAATTATCTGGAATCGCAACCGATGCTTTTTGATAATCGCCAACCCTTTTTTCAAAGAAATTGGTTTTTCCTTGTTGAGATATTAAATCCATAAATGGGAACGGGTTTGACGACTTGAAGATCTACACAATAATGAATATGTGTAAGTTAAAAATACATATTGCAAGAGTATAAAATCTATTTGATTACCTTAGGACATCCCAATTCGGCCAATAACCTATCAGCGACAAATTCAATATACGCTGCCATTTTTTCACAATTCATTCCGACCATTTTAACTGGTAATGCACTTGTCAAAAAATCTTGTTCAATAGTTACGGCTTCTTTCATGATATGGATAATAACATCTTGAGGCGGTTTCTGTACCAAATGTTTAAATAACAGACACGCAAAATCTGTATGTAAGCCCTAAGACAATATCACCCATATCAATTACAATATTTAAATTTAATGTATGTATTAATAGATCAATACAAAAAATTGTGTGGAGTGGGATAAGGTTAAAATCAAAATTAGGTTACACAATTATTTATATGTATGTTGATATTATAATCATATGTTAGGGAATCAAGAATAGTAGTTGTTTAATGAAGTTATATTGTATAAAACTCATTAGTATTAAGTATTATATAACATTATTTACTTCATCTCTAGAGATTAATTCATTGCTAAATGTTAAACCAGGCATTAATCCTCTTTTTTTTAGCCAGAAAATAGCCGCAAAACTTCCAGAAAAAAATATTCCTTCTACAGCTGCAAATGCAACTAGTCGCTCTCCGAATGTTGCTTGTTTGTCACATATCCACTTAAGAGCCCAGTCTGCTTTCTTCTTTACACATGGCATAGTTTCAATAGCATTAAACAAAAAGTCTCTGAACATAACATAATTAAAAATAAAAAATAGTTTATTCACAAAATTGTATATATAATTATGTATATATTACTTTTCTTTTGGGTCTTTAATATAGGTATCAATTAAAAGACTATACATTTCTGAATGAATATTCTCCATCATTATTTGGAATCCATAAAAGCATCGAGCTTCAGTCACTTGAACTTCTTGAGAGAATCGTTCAACAAGATTTTCATTCACGATACCATCAGAAGCAGCAAAAAATGCAAGCACATGAGAAATAAAATGACGTTCTTCATCGGTTAACATTACCCAGTCATCAAGGTCCTAAATCACAAAATTATTATCACTAAAATAATTTTAAGAATCTAGAAATAATTATTTTACATATTTCAAATTGACTTCTTCAACATTCCAAAAAGAAGCTTCTTGTTTTTTGTACATGGCCCAAATGTCATCATATATAATAGGAAATATAACAAATCGTCTTGGATTTTCTTTTAATAAAGGTTCAATTGTAATACCACATTTTGTTCTGTACTTTGCCAATGATTCCGAAAAATCTGAAATAGTCTACTCGAAAAACCGTATTCATATAGTATTGTACTAGGACAGCAATAATTATGTCATGCATACACTACCTGTCCATTTTCTTGTGATTTTAATGCAGACAATATGTTTCTAGGTACTTCGCTCAACACTTGAGTAGACGGTTTAATAATTTTATTTTTAAGTAAATCGTGCTGCAACAGACAAGAAGCAACCAGGATTAATTCTTGTAACTATTTTTTAAATTTATTAAATAGAGTATAGACAATTAAATAACCTTATTTACCTGTTTGATATCATTGGCGTTTTCCTTGTTGACAACAGAGTTCATTATGTTTACTAAGGCGCGAGAAAACCCCTTTGAAATGTACTTCGTTTATAAGTAGGTATTGGAAACCGAGCAAATAAAGTGTAAGTCGTAAGAGGAAGCACAACCAACGTATGACTATTAAGACAATCAGAACGGTCCGAGTTTAATATTATTTTTATTTCTTTGTGTATTGTCTATACTAGACTAATAATTTCGAATTGCGGCTGACGAGGACGTTCATACTATATCTGTCTATATTGTCTAGAGGAAATCAACAAGACAGGACACTGGACAAGTTATAGTTATTACTATAACAAGAGAAAAAAGTGTTTGCATTATGTTCTTGAAATTATAATAATGCCATCCGCATTCCGCCTGTACAATACAAATTGGTGTTTAAGTAGGGTTTGCCGCCAAATTAAAGGACAACGTCATGTCACAATACGACGTGGTCGGTGCGATAAAAAAATCTAATCTCTATAATTTATTAACAAATGGATCGATCGCCTACATAAAATGAATGCCTTCGAAACTATCATACTATTCAATCATAAAACTTCTTTATAATTAATTATGCTTCTGGATCACCACTAGGCTCGATAATATAATGGACCACGCAAGGTGGATTTATAAATCCACCTTGGGACCGCGCATATCGCCGTTAATGATAGACCCATTAACTTGGTTAATATTGAATAGGTCTATGCCGCCGACATACAATGTATAACCACAGATAAGATAAGATATTCGATACATCTAATCTGCGGCATAAGTGAAAAACTATGAAATTGTACATTATAATAATATATGATATAAGAGAGAAACTAACAGAAAATATATAAACCGGATAGGATAGAAACCGATCTAGTTTGGGGACTTTGGGTAAAATTATTAGATTGGAACACATGTCCAACTTTGTACGTGATGTGTCTCTGTATCTGGGTAACTCAATTTGGTTTCAATGCTCGATCCATTTAATAAAATGTTCATGAGACCACCGTTCACAATGCAATCATTGAATGCATTTTTTTCATTAGTTTTATTTGTACAAATTTATTCAAAAATGTATTTTTTGTTGATTATAATAATTAATAGCAAACAGTTTTATTTCATTGGTAATTAAATTCTTGGTTTTGATTGCATTATGACTTTTGTATTTAAAAAAAAAAGTTGCTAATAAAGCTACAAATCTATAGTATAATTTTAATACTAAAACAGAAAGATATCTTAACCCATTTCCGGCCAAGGGTTCTAAAAAAGTGAAATTTGTCAATTTTTTCACGAAAACTCTTACATTACATTTTTATGGTACGCATCCGCACCATTGGTCAGAAATGGGTTAAATATGTGTAAGATTTATAATTATTTATAACAGTTGTATAAAATATAATCTCATACCAAAAAACCGATAGCTAGAAAACCGAAACCGGTTTTAGTGCAAGACGGGTGGTCGTGCCGGTCGGCGGTGTCTAAACACACGGGATCGGGGATAGCAGAAAATATTTGTTAAAATATATTAATATTATTTAATTAATTGTGTGATGAACCCGTTTCATTTTATCTGTAGATACTAGTATACAATATTACAATAACAAATATTACAACTCGTGATAAGTTGACCAGATGACGAAAAAAGACTAGGTGTGCAGCACTTTTTATGACTGCGAAATGGCTGCCGGAGTTTTCGGGTCGCCATGTATTTCTCATGAGAATCATTTACGTCCATTTTGTGAACATTGATACCCCGAGTTGCTAATGTACCTATCAATTTGAATCCGCACGCTGGGCGTTCTATGGGAAATACGGAATGCCAAATGGAAATTGGGATTCGGGAATTAACAAATTATTTTTAAAATATTAATAACATTTTTTGGTGTAGAAAATAAATTTGGAAACTAGATGGGTCTTTTAATCACTGTCATCTACTAGGTAAACAAGGTAGGTGAAGAGGGGAAGGGGTAAGTTGTGATTTTGGTCTTTATCACTTACGAATTCTGGATAAGAAAAGTGAAAACCGTACGGCGTCCTTGCTAATTGCTCTTGTTGTACAATAGTTTTAAACGTCGTCGGTCTATATAATATTCGTATTAATTTACCATTAAGTTTATACACCCTCAGATTTGCTATGCCGAAAATACGAAGAAGTCGAAAACCTCCGCCAGAAGGTTGGGAGCTCATCGAACCTACTCTAGAAGAGTTGGAACAAAAAATGAGAGAAGGTACCAACCATAACTATTTTAATATATTGTTATAATTTAGATACATATATTATTTTTAACAAATTAATGACTATTTTTATGTAGTCATTCAGACGGAATAGATACAATTCTTTATTTAAACATCTCAAATATTTTCCTAATTGTCTACCACACTATTCTATTTCCCATGTCATCGGTACCTCCACTCTCTTGTACAATCTGTAAACAATAGTATTTTCATTTTCCCTCTCTCTAGCTTCTTAGAAATAAACTTTCCCGCTTGCTGTGAAACAAATATTGATAGCCCCTAACAAGCCCTGCTAACTTAAAGGAACATTGGAAATTGAAATATACAAAAAAAGAAGTATAATATATTATGTGTACATAGGTTATTGCGTTTATAAAAATAAATTATACCGATAATTCAATTTTAAAAAGTTTTACATACTAAAAGACAATTTATTAATTTTCTGTCAAAAACAATGAGCACATGCTTACAGGGGCAAATTTAATACCTAGCTTTTTGTAATGTACAATTTATGATATTTTTTTTTTGTAACCAATTAAATTAAGCAAAAAGACATTAAGAGTACATAATGAGTTAAACTTTAGGCTGACAAAATAAAATAAAGGGAATTCATATGGAGGAAGAGAAAAGTTAAAAATAGAAACACATTTCGTGTATTAGATTGTGTAAAACATGAAATGGAAAAAAGCCAGTACAGTGAGATCAGGGCATAGTGAAGACGGAGCATATTATAGCATCAGAGATCACGGGATTTAATATATCTGAGAATGTGTTTAAATCACTCAAATAAACGCTTCGTTGCTTCAAAATTTACTACAATCAAAGAGTAATTTCCCCTTTATTTGGGTTTTCCTTAAAAAAGAAAAAGTTTGACTACAGAATTTGAGAAAATGTTATGTTATAGCTTCACTTCAATTCTATGTATAATCAAATTTCCAGACCTTACATCCTAAAACTACACTCGCAAAAGAGAAATAAAGAAAGTGTCCACCCATTTTAGGAGAAAAGGTTTACGATTTCTTTTAATTTGTCAATGTTTATCAATGTCTAAAAAATATTCCATGTAAACTGTTTTTAAAAAAGTTATAAAGCACTAGGATATTAAGTTTAAAAATATGTAAATTATTTGTACGTTTTTCTCAAATATAAGAGACTCTAATTATTGTTCCTTTTTTGTAGGTTATAAGAAGGGGCATAAGAGGAAGGGGAAATTAGTGTAGTAAATGCTCTAAGATAGCATCAATTAAGGGGCATTTATTCACAAGTATTGATATTTACTAATTACACTGAATTGTTTTATTTAGCTGAAACTGAATCTCATGAAGGGAAACGAAAAGTTGAAGCTTTGTGGCCGATTTTCAAAATTCATAATCAGAAATCACGATACATTTATGATCTTTTTTACCGCCGTAAAGCTATTTCAAGAGGTTTGCTATTAATTTTAGTACATAAATACAATAACAAATTAATATTGTAGCACAAGATAAAGCTATACAACATATATATATATAGTATAGTTAATATCCAATTTTATTTTACTTACTATAATAATAATTTCATTATTATATCTAAAATTGTTATGAAATTTAATTTGTAATATCATTAATTTTGTAAAAATTCAAATAAGGTTCTTGATGAAAGGAGTCATTTAAAAATAAAATTAATTATTGCTTTGCAAAAGGAATTTTTTAATAAAAATGTATTTATTTAAAATATATTGTTTTATCGTGTTTGTTATTTAGAGCTCTATGATTTTTGCTTACAAGAAAAAATTGCTGATCAAAATTTAATAGCGAAATGGAAAAAGCAAGGATATGAAAATTTATGTTGCCTACGTTGCATTCAAACAAGAGATACCAATTTTGGTACAAGTTGCATTTGCCGAGTACCTAAATCCAAACTAGAAGAAGTAAGATAACAACACAAATTTTAAATTAAAATTGCTAAATATAAGTCAGTGACTTATAGATTGGGTAACATACATTCTAAGTTGATCTTTAACTAAATCAAATTATTTATTTCAGGGTCGTATTGTAGAGTGTGTACATTGTGGATGCAGAGGTTGTTCTGGTTAAATACCTATATTAATAACTATAATATGACATTTTAAAGTTTTTTTTTTTTTTTTTTAATTAATTATAATAAAATTTTACATCTAAGAATCACCATTTTTTAATATTGTACTTAAGACTGACATTAAAACAGTATATTTTAATTTAAATTAAATAAATGTTTGTTTTCTATTTATATAAATTTAGTACCTATTACCTAACTACAGGGGTGTATTTATAGGGAATGGTGGAGGGTCCAGCTCCCCAAACATTTTTTAGTCTACTTATGGATCTATCACATATAGGATATAAATTGTATAAGTTCAATATTGTCGTTTTAAAAATGATTAATTTTTACATCTTATGTATTTGTGTTTTTGAATCGACTAAATGGCAATCACATCTTTTCATCCCACTTTTTTAGCCGTAAGAATTAAATAGTACACTGTATGCCTGTACCTATCTTGATAGTTATTGTTGTTATTACCAAAAAGTTGTGACGGCGACGATAGTAGTCGATTTTATCGTTTACAAAAATTACACTGTGCATATTTGTTCCGATAAGTGTAGGTACATGTGTGATAGAAGTACGCTCCTACTCAACTATCTCTTACTAAGTTTTGGAATGATTGGTTTTTCTAAAAATCATCAAATTTTTAAGACGTGCTTATAGCTATTATGTTATATTTTATAAATAAACTATATGTCATTAAAATATAATGTAGACATTTTACGTTCTATAAATCAATTAAAATTATAGTTTTAGCTTTATAGTATACCAAGATATTACCTACATAATAATAATTGAAAAAAGTTGTATAATCTGATACTGTGAGGTCACAAGTAACATATTAAAAAAATAATGATTAATTTTACAACAAGAAATTCTATTAACTTTAAACTAACATACTTACGAGTCAAGATGTTTAAAACAAGAAGATTTTGTTTAGAGTTTTTGCTAGAATTAAGAAAATCTTTAAAAAATAATCATCGGATACTAAGCCATACATATAAAGACTACCTGAACATGACATAAATAATATATGAAATAACTTATTCATTTTAAAAATATCAATTCACTTGACATCATATAGATTGTAAAATTAACATAATTATTTATAATTTTATATAATTGCAAATAATAAAAAAAAAAAATGATAAAACAAATTTTATTTTCTAGTTTAAATTGTTTTGCTTAAATATTTTAATTTTTAATATTAACTTTATATTAAATATTATTTAAATAGTTTTAACAATAAATGAACACACTATATACTACATTTTTATAATAATCATTAATAATTATAATTTATACTTCATATATAACATGACATTGTAGAATTCCAAAGGACACTCAACAATTATTTGACGTGTCTTTGAGCATTGAATGAATTAATTAAAATAATTTTGAGCTAGTTTTTTTTTAAATAAAAGTAAAGAAAACATTCTGCAATCATAATTTTTTTTAATATTTTAATATTTATAAAAAATGTACTTGTCATTGAAATATTATTTTAGTTCTTAAGCCAGGCCATAATTTAAAAAACACGTGGTGGTCGTACCCACAGATAATTTATTATACGACAAACCTTGTTTACTTATGGCCTGATAACTATACAGTATTGACATATCAAAAATAGACTATAAATATGAAATCATTATGAAAATATTAATTAATATTAAGAAAGAAAATAGACTATGAAATTAGGGAGTAATTAGGATTAAAATATTTTTGTCAGGTCATAGGTTTGAATACTGTATTCTCAACAAGCCTTAAAAGATCATCGACGTTAGGTCTAGCTTTTACATCTTTAATTAAGCACATCTCCATTGTTTGCATGAGAACAGGTGGGATACCTTGAGTGAATGTTTTACTGTTACTCGGAAAGCTAATATTTTGCTTTGGTTCAGCAATTGCCTGTAATTTTTGCCAAGTGTTTGTCAAATGCGAATATGGAGTTTTACCATAAATTAAACTGTACAAAATACACCCCAAAGACCAAACATCTGACTTTTGATTTATCTAAAAAAGATGTAAGTAATGTAAGTTATGTGTACGTATTTAACAATATCAATGAAAACTACAACATACTTTGTGTCCTTGGAAGTTAGATCCTCCACTTCTTATACATTCTGGGCTCATGTAGTTCCAAGTACCTGTTGTAACATCTTTCAACACACTAGTCATGTCACCTTGTATTTTGGACGCAATTCCAAAGTCTATTAACTTCAAGCGACCACTAACCAATAAAAAGTTAGCCGGTTTAAGATCTGAATGGATGATACCTATAATAGTAAAATTATTTAATACAGAATTAGTCAATTAAAATGTTTATAAATTGGGAAATACCAAATTATTCCATGTTTTTTTTTTAAAGACCTAGGCTAATATGTTCCTTTCAATACAGTAGTATGTATTTAAATATTAGATTATACATTTAATCTAAATAATATGAAACCAATTTTTTACCTACTGAAATAATATTAGGGTAATTGGAAAGAATTTTTTTGGGATATTAAATAATAATATTTACGTTTCAAGATATTTTAACATGTATTGTGGAACTTATGCAATTGACTAATTTATCTGAATAAAGATAAGGATAAAAGATTTAATAAAGATAAAGATTTAAGATGAATAAGTGGAGGGAAGCAGTCTCCGCTATTGCTGATTATTGACAAATTCCCAGGTGAAACTAACAATAATAGAAGTATTTGGTGACACCAACTTGTAGATCTTACAGGAAGACCTAGTTCACCAACTCTACAATGAAGAAAACAAGAGAACACTAACTCATTACGAATCCCAAGCAAATGCAAGGATGGAAATAAACAATATAGAAACTTTTCAACGACAAGGAATAGTATTTAGAAAGAAGAAAACTATACCCTGGTCGCCGAGAGAGCATGCTACGACCTGACGAAAATTGGCTGTTCTGTGCATCCCCGTGCGGCACCCAGTATGACTAGCATTCCCCACAGAGTCTGCCCTGTCTTTTAGCCTTAGTCATGCTGCTTAATCTACAGTCTACATGCGCAAACCCGGCATGCTCTCTCAGCGAACAGGGTATATAAGTTTATTTGCAGAAGTTAATATTTTTAATTTAAATGACTCATAGGTTATGACAACGCAACTTCATATTCAGCAAACGTCACGAAGGAACTTCTAAAAAAATTTCAAGAGGTAAGTTTGGGAACACCCTTCCAATAGTCTTGATTTATTGCCCTGTGATTTTCATGTGTTTGGGCTCATGAAAAATGAGTTAGAGAAAGAGCGATACCACTCAGATGAAGAAGTAAAAGATGTCACTAGCGACTGGTGTTCATAAAGTGGACGGGAGTTTTTCGAACAAGGCACTTCCAAACTCGTTCAGAGATAAGAAAAATGTAGAAACTTGTTTGGTGATTATGTCGAAAAATGGTTTAAAATAAATACTTTTTAATAAACTGATTTATTTTTCAAAAATGTTAGTACTTTTTGAATTTGAAACCCAATGCAATTTATTTTTTGATTGCCCTACCTAGATACTTTTTTAATAGTGATTTTTGCAGCAAATGAAAGAAATAGTTATAAAGAGGTCAACTAAAGTAGTTTACCTTTATCATGAATTTCATTAACTGTAATCAACATTTCTGACCAATAGTACATGATCATGTGTACAGACATACGTTTAGTATTACGAATCAATTTTGAGAGATCTGTATCACCTTTTTCCATAACCATGTAAAGTATCTTTTCCTTAGTTGTATATTGACTAAAATAAAAAAAATGTTAACATATTATGCGTATAATTTCAAACTCATTGTCTACAAACCTGTCAAAAAGACGTATAACACTTTCACATGATTGTAAATTTTGCAACAAATCTACTTCATTTAAATAACCCTTGGCTATAATATCTTCAACTTCTGATAAGTCTACTTTTTTTATTGCAACAACTTGATTAGTCTCAGGATTTAATACCTTAAAAAATATTACAATTTATTTTAGTACAGACATAAAGCTATTGATATATTTTTTATGATTAAAAATATAGAACCTTAGTTTGATTTAGTGGGCATAATTAAGAGAGAATAATCGGATTACTCAATTATAAAAACGAGCAATTTTTTTAAAACATAATGAAATTTATTTAATAATAAAATTTCACAATTCCAAGCTACAACAAGTCCACGTGCAACTTTAAAAATTTGATAATACTTAGAAATGTCAGCATTGGAAAAGAAACAAAATCTTTACACTTTTGGAAACAATATAAACACTTTATATTTATATGTTCTGCCTGTTTAATTTATTATTGGTATATTAACTAGTAAGATTATTCATTTTTAGTACATAATATAATATTTAAATATTATGTAATAACTAAAATGTATGTAGAAAAATAATTGGTTATTTATTATCATAAACTGATCAATCAAAGATACTTGATTATTAAACATTTTATTAAAATTATGAAAATGTCTCAATTACTATAAACTTTATTATCAAAATCATTAATTTATGCTCACTACTAGTTTCATTAATTAAAATGTAAATTAGGCTGAAAGTGGAAGATACTAACTTCATACACAATACTAGATCCTCCATGACCAAGTGTATTTAAAATACTGTAGTTTATTCCTTTGACACATATAAAATTTTCATTTAAGCATTTCACACAAACATTAGTGGACGAAGCAACCGGTCGTTTAAATTCTCCATCTTGAACAAATACCACAGGACGAATTGGAGATCTAGCTCGTATTGCAAAATTGTTGCGTTTAGCTGCAGGAGAAAGTTCGAGTGTTGAATGTACCAGCAAGCTATCTACTTGAGATTCACCACATTTGGTTAATTGAGAAGAATCACTGGATTGTGTTTCATTATTTTTGCCAGATAATGACGAATAAGAAGAATCAGGTATTGCATTGGTTTCTCTAACACTGTGATATAAACTAGTATCATAATTATATTTAGAAGTTTCAGGAGAAGCATAACACGTATCTTCTCTAACAATACATTTTGTTGTAATTTCATCTGTTTTCTCTGGAAAATTTTCTTTATTGCTATATAATGAACGTTTAGTAGTCAATGATAAGGTAGGCTTAAAGTTGTAATTTGAAATTTGTGTGTTCCTTTTGTGTTTGTCAAATGTATCGCTTGGAGTATCTACGCCACTATTATTTCTAGGTTTGACTGCCGGTCGAACAAATGGTGTCTCATGGACCAAATCTAGAAGTTTAAAATCCCCAGCTAGTTTTTCAGGTGTTTGTACTTGAAATGATCCACCCAAATCTGCTTCTGCAGTCTTGTTTTCAAACAACGGTTGATTGTCATTAAAGTGTCTAAGAGATCTACCTTTTTGCCCTAAACGACTAAAAAACGGGGAAAAACAAACAGATATTAAATGATGATTATGTTCAGCATGGCATTAGATAAATACGAGTAGTTCAATTATTATGCAATTTAAAACAAACATTTATTTGTTTACTATTTCGAACAATTGCTTACCTAGTAATCGGTTTCCTTTGTCGTGAATATTTGAGCTGAAGCAAAGGACAAGTAACGTAGTTGTCAGTCTCTCCATCATGTTCTTCGACGTTGTTATATCGGCCCGACTCGATACCGCTGTTCATTGTCAACAATCAACAAAAATGTTCAAAACGTAAAGACGAATCTACATTCTAGCGCAGTGGAGATTCAGACGAATTTTGTAACGTACAATTTTTCCGAATCTCAACTCAACTGACAACTCGAACAGTATGACCAACTATAGAAATTCAAACTATTGTGTTTATCCATGAGGAAGTAAATAAGTATGTTGAGGACTCGTGTTATCAACTGTTACAACTCGGCTGCCATTGTTCCCCCTAGAAAATACACCCGCCAATCAACACTGGCAGCCATTTTCTAGTTATCACAATGTACTGACTTACCTTTTTTTTGTCATGCTTGTACCTATCTGACGGTCGTGTTACTGCCTACTGGGTAGTAAATTTTTTTTTTTTTTTTTGAAAGAGCTTCTAGTATTAAATTGTTTAGACAATTCGGATCGTTGACCAACAATAACCATTTTATTTTTTTGGCATAAACGAATTTGTTTTGCACACTATAGAGTTCGGTAATTGCAAACTGTCTACACTCTACATTGTCCACGGATAATGTTCAACAACTAAAAATCGTATCCTTTTAGTTGGTATTTATATTTATTTCACCAGCTATAACACATACGATATTTTGTTGTGGTACTTGGTATGGCAGACCGTGGGTATTGGAAACTGTCAAACCCATTCATAGGTATAGTCAATAGGGTATATGGTCCCGTTGTGTTCACCTGCTTATTTGTTTGTATTGTTCATAATTTCTATGACCTGCAAGAGTGTATTGTGTAGACAGGTAGTTTTTGGAAAAACTGCCCGATCTCCACGGAGCTGCAGCCTGCAGGTATACAGTAAAAACAAACCCTAAAAAATGGCGTTAATACACTTTTTCTAACAGCCTTTTTCTTCATATGGAACAGATGACGAATAGGATATGTTGAAATCAATAAAAGTAACAATGCCACAAAATAGAAAAATAATAACAAAACAATACATTTTGATAAGAGTGACACTGATAAAACAGCCGAAAGCGGAAAGATGAAGTACTATAGTATAGAGTATAGACTATAAATCGTAATTCATCGGCCGTGGACTCAACATTTTAATGTTATGTGAATTAATTCAATTAAATGTACAAATTAAAACAGTTTAGTTATTATGATTTATAATGTTATTACTAATGGTATAATTTTATCGAATTGTCATTTTATTACATTTAATAACTTGTAGTATATAAATAATGTTAGTAAGTACTAAGTCTTGAGAAAACGCATAAAATATTAAACGAAATTTTATAACTATTAACAAATAACAATATAAGTCGGTGGAAAATATATTGAATCGGAGTCGTTGTTTTAGGTACCCAAACAGTAATTTAGCTAGACAGAATGTGTCAACGTTTGTCAAATTTTTCGAGTGGGATTTTACAGGTGTAATTAAAGCCTAAATTGGCATACAAATAAAAATATGTTTACGAGAATACACCATTTCAATGCACTAGTCTTATTATTATTTGTACTTTGCTTGCTTTATATCTATCGATTGCAAAACCAACTTCAACAAAGCTTTGTTAATCCCAGTTATTCAGGTTTGTCGAGTTCTTTTCTTATGGTATTGGCTGTTTTGTTTAAAAAACTAATTTCGTGTACAGTTATTTATTGAAAATCATATTTACCTCGATGTATTATTTTTATTTTTAAGTTATTACAAATGAAATTTCAAAAAGTTCTAACAAAAATCAACAGAATAAATTTGAGGACGATGTTATTGTAATTTACAATCGAGTACCTAAAACAGGATCTACTAGTTTTGTCAATATAGCTTATGATCTCTACAAAAAGAACAACTTTCATGTACTGCACGTGAATATTACAGGGAATGCTCATGTTCTTTCAATTTCTGAACAGGTAATTAAATTAGTAGACATTTTTCTATACCAAATTTGTGGTATTTAAACATCGAACATCATTATATTAACCAACTCAATATGTTTGTGTTTTTTTTAGTTAAGATTCATAAGAAATACTACTAGGTGGCTCGGAAGAAAACCAGCATTGTATCATGGTCATTTTGGATTTATAGATTTTCAAAAGTATGTTGCGAAATTTTATTTATAAATATATTTCTTTACCTAAAAGAACTCGATGAAAACTAGGTTATATAGAGTAAAAGAAAAACTTTTTTTAAAACTTGCTTTTCTAAAAATAGTAAAAAAATGAACTAAAAAGTATAAAATAATTTTACTACAAGAATAATTTACCAATCAATTGTAGCAAATTTTTTTTTAAATGTCAATCATTTTGAAAACTTACAAAAATTAACTTCAATTTTAAATAATGTTAAACATCTTTAATTTTTGGCTAAAAAGAAAATTGTGGGCCCTAAGTTTCAGCCCTCTACTACATCGGGAAGTGGGTTAGATAAATTTTGCAAGATTTTAAAAATACCTGTACAAACATATGTATGTGTTAGCGCGTTATAGAAAAGCATGTAATAATAATTTGTTAACAATTTTTTTCTGTTTATAGGTATGGTGCTACTCTACCGCCTTTCTATATTAACATAATTCGTAAACCATTAGACAGGTTGATATCATATTATTATTTCCTGCGCTATGGTGATAATTACAGACCGCATTTAGTACGAAAAAAACATGGAGACACAATGGTAATAAAATCAAAAGAATTGTATGCTTTCGACTTGAGTTTGCCTTCTTGTTAGTAGATTCAAATTTACAGTTTCTACTGACTTATATTGTTCACAGTGTTGGGTGTTTAAGGCATGTTGAGCTTTATGATGATGGTTTGAATGTAAATATGTACAACTTTTTGTCCATATATAGATAATAATTATATTTTAAGAAAATAACAACAAACTTCCCCAACTAGAAAGTTTTAAATAAAAAAATATAGTGTATTTAAATAAATAATCATTTGAGTGTTAGTTTAATAAATTAAAAATTACATTTAAAAACGAACTTCAAATTTACTTATTCATTTAGTTCTTACCAACTTTTTTTTGTTTTAGACCTTTGATGAATGTGTGGAGCATAAAGGATCTGACTGCCAGCCCAATCTCTTATGGTTACAAATCCCATTTTTGTGTGGACAATCTGCAAGGTGTTGGTATGAATCACATGTGGTCTACGAAAATTTATAGATTATCTATGCAATTATTTGCTTAAAATATTTATTACTGTCTTTAAAAAAAACGCTTTGCATAATTACATACAAAAAACATACTTCTTATAAAAAAAATTTTGTTTTATTTATCTTAGGATTCCAGGAAATGTATGGGCACTAGAAGAAGCAAAACGAAATGTCGTGTCAAAGTATCTACTTGTAGGTGTCACTGAACATTTGCCAGATTTTATTGAAGTTTTGGAAACCGTCTTACCAAATATGTTTCGAAACGCTTCTAATCATTTCAAATACAGTAATGACCAAAATTTATTGGTAATTTTTTAGAATTGTATTTTCAATATTGTTTGTTTACAGGTGCTAAATCACATTTGAGAAAAACTGTAAAAAAATTCAAGCCATCTTTTCGCACTGTAAGCATTTTTAAAAACTCTACAATTTGGCAAATGGAAAATGAATTGTATAAATTTGTATATGAACATTTTCAATTCATTAGACAGCATACACTTCCGGATCCTTCAAAGGGTTTATCAAAATTTAGATATGAAAAAATTTACCCCAAGCCCAACTGACTGTGATTTAGAAAATATGTTTACTTTTCTTCAAATAATATAAATGATTAAAACTTTTAATATACAAAAATAATGTGTTTTTTCGTTTAAGAATTGTATAATATAATATGAGTGTAATATTTCACTATTCGGTACCTGTAATTTAATTTTTAAATATTATTTTGTATTGACATTTTTTTAAATAAATTTAGATCTGTCGACAGAAATTAAATTACTTCTTTAAAGGTTCTTGTTTTAATATAAGTATATTTAATATAAACAATATATTGTTTACTAGAAATTACTTCAACAGAATTTTTATTAGGGTGTTTTCACTTAATTTTACTTTTCAATTGATTTGTTTTATTTTTGATGTCTGTTAATATAAGTGGTGCTTTTGTTACGTGCGGTCAACAAATCTTTTTTTATTTTATTTTACATGAATCAACCTAATATTTCTAGCATGAAGTTTGACACCTTATGTATTGCACCATACACATTCAAAGAATTGTATATTAATTTTACATTTAATTTATGTTAAACTTAAAATTTTTTATTTTTATCATGGTTCAACATTATAATGTGTTAAAATAATTTTTTTCCGTATAATATAAAATGGAAGAACTACAATACATTATGTGTCAACTACTGTTCAATAGTCTTATAAATTAAAGGTACCAAATATTTTACTACACTATATATTATGTAACAAATATGTATAATACAAATTATATATAAAAACAAGAATATAATACATAATAATTATTAACCATTGCTCTATGCCATTATGTTGCATATAATATAATATTTAGTTAAATAGTTTTTTCATAATTTTAAGTTATAACGGATCAAATAGGATTTTCAAGCCATTATATACAAATCTATTATTTATACAATAAATTAATCTTAAAATCATTATAGCACTAGACAGTTTTGAAGTTTGAGTATTTACAATAAGTTAAAAAACAAAAAATCACTAAATATTTACATTGATTATTGTTACACACAAGGGTTCTGATAAATCTTTTAAAATAAATGTTTTGACCAAGTAAGTTATTATTTCCAAAAATTAATTTGTGTTTAAATTGGTAATATTTTGGTAAAGACCAAGATCCAGAAATGTAATATAATCTACCTAATTTTACAAGACTGATTTTAAATAAAACAAGAAAAAAATATTACAAATTAATATTTTTAAAAACTATTGCTATTGGTCTTTGTTAACAATGATATATATATTTTTTTTAAATATCAGATTGACGTCCTTAACAGTATATGGCTAATGGAAGGAATTGATTTATTGAGATAGGAAGTTTCATTATAAATAGGTCATTAGTGGTATTTCTAAAGTTTTATATTTATAAGCTAGAGACTATACTCTTTACTTTGAATTTCATTTTGTATATTGTAGTTGATTGCAGATAAATTTACTGGTTTGAATTTGCTAGAATAAAAAATAGCAATGTAGTCTTTAAATAATACAAATTAAAAAATTTTTTTTTTTAAAGACTGGTCCACACTTATGTGACTTTTTCCCGATTCGGATAAATTCATCTGGGCGTGGACTTGCCTTACTTAACTCATGATATAATAATAATAATCAATTAAACTATATTTACCAAAAATGAGAATAAGGGCATCCTATGATAAATAATTCATTTCCATTCAAATCCAATCTCCATAGTCCTTTATGATGGCCTCTTGTGTCCAAATCCCAAATTTTTAAACACTATTTAAGTAAAAAACATTTTATAAAAATGTTGAAGAAAAGTAATTCAAGGTTTTTATAAAATTAATTTACTTTTGCTACAGGACTCCACGTAGACATATCTTTTAAGTTTAATAGTTTTATATACATTATCAACGTTATATTCTATAAAAAAAAAACTTTGTTTTTAATTAAAAGTAAATTTGATAAACTACATTATTAATACTACCTTTAGGTATGGCAAGAAATCATTATCACAAGGCGATTTCTGGTGGTCGACAATATGACCCGATACAATTTTTTGCTCAAGCATATTCTTGTATTCTATTTTAGTTAATCTAAATATAAATAGTTAGATTTCAATAAGAATAATTTGTGTTATATTGTTGAGTAATTGCAGCATATTACGAACTTATCAATATCCTTAAATATAACATCTTCGACAGTATTGAATGCATGATTCCTAAAATATACTTCTTGGAAAAATGAATTCATATTAATTCCCGAAGAGCCAAAATGAAATGTTCTTGAAACTTCTGGAACAATACACTCTCTACCTTTTTGGACTTGTGGCAATCTCATCCACATATCCCAATCCCACATCTAGAAATTAAAAATTATTTTTACTAGAATTGAAACCTATTACAATATCAAACATACTTTTTCTACTGTCGGCCATTCAGACTCAAGTTCATCTTTAAATAAAGACTTTTTTAACATCCAACCTAGACCAGGCATTGAATCAACTCTGTACAAAACATCTGGCCGTGAGCTAGTATGTTCAAAGCCTTGATCATTCCATGAAGAAATACAGTACAAACTGTTATCTTTTTCTAGGAGAGGTAAAGTTTGACTGAAAAAACTATAAAATATAATTATTATATTATATTGACTATAATGTACAAACTATAAATACATTTTTCTCAGTGAATATAATAAAATATATTTATGACTTCGAAAATGTCATAAAATTGTTTTATAATTATAATCAACAATTACACTGATTACTATCTAAATATTTACCTAAAAAAATCTACAGACACCTGCAAATCCTCTTCAATTATAATAGCATATTCAGAATCAGGAAACAGACTAAATGTAGTTGATAAAGATGATTTATAATGTTGTGTGACACGAGCATTTTTAATTCCGACAGGCATATGTTGTATTCCTCTTAAACCAAATAGTTTGGTAACCTCTAGGGGCTCATCAAAGAAACCATCAATGAAAATAGTTATCATGTCAGTCTGTACACCCTTTACTTCTAATAGCGCTTTTAGCATTCTGTTGAAAAACCATTGGATATAATAGAATAAAATTACAAACATTTATAAAGTTACCTGAATAAGTAATTTGGCCTATTACTAGCTATTATGGATACAGGAACATTTTGTAAGTTAGAACTTGGAAGCTAGAAAAAGAAATCAGTAAAAATACAATTTTTTTTTTATAGAAATTTTATCTCACAGGAGTGGGTGAGAATATAAGAGGATCTGGGTTAAAGCAGCTGCAAACGTTCCCATATCCTTCGATATTATTACAAAAAATTTTTCTTCGTGCATTCTCTTCACTATCTGGCCAGTTACATTCATGGTCTAAAACAATAATAAAATAATGATAATTCCATAAACAGCAAAACTAAATAACAAAATACAAATTAAACCACTATACTTTTGTAAGAAGTTAAAGGAACATCAACTCTTAGTTGAACATCGGCACCCCATGAACTACGAGATGGGTTTTTACCAAAACCTTCTCCGTACATCCGAACACCCTTTTGAACTACCATAGCCCACATGTCTCTCCAGCTGAGAATTTGAAACTTATTTGAACCTAGGTCTTTAATTATCTTCCTAGCGTTTTCTCTTAAATGAAATGAACCTTCATCCTAAGTATATATAAAAACGTTATATTCAATATATTATGTTACATTTAATTGCAAAACAAATATATTTCAAACCTTGATTGCAAATATAACTATTCTTCCGTCTGACACCATATTCAGAAATGACACCATTGCTTCATCTTCATGAGTCATGTAGGTATCGAAAGTCCTTTGAGCCATAACCATTCCAGTTTGTTGATTCAATACAACAATATGAATGCCTCTACCTTGTAACTTATCATTGTCTTCAATTACCTTTTACATAACAACAATAAGTATAATGGTTTAACTATTAAGTAATATTATATATTATGTTTACTGTGGCTTCATCAATGGACACAGAAACTTGCTGATGACTAGATAATACTTCAATTGAAATGTACTTTGCGTGTTCGGGCAATAAATGTGGCGAAAGGCCATCATCTAGCAATTAAAAATAAATAACACATTAATAAACTAACTATTGGTTGAACTTATTTAGGTAACTACTTACTATTAAAGTTAGACTTTCGGTTTATGAGTATAATGTTGAATAATATGATAAATAAAATAATAACAAGCATAATCTGAAACAAAACAGTTTAAAATTATATTTTGATTAATAAAAATTGGAAAATGTTTAATAATCGTACACTTACTTTTACACATTGCAGTATGGATATACGTCGAGTAATTGGACTAACTAAAGCAATGTTCATTAAACTGATTTTTAATTTATATACATCTCCCATATTTCCTACACTTGTAAACATCTGCGCTGATTTTAAATCATTTTAGCTTCGATACAAATCTGAGAAGGTATATTAGCATTCTTATAATTGCAAAAAATGAAACAATAACTATTTTTTTATAGTTAATTAATGTTTAAGATACAATATTGTTATCCTATTGTTTAATGTATTCGTGTATGTCGAAAAATGCATAAATAAACGGTTATAACTAAGCAAATTGTGAATTTAAGTTTGAAAATCTTAATTGATTAATACAATTTCATAGCTAAGACTGTATTTTGTAATGGTAATTTTGAGTTAAATTGGTAGTATTTAAAATTAATGGTATTTTATTGACCATTTGCAACTGTGATCGAGCATAAGCAAAAATTCAAATATTTTTAAAACAATGTACAAAGTTTGATAGTACAGTTTGCAGTAAATGATAAGATAAGAGCGATCAGGAGTTAACAATTTGTAGATATTTTATATACTGTGGTTACTATGGTAACTGATAATTTTTTTTAATAAAAATTAAAATGCACTTTTGAAATTTGCACGGCCTTAGAAAACAATATCTTCTATGAAGATTGACCTTTTAGGTTTAAAGAATTAAAAGGATAAATTTTCTTACAGCAAAACGGCTCTCCGCCGCATTCAACAACCGTATCCACTAACCGTGATGCTTCAGAAATTCCGACTTCTGTTCTTTATTAGGTAGATCACCCTTAAAATGACCCTGCTAGATTTTTATTTTGTGAGAACACTAAAAAATATTGTTTATTTGGAGTATAAGTTATTGCGGCAATTATAGTTGCCTTAACACCCCAATTGCTGGCGAGTACACAAATGCGGGATAGCAAATGATGCACACATCAAATTTTATACTAAACATTAACTTGAAAACTACCTCATTCAAAAATACCTACATTATAGGTATATTCATGTAAATAAAATTTAAAAAACGCTGAAACCGAGAAGTAAATTTATAAACTAATATTTTAATTTAAATACACTATAACTCCTTAGTATAAATCAGAAACAATATTTCAAACGTCAATTATTTTTAAGATATTTGTGGTTTTATCAAAGTTATATTTATTTATCCTTTTTCGGCCTAAATTACTTTGATTATGTATAGTGAGTAAAAATTAATGATATAATATTCTAGGTTAAGCTTTTTTAGTGCTATGCCATATACAACTATAATATATTTAACGAATGGTAGTGCTGAAGGCATTCATACTAAGGACTAAAATCACAAAAAAAGAAAAAAATATATACTGCATAAAAATTATACTTTAGAAAGTATAGAATATATTTTTTTTATTTCATACTTTTAAATATATTGAAATATTACTTGTAAAAAAAATCAGTAGTTTTCCCCCAATTCTTTTATGACAGAGATAGCAAAAATTACTAAGTTATACTTAAATGTTAATTTTCATCAAAATTAAATGTAGAAATTTTAATTTTAAGACTAATAAATAATTCTAAGGTCCTTTTACTATAATACACAACATATTGACAGTATACAAAATAAAAATTGAACATATAAAATTTAGTAACACAAATTATAATAATAAAAACATTTGTTAAATTACTGATAATTTTTTTTTAATTATCAATCTTTTCATAAAAGTAAAAATAAAATAAAATTTACTTTTATTTTGGTACACAATTTGTAAAAATTATACAGTTTAATAAAATACATTTCATTATTGTTTATTAACATAGAAAAGTATGCAAAAATAATTATAAACAATTTTATTAATTTACATTATTATTATTAATATTGTACTTATATATAAATACTGTAGGAATCAACTCCATTTTTATTGTACCTTTTAAAGTTTAGAATTTTATTTTTGAAAAATTGGATAGACCAATATTAATAAATCACAATAAACAGTTAATTTAATGCAATGAAAATGCCAACCATATTATACACATGTTAATAATATTTAATTTTTTTTTTAAATACAAACAAATTAGTTTTTTGAATTAATTTTTATTTACTTATGATAATAAAAATAAGATTTTTATAGAACTAAAATCACTAAGTCTAAAGTTTTTTTTTTGTTTTATTTTGCTACAAATGATAGCTAGTTGAATTAGAGTATATTAAGAATATTTTAATCCAAACCGTTCACTTATTCATCTTAGTTGTGTAAAAAGCACTTAAATTATGATTAAGATTTTAAAAGTACAAGAAAAGTTGTTCATAACATATTTTCATATAAAAATGTTATTCATATATTTAATTTTTGACATACTGTAAAAATTATTTTGGTTTTTTTCCTTTAAAAAAATTAGTCTAAATAGTTATAATACAATACAAATTGTATAAACGTTAAAATTATAATAATTAAATTTAAAAATAGAATACTTAAAATACTGTTTTTTTATTTGCATATTTTATACCAAATTTGTACTTGCTAATGTAATTAAATTTAATATTATTATTATCTTCTAGAGTAAGCTCTTTTCTTTCTAAGTGTAGCTTCTAACCTAAGTTGTCTCCATTCTGCAATTAATGATTGTCTTTGAAGTTCCAAATGCCTACTACTAATAGTTTGGTGATAACTGGCTCTTAGGTGATTTAATGTGTTCACTTGAGAATGCCAACTTTGCATACCTATTATTTAAACAATACATAAATTTAAAAACAAAACAAACAACACAATAAGAATTTAACCATTACTCAAATGTGACTTGTATGGATTCAATAAATTGTAGGTCCGTTCATATGCCATTTGTCTCTCTCGTAAAGTTATGTTTAGATCCTAAAAATAAATATGGTAATTAGTACCAAATAATAAATAGCTGATAAAAGTTTTTGTTACTTGAATGGGTTGTACAGGTGGTAACTTATATCGGGGCTGACGAGCATTTCTAGTTTCCATGGCAACAAAATCATCAACGTGCAATGAAGGGGGGCGAGATGTATTTGGTGATTGATTACGAAATGTATCCGGTCTTTGAACGGCTCCAAGTCTATTGAAAACTTTATGATTCATAGTTGGAGGGGTAACAACAACTATAAAGCATGAAAATAATACAAATAAAATACAATGACAAAAAATGTAAAGTATATAATTCTATTACCAGTTGAATTTGAGGGAGTTTCAATACATTTTTTCTTAATAGGTTGTTCCTCTTTAAGAATAACTGGTTTTGATTGAACAACACAATAATCTGTGCTAAATAAATTCTTCATTTTCTCTTTAATATTGAAATCTGGCATATCCAATAAAACATTTTCAACATTACATTCAATCAAATCTGTTATGTCATCACAGATGTTCGAACTTATAATTACATGGTCTTCTTTAGTTTTGTTTAGAATATAAAAAGGTCGATTCTCATACAAAGTTGTTAACGAATTAACAATCGGCAATTGGGGTTCAGTGAATTCTAATGTTGAACCTTCATTACGATTAAGTAGTTCAATACACTCTAAAAGTCTAGTAACAAATTCATGATTTTCTGACTGCATTTTTTCTCTCAAAGTACAAATCGGGTGATCTTCACTGGGACTATCCCAATTCAAATAATATCTTAAATCGGAAGAACTAATAAATAGGTTTCTTTTGAACTGAGAATCATTACTAACACAAGAAATTAATAATTTAACCATCAACATCAGTGTACTAACACAGTTATTATCTTCTTTGTTCCATTTTTTTGAAATAATTTTAAAAATATTGTACAATGTTGTTGGGTACAAATCCAAAACAGTTTTAAAATAATAAAATCCATAATCAACTTTAATGATCACCAAAAAAGTCTTAAGGTTTACTAAGAGACTAGAAAGATCAGTAAGTGTTTCCGTTGAGCTTATGAATGCTTTGATAATTTCAAGAAATAATAATTTGTCCGGGACATTATTATTTATCATTACTTCATCATAACAGCTATTAACCATTATTTCAGCATCACATAAACATCTCATAAATGAAACAGCACTTTCTTGTTGGTTAACTTTTATTTTATCACAAATTTTCTGAATGAGTTTCTGATAATTTTCTTGAGATTTTTTTTCATACAATATTTGTAAAACCGTTGATTTTATTGTAGCATGTTTACACAATGCGCTTAATAAGTTTAACCATTTATCAAAGTAATCAGCATAATATGGATCTAATAGTGCATTCAATACAGTCTGTGTGATAAGTAAACTCAAAGATGGGCTTAAATCGGCTATTTGAACACATAAACATTTTAAAGGTTCTAATAATATATTGCTTATACCCATTATGGTAACAAGTTCAACTAAATTACTGTTGATTTTACTTAAATGATCTGCCCACAAATTACGGTAAGAAGTCATGGTGGAAATTGAAGTATCTTCTAAAGATTTTATAGAATGAATAGGTAGAGGTAAAGGCAATAGTTCACACAACATTATCATTCCTGGAAAGAAGACAGATGGACTGGATAACGTCCATGTGATAACTTCGTTTATCATGGAAAACCCAATCTTAGTTTCAACATACGTCAAAAGAGTTTTATGTATATCTTTTACGATCTTGGTGGCGTCTTCTCGAATTGTAGGAGAGCATTCGATTACACTATGCATTAAACTGTGTAATTTCAATAATATTTTAATAGGTGATATATCATTGAATGAATTTTCTCTACTATGTATTAATAATGTTAACATGCAACGAATTAACACCATTGTTGGATGTACAATAGACAATATTTTAGTACCGATGTCACCAGCTAGTTTCCAGACGTTCAAAGAAGGTTGTTTATAATAATCACATATTTTTTCTACAATCATTAACAAATTTATGAGCATGTCAAATGAATACATTTGCAGTATGATGTACTTATGTTTAAGTTCTATAAAATCTTCAGTACTTTTAAATATAATTTCATCATTAGGGGCTGCTAAATATTTTAGGATACGTAGACTGGTAATAAGTGTTTTATTAAAATTTAAACAATTTTCAACATTGTTTTTAACGTTATTGCACAATTCAGAAACGTCATCTGGGAAAAATGCCGATTGTGCCATTGCTGGATAAGTCCAATCAATTAAATCATTAAAACAGCTATGTTTGCAAGCTATACCATATAATGACGGACCATATTTTTTCAAGTAAATAACGTTTTCTGAATTCTCTAAAATAATTTTCATCAAATCTAACGAATACAACATATGTAATTCTTCACTTGTTGACTTAGTTTGCTCCATGTACTTAAAGTAATTCATAATCACATCTATATTGTCTCCCATCGTTAACACATACACAACAGCCTGCTTGCCGATTGGAGATTGAGTTAATTGGAACATATCATGAAGAACATCAACTGACTCCATTGGGTCAAGTTTGAAATTTTGCAATATGTTACACTCCCAAAAGGAGCTTAAATAATCAATAAGCGATAAAACTTTCATCCTATAAATAACGTTTAATGTAAACCGAGAATTAATTTTATTTAAAGTTTTAATTAGATTGTTCAACTCCTTATATCTGCATCCTAAGTATCTGAGACCATGTTCATAGTTCATCAAGCTTGATAAAAGATTCAGTAGATTGTGCTCAAGCGAACGCAACGATTCATTAGATATTTCAAACAGTTCTATGATACGGTTTATAAGTGAAGCATCATCAAAAAGTCTATAAATTGTAGGGTAAACATCTGATTGTGTTAATGCTGGCGTGAGTTCAAACTGAGCACGAGCTTGCAAAAATCTTTTGGGACATCCCATCAAAATCGGAGCTTTTATAAAAGTTGTTGTAATTTCTGATAAACAATCATTTACCAAAGACAGAGAGCTGTTATCCAAAATATTTATTTTGGAATTCATTTTTTGTAATAATTCAAAAAAATGTATTTTTCTTAAAATACTTGTTAGTAAGAAACTTACACGTGGTCTTTCTTGCATTCCGAGTATTTTTAACAAAGTTTCATATCCATTAAGTTTATCAAATGCTTCTGTGTACAAAAACAAACGTATTGGTTCAGATCCATTAAGGCTGGAATCCAATGCACGCAAAATGTTTAATTTGAGCGACAAACACATATGTTCAGCAAAGTATAAATTGAATAATTTAACATGAACTTGATGATGTTTAATAAGTTGCCCAGCCAAATTTTCACTATGTTGACATAACACTTCAACCAAGTTTAAACCAACCTTCAAGTGACGTAATACTAGTGTTGTCATGGAGGCATGGTTCTTGTAAGCAAAATGAAAATCAAGTGTTACATCTACTAGTGAAAACAATTGATGATGGTACTCTAAAACCAAACAAGTATTGTTTATACGTATACATTAATACAAATGAAATGTAGTTTATAAAGCATACCTGGAATGTTTAAAATATTGTTTAATGTTTTAGGCAAAATTTGAACAATTTCCTCTACAATAGTAACCCAGTTTTCGTTGATGTCTGAATTGTTCAATTGTAAACATTTCAAGTGATCAACTAGATCAGAAGTTCCTATGCATTTGGAATTTTCTCCCAACTGTCTTTGCAACTCAAAAATGGATAACACTGGATCTTGAATACACTAAAAATTTGAATTGAAATTATTTAAATATTTTTGATTTGTTAATTATTAATAATAAAATGTAGATTAATATGTATTATATTTCATCAATTTTAGTTTTGGCAGTTAAATCTACCTAGAAAACATATTTTCTGCACATCTACACTATCATCATCTTTTTCCAGTTTATTCATCTCATCTTTCTCTCAAACTTGCTCTCTTATAGGTAGTTGAAGCTTTTTCTATTTTTTAACAAATTTGTATTCAACCACTTCTTAATAGTTCATTTTTTTTTCTTCATTTAAGTTCACAGTACAACTATTATCACTATTAAATATTATTTTTTTTTGAAGTTGAGTTCATAATTCAAAATTTATTTTTGTTGTGAATCTTATAAAATATAAGTTTTCACTATTAGTAATAATCTTAGTTAGAAATAAATGCTAAGTAAAATATAAGAGAACGTTTTTAATGCCAGAATCTCTATGGTATAACAATTGTTTAATTGCTTTACACGCGTTGTCAATATAACACTACTTATTTAACTCACCTTAAGCGGATTTGCTTCAAATAAAGATGGAATAAATGGTTTATTAAAATCATCCGAACCATCATTAAAATTAACTTCACTTTCACTGTCCTACAAAAAGATGCACAACAATTAATTACATATTGTTACAAGAAAACTTTATAAGCTAGTACAATATTATAATTTGCTAATAATAATTGTACCTGTTCATAACTTCTGGAGTCTTCGCTGTCAAGAGCAATGTCCTCGTCACTACTTATGGCTTCTAAAAGCATTTCTACTTTTTTTACTATTGACGTGTCATTATGTATTTCCTTAGACTTCTCCAGATCATTTTCTTTTAGCTTAACTAAAAAAAAAAAAAAAACTGCTCAAAGTCGAATTGATAAACACAAGATGTCTTTTACCATTAGTGTCTATTTCCATTTTGTCAATAGTGGTAACATGAGGACTGACCGGGGGAGTATTTTTATCACGTTTTGAACAATTTTCTTCAGTATTCATTATTTTCAACTATTCAAATTTAAAATATTAAATGTCTTATAGGTATTATTTCTTATTGGCGGCACACGTTTGAGGAGCTTGAAAAGTTAGCGTCATAACAATAATTGATAAGAATCTTATCAGTTAAAAAAATATGAGTTCAGAAAGGCCTTGTTGCCTATACAGTAAAATATCAAATGGTAGGTATAACCAATACAATTTACTAAATAAAGTTAACATCGGAGCGCCGTCGACATTAGATTTTCAGAACAAATTCAGTTTAGATCTCAGTTTATTTACTAATATATAGTTTTTTTATACTAATAACGATGACGAAGTCAGAATATTCCGCTTAAAACTTACATAAAGAATATTTAACTAACTGAATAATATTATAAAATGATTAGCTAAAACCTAATTTTCATGCACTTTTAAAAAAGTAATAACTTTATTGAATTTTTTATTTCACTAATTTTTCACACCAAAGCTTTTGATGATGAGTTGAGTCGGTACTCGGTTATTTGAGATACCTCATTATCATTACTTAAACTAAAATAATTTGTCTTTTTTTGTTGTTTTTGATTCTACAAGACGTGTAAACACACATTTTATGGATAAACACCTGGTCTTATTACTTTTATAGGTTTTTTCGTTCTAAATAGGGTTTTGGATAAGCCTTTCACGAGATAAACACCATTAGTCTCGTCTTATACCTAGTGTTTCTGCAAACTATGCGTTATATTGAGAAACACCCAAAGCCCAGTCAATTTAAATTGAAATTTTTACTAATGTATAAAATAAAAAATTTGGTCTATCCTTGAGAAGTACTTCGATTTAGGGTACAAAATAGAAATGACATGTTTTCAAACGCTTTCTCCCTCTCCTTGTGTTGGCGGGAAAAGATTTTTCCTTATCCTGTATAGTTTAGATTTTGTAGCTAAGACGTTTCTCAAATGATCGATTCAGTTAGTATACTTATTTTTTAAGTTGCAGCGGAGAACTTCATTTGCGTTAATTTGTTAATGAATACCCTAACTTTCTTAAAGCTTAACATTAACCTAATTTTTTTTTATTAAAAATATATGTAAGTATTTTATTTCTTGGCCGTTACTAATCAACAAAATGATGTAAAAATTAAGGTTTTACTTTTGGGGATTGCTAAACTTTTTACTGTAATTCGACAAAACAATATGCTAATCCCTACGTCTAAAAAATATAATAAATATTTTTTATTTTTTCTTATTTAATTGTACGGGCGAGTAATGTATCAGCTCTGCATATTATAAACCTTGGTAAATGGGTACCATAGTCCATATCTATTAATTTAACAAATTCCAAATCAGGCAGTGAGTCATCCGAATATTAGTCGATTGACTACCGTATGGGCCTTATATTATAAATGAACACTGTTTAAATTAGCGAGTGGGTAACAGGTTATCTGACAGGGTCACTTGAGGTGTAATTGCATTTAAATAAGCGTTCGAAATGTATTCGATAGTTCACTTAACCGGTTTTATGATAGCGTTGTAGTCAGCATTGTAGTAGTTAACCATATCGGCGATATGGTCAGGAAAAACAAGACTGGTACAATCAAATTTTAATACCTATATGAATTTCCTAAATTCACACCGGTCACCGGTTTTAACTACCGAATTTCCCGAATATTAATGTGACGTAAGGGGTATTTCTTTGTGCAAATTAATACTGTACGTATTTCCCGTAAATTATAGGCAAGGTCCTTGCCTGAACACAGAACACTGTGGCCGTATTAAGTAATTGCAATGCATTATTTAATATCTTTATTGCTGCGAGTCAATTACGACTGTTATACATTTAGTCGAAGTAGTTTTAAATTCGTTTAATGAGAAACGATTACATTTAAAAATTCTCAATTTAGTGGTGAAAACTGATAACGAATTCTGATAATGTCAAGCCCTCGAAAGCAATCATATGTGTGATAATGGATCGTTGCGCCGCCGATTAGTGATTACCTAACAGGCCAGCAGATACGACTGTCGGTCGTCCCATTTGTGGTGGTTCGACTTTCGTACGGGCCGTACCACAGATATCCTTGTACGAGCGACGGACAGGTACGCATAATATTAGGTTGTGAAATTTTTCGCTTGACACAACACCATTAGTTATTACTAACGTGACGTCAACGGTTGTGCGATTGTGTTACCGAAGAGCGGGAAACAGCACACGGCCGCCTACGCCACATCCCATTCTTGGGTGAAATCCGTTTGCCAGCCACACTTGGGTCCAAATCATTTAAATCAAACTGATTTAACTTGTAAGTCTGTCGTATCACTCATTGCACGCTAACATTATCGGCTTATGCGACTAATGCACAGGCTGCGAAAGTTGTCGATTTTGATTCCCTATTGACTTGTCCCAAGGTTTTTTTTAAAAAAAAATTGTATTTTAATTTTATTGTTATTTTAATCCTTATATTTTGATAGGATCCCATTCTCTCATTTTATATATTTACTCAAAGTGAATGTTATATTTTAATTTTTGTGACTAACTCGCGCTAGAAATCTAATTCTGTGAAAGGTGACCCAGTTAACCTTGTCCTCCGTTTATGTTGATGGTTACCTATTGAATTCAAATAAACATTTGACGTTATGTAAATCATGACCTAGTCTTTACCTTTTGGTTACAAAAAATATATTCAGTTGTGTTTCGTTCTCTCAGCTTGATAGACTGCCTATGAAAAGTAAGATTTATTTTACTTTTACATAAATCAAAATTTGTTTTAAAATAAAAAACTTCAATTGTGTTTTCACAAGAATATATTATTTTAGTCTTAAGTACAAACTATTAATATGATGTGTAATACAATAAATCTTGCATATTTTGATTTATTATTTTTGAATAGTGACATATATTTTATTTAATCACATGTTTTTTTTACTGTTTTGCGCAAATAAATGATATTAAATAATACTTAATTTCAGTGGCATACGTAAAATTTATACCTGTATTGCACATGACATTGAAATCATAATTTTTTTAAACAAATATTTATTCATAAGGTTTTTATTTATTTAAGATATTTATTCATAACTATTGTAATTTTTTTTACAAATTCAGTTTCATGAATAAAATTTTATTTTTTATTTTCACTTGAAAATTTCTTCTCAACTATAAAATGTTATTTAAAAATACTTCTTAATTACAATATTTAATTTGTTTTTCTAAGGTGGATCTAACATGTAAACAATTTTTTTTTAGTTTATGGCTAAAAAGTATTAACTTTTGCAATAATTTATAAGCTATGATCAGTGCATAGCTAATACTACTTCCTGAATTAGTATTAGCAATTACTTGAAGGTTTTATCTATTAATTATTGGTTCTTTTTTATTTTACCATAACATTTTTTTATGCTTTTGCATTTAATCATGTTCAACAGTTCAAAATAGTTTAACACTTATGTTTATCTTTTTTTTTTCAAGATATATTTAATTTTGTAATGGCTTCCCAATAGTAATTAACTTGACAACAGTTAAGCATATTAGTTATATAACATTTGATTATTGTGTTAATTATGTTAAATCTTTCCAATTTATTTGCAATTAAAAACCTATATTATAATAAACAGTAACAACTATAATAAGTAGTTTTTTTTCTAAAGGTCATGGCTTTTGTATAAATTATTAGTTGATAATAAATGACAAATGCATAATTTTAGCTATTATTTGTTTTAGAATATATTACATTACTTGTTTTAAGACTATCAATGAACTGATAAACGTTTGGTTCTTTTAAATGAAAATCTAATACTTTTAAAGTTCTGTGTTTTTGACTTTTGTAACTGTATTAATTTGTATATAATTGTTTAATACAATTAAGTAGGTGCATACATAATATATATATTTTTTGACTAATTCAGGTAACTTATTTTTAATTACTCTATATAATCCTATTTTAAACAACATGCATCTTGTATTGAGGTATTTTAAACAATATACACGTGTTTGTATTTAAGTTATTTCATTGTTGCGTAATACTCCCCACTATTAAATTAGAAATTTGTTTAAAAATATTATATTCGCATACTAATAGGTACTCTCTCTTTTCTAACCATTGCACTCTTCACATAGAACATTCTATTTGTATTATTCCAGACAATTGTGGCCGACCACTTTAATTCTATTTGTCTACCCTATAGTCATTGTTTCTTCAATCGGTTCAATTACCCCTCAGCAGTATAAAACTTAAGATTGATACTTAAAAATAAAATATTAATTTTATTCTATATTTTTTTTTTTGTTCTTTAGAAGTTATGGCGTGTCCATTTTTGTCAAAGTTACCAACAAATTTTGTCAAAAACTATGTTTCGGGGCTACTCAAAAACTACGGTCAATCTTGTCCTGTGGCATCCAGATTTTTAAATATAGGGTCTTCCGTTAATGTTGCTGAGGAAGCAAACCAAGTATCTGATGTCGCAACAAAATGTCCATTTTTAGAAGATGTAAATACAAAGGTGGTAAAGGAAGTTAGCAATGAAATGAAAGAAGATATTATAGAGCCCAAAAACGAAACAGGTAATTTTTTATTGCAAGGTAATTTTGTTGAACTAAATAGAAAAAGAGTTAAGTCAATTAGTTAGGTATTAATAATTTAATGCAATTGTGTTTAGGGAATGTGTATAACTATGAGAAATTTTTCCACGAACAAATCATGCGTAAAAAGATGGACCACTCATACAGGGTCTTCAAAAAAGTGAATAGGTCAGCACTGAATTTTCCTTTTGCCGTGGAATACACTGGGAAAGAGAAGCCAGTTACAGTTTGGTGTTCGAATGATTATTTAGGCATGTCATGTCATCCAAAAGTTAAAAAATCTGTGCAGTAAGTTCCAACAAATTTATAGTAAAATGAATTTTTTGTGTAGATTGATATTTATATATGTTTGTATTATATAGAGAAACTTTGGAAAAGTATGGTTCAGGGGCAGGAGGAACTCGTAATATTTCTGGCAATTCCATGTTCCATGAAAATTTAGAAAAAGATTTAGCGGCCTTGCATAAAAAAGATGCAGCGTTGTTATTCACTTCTTGTTTTGTTGCTAATGACTCAACGTTATTTACTTTAGGGAAAATGTTACCAGGTCATTATGGCTTTTGTCATCACAATATTTGTTAATTAACGATTAATGATTATAAAACTATAAGTCTACTTTTCACTGTAAACCAAATATAGGTGTTCATATATTTTCTGATTCCGGAAATCATGCGTCTATGATCCAAGGAATTCGCAATTGTGGGGCTCCAAAACATATATTCCGTCATAATGACCCGCAGCATTTGGAAGAACTTTTGAAATCGGTTGATCCATCTATACCCAAGATTGTCGCGTTTGAAACTGTTCATTCTATGACTGGTGCAATATGTCCTCTCAAAGAACTTTGTGAGGTAAGTACGGAAAACCAAATGTTGATTTATTTTTTAATAAACAACTATATGTATTTTGAAAATTTGTTAAAAAAAAATTGCTGTTATGTGATTATGTATTGTATGTCCTCTAGATATCGCATAAGTATGGAGCGTTAACATTTGTGGACGAAGTTCATGCAGTGGGCTTGTACGGAGATCATGGAGCCGGTATTGGTGAAATGCGTAATCTAATGCACGACATGGATATTATTTCTGGAACATTAGGTAAGAATAATAAAAATATTTTTTTATTAATACATAATAATATCTTTTACAATTTGTTTTTTAGGAAAGGCATTTGGTAATGTTGGCGGGTATGTTGCAAGTACAAGTAATTTCATTGATATGATACGTAGTTACGCTGCCGGTTTTATCTTTACCACGTCTTTACCACCAATGGTATTGGCTGGTGCTCGTGCAGCAATTGATGTATTGGGTTCGGAAGAAGGAAAATTACTTCGAAAAAAACACCAGGACAATGTCAATTACCTTAGACGAAAATTGTACTCTGTTGGCTTACCTGTAGAGTCTACGCCTTCTCATATTATTCCCATTAAAGTATGTAGGGAGATTTATATTGCACATTGGTATTTTTAGTATATAATAATTAAAACGTTAAATATTATTATCTATAGATCGGAAACGCCAGTTTGTGTTCAAAAATTTCTGATCTGTTAATTCAAGAAAAAGGACATTATGTACAAGCTATTAATTATCCGACTGTGCCGATCGGACAAGAAAAGCTTCGATTAGCGCCCACACCACACCACACTGTCGAGATGATTGATGTGCTTGTAAACGATATGCTTGAAGTCTGGATGAAATTGGGAATCCCAATTAAAGCTGTAAGATATATATTATATACTTATTTTTATATATTATTTTTTTGTATTATAACTAGTGATAAAAAATTAATAATTTTTGCGTTTTTAGACTTGCAACGTGTGCAAGAAAGAACCTATGTGTTCAAGGATTAGCAATAGCATACAAAACAACTGCCGAATTACCATCGATTCATGCTTGGTTCCTAATTGTTACCAGCTGATTAGTGCTTCAGCCTAATTATTATTTTAAACAAAGTATTCCTATCCATCAATCTTCTTTAAAATGTAACATATAATTTATAGTTATAATAATTCTTCATCAATATCTTTTCAAATGTGGTGATTGGGAAAAATGGATCTTAGGTCAGAAAAACTACTCTTTAATTAGCTATAAAAATACATTCTATTGTTATTATTTTCGACCATTATTATTTAATAATTAACAATTGTTATAAAATAGAGAAAAACATTTTTGTTTTCAAATTAAAGTTCATTACTATTTAATGTATAATTATGTTTTGTTCTTTCTAAAACAATAAGTTACCAGGGAATCGTTTTAAGCATAAATCTTGTTTGTTGAATTTTTTTTTACCATTTATTGTTTTTGACTTCTTTTCCATTATAATTTATATTACTTCAATAATCGAATTACTTAATGTATAAAAGATAGAAAATAGAAAATGGATTGTTAGTTAATTAAAAAATGTTTTTAAAAATATAATAGCTTACCTCAATAAAATATATATCATCATGAACCGTTAACTATTGTATTTTATTTTCTTTAAAAGTCAATTTCAAAGTTGACAGGTGACCTAACTTAGGAGGTCTAATATGCTTATGAAATTATAATATTAGCATATCTGTTGTCATAACTGCACTTTTTATACATCTTTCGGTAATAATAATATTAGGTAGCTTATAGAATTTAACTAAAATAACAAACCTGTATTAGCCTTCGAGTGCCAATTTTATTTATATTTATTTTCACTGTAGGTAAAGTGTAATGAATAGTTAATTTGTACGTATTTATATTGTATATACAAATACACTAAAAATATATTTTATTACAATATTGGTACAATTTTTTCTTTTTTTTTATAACCATTCAACCAAACGTCTAGGGGGCAAATTTTTTTTAAGGTAATTTTTGCACTTTAGGTCTACAAATTGACTATTTTAGATTTACTGTGAATAGTGTACCTTTTAAGTTATGACAACATTATACTTACAGTATTTTATTTACTTAGAGAAAAAACCCTTCAGCTCTAGCATACTGCTACAGTCGTGACACGTTTAAGTGGTCCGTGAGCACCGGACGTATGGGTTCACATTCACAAATTAATTATTGTCCTCTACGCCTATATTTTTTTAACATCATGATAATTACAGACATTTTTTTGTGTTAATAAGGTAAGGTTTTGTCTAGGTATAATCTTAACGCGGTAAAAAATGTACTACCTATATCGTGTCCTCAACATGGGGTAAATACTAAACTGAAACGAATTTTGTTGGACAGGTAATTTTGAAGTTCGGTAAAAAAAAAATATTAAAAAATAGAGTTCTGTACTTGGAACTAAAATAAATTGTAGTTTTGTTTTAAAAAATAGTCAAAATAGTTCCAAATTTGTATGGAATATCCTTTTGACATAGTAGGTACTAACGATAAACGTTTAAATATAAAATAAACCCTTTAATTTTAGAAGGGGTGGAAACTATTTAACTACTAGGTTTGTACTTTTACAACAAGTATTATAAAGTATAATTAGTAAATTGTTGCATTTTTATGCAAAGAATTATACAAAACAACTAGGTAATTGTTTTCTAGGTTGGTCGATAATATGTAACTATATCTTAAGGCTACATTGTTGGCAATTATATAAAAATACTAATTTAAATTTGTTTTGTTTATAACCAGTATAACTTCCTGGTGATATTAGAGTATAATTTGTTTTTATTAACAATATCACAAATTGAAATATTAGATAAAATATAATAAATAGATAATACTTGTCTGTGTCTTGACGGTTTTTTTAAATTTTAAGTTAAACTAAATATTTAGTTTGTAGATTATTATCCCAATAAGTATGACTTATTTCCCAAATAGTCACAGGACAAAATAAAAACAAAAATCGAATTTTATAACGATTCAATTTTTATTGTTTAGTTTATAATAAGTAATAACACATCGACTCGATTAAGTTGTGTATTTTCTACATGATTTAATAGTATTTATTATAATTTATATTATAAACTTTTATTCGTTTGTTTGGTTATAGGTAGATATAATATGTTTATTGTCTGTATGCTCAAACACAGTACATTGTACTAGCAAAAAAAGTGTAAGAATAGTATAACGAGTTATAAATTGAGGTCTAAAAACACGATATAATAATAAAACTTGTTAGGAGAGAAAACCTTATTGGTTACTAATATCCCTTACTTTATTGGTAAGGGATATTTTTATGTGCCATGAGCCGTTATACTATGCTAGTATAATACGGTAGCATGATTAAATAATAATATACCTATTAGGTACCTAAATATAACGTTAACAATAAAACATATCGGTAATATAATGCATTCAACGAGTTTTTTAAATTTAATTCTAACATAAATTATAATATTTATCTTTAGTCAACCGTAAAATCATTTTTTAGGTAACTTTTTTTTTTTTAAAACCAAAAAAAGCAAAAATAATTACCTGGTAGTAATTATTAATTAACAAATTATTATTATTTTTACGGTGGTATAGAACAATAGTGCCTGGGGTCGAATTTGATTATTGTTTGAACATCATTAAACATATTAGCTGATTATTTGCATATAAATGAAACATTGATACATTTAATTACTAAATACAATTTTAAAAATTGACAGATATTATAAAGGCGCGGTGACATAATATTATTTAGATACGACGGCTGTGTTTTTCAAAAGTAATTTACTAGAATTGTATTACAATTTGCGTGTTACACTTAAGTATATTTGTTTTATTCAAATACGCCAATCTCGAATTCAAAATATAAACACAAATGCTAATTTATTTATAATAATAGTAAATAGTTTTATTATAATTAAATAAATGCGTTAACGCGCCCGAGTTAATGAGTCGGTTTCCAAGTACAGATTTTGTTTTATTTTACATTTTCTGTCATAATATGCCTTTGATCTATTTCTATGTACTTTCATACTATGCATCTTCTCCTGAACATTTTTCTAGTTCTTAAAAAATAAATTTGACGATACCATACATACTACGGAATTTGTTTTTATATCATTAAAATGACTCTTTAACTCGCGCACATTATTCTTTTTTGCCAAAAAGCACGTAGACGCTCTCTTATGAAACGCGCCCACACGTTACGCATTTACTGACAGTGTAATATTACTTATTGGATAATAACGACAACATAATATGATAATAATAAAAAACATCTCCGTTTGACTAGAAAACACATGGTAATAAATCATAATGTCCTAGACACTACAGTGAAAGAGTAAACATAAAGATAGGTTGTGTCAACTCGCGCCGTGCAGATTCAATGGCGGGCAGATGATGTGAAAAACGGTTTTAGCAGTTTATAGTTGTTTCCTTAAGAGAACGGTCCAAAGGCTTTCGGACAGATTAATCTGTGTTTGTACCCAGAGGATACTTATATTTACTGTGTAATTGAAAAAGTCTTTGCTAACAATACCGTTGAATGCAAAACAAATCGTTGCCGTTTAGTCGAATTAAAAATGCACAAACTATTCGTTTTGACACATGACACCAGACCCCAGACCGTTCTCAGATTTCAAATATAAAACTATTAATGGATGACACCTTTTTTTGTAAGTACAAGAAGTTTAACAATTAATAATCCACCCAATCCTTTATGATGTTGTATAATTATATTTTCTACTGTATATTCATCAAGAATTGTGCGGTTTGGTCTGAGTTAAACTGTTATATGCCACTGAATGATTTAATGTTTTTTTATTTCGGAAAAACGGACTTCTACAGAATGTAAAAAAAAAAAAAATGTAATAAATATTTGATTATAATATGTAATAGTGCAATTGTGTAAGGGTGCAATAATGTAATAGTGCAATTGTGTAAAAGTGCAATAATGTAATAGTGCAATAGTGCAATAGTGTAGTAGTGCAATTGTTTAATAGTGCAGTTGTGCAAAAGTGCAATAGTGTAATAGTGCAAGATGTGCAATAGTGTAATAATAGTGCATTAGTGCAAGATGTAAAATAGTGTAATAATAGTGTAAGTGCAATAATATGTGTTCAACATAATGTGTTCGATTAATATTAATTTCTAGCTAATATTTATTTGATAACCTCTGGGCCGCACAAATTAATGCTAAACAATTAATATGCATTATTAGCGTTATGTATTGTAGACTTATCTTTGAAATGATACTGTATTCACTGTAGTGACAGGAAAACACATTGCGGCTTATATTTTCTACTTTTTGGTTATACCTGATATATTAAACATATATATATATTATTATATATTCATAAATCATAATCATAAATATTATACTTCATTCTGCCTTTTCCGCGTTATCGACGGTACATCAGTCGAAAATGGCGAACGATAACATTATAATAATCATATTATTACTAAAAAGAGTTAAACACTTTTCACTATATAAACTGGTATTCGAACAAATGCTAAACATAACTAACGATAATTGAGTTAATGGTAATCATAATAATAATAATAATTTTAGACCAGAGGGTAAACCGATGTTAGATATTATATCAACTAAACGGTGTACAGCGTACATGGTTTTATCTCACTGCGGTTTAACTTCTGTCTGGTAGTATAGGTATAGCAAATAGGTAAATATAGTATTCTACTTTTTTAACAATAATAACACCCGACAGGGGGTAATACATAGTAATAGTATAGCGCTACAAGTGTTACGAATTTTAGGTAATGTAGAGTTTAAAAAGTAATCTAAATGAGGCAAACGGATAGTGGGTGGACGACTGTCGAGTGGACTGGCAGCTTACAAGTCTTGTCCCAACCGGTCGAGTTCGGACAGCAAAAAGTCTATGTCACCCTTGGTGACTGCAGCGCTGGATATGATGTTCCTGAAGAAGTTGGGAAGCTCGTTAAGAGGCTGGTAACCAACCATCAGTGTGCCGGCTTCCATCATCTTGCCTTTCAACACTGGAGTGATCTGCAATCACAACGTGAACGATTGAGTATGACATCCCTTTAGATCACACGGTCCAAATAAACTAGCTAAGTCTTAAACAGATACCCAAAGTATACTGTTAAATATGAAAGATATAATTTAGATTGAAATAAAAATAGTGGGTTTGTTCCATGAGTTGATTGGTAGTATATAATAATTGACTGTACTTAAGATCAGAGATAACAATGTGGCACTTCAGACCAATTCGATCCTGGTTAGGACCAGAGAAGATTATGTGCTCATCAGTTACAAGAGCAACCTAAGATTTAAGTGTTTACATAGATAATTTATTTACTGATTTAGAATCTCTACCAGTAAATATAAAATACTAATAACTGTGTTTAATAATAATAAATACCTACTAAGCGTGCGGTATTTTATTGAAATAATTAATTTTAATTTTTAAATAATCCTGCGCCTCCCTAGCTATCTGTTGATGGCTGGGGTTGGATGATAATAATGTTAAGGGTGTGCAAGGGAACACAAAGGGACGAAAGGGAATCTCTGCGGGCGTTGTATGCATAATATTATAATAATAAAATATGTTTAAACTCGCTTATCCGAATCATTGTTTAAACAGTCTGTACAAACTAATAATAACAACAACCACGATGAAGGGAATGTGTGTTTTTGACCGACATAATGCGATTCCGGATGTTAATGCGATGTAGCGTCTTGCATCTGATGTTGTTTTAATCGGCCGACGTGAAAAAGCTAAACAGCTTTGCAGTTAAATCGCATTAAAGGAACACAAAAAATAACAAACGGCGGGACGTCTATTCGTGTACTTAGCACAGACTTTCGTGAGACTTCATCAGACTACCTCGAAATTGGTTTACGAACACCGTGCGCAGATTATATTGGGGAGAAAATTACTAAAGTGGGTACGAGCAGGTAAAATGACAAAAAAGTCGGCTTTTACTTTCCGAACCGCCCTAAACCTGTAAGACTCTTTGGCGACGAACACGGTAATAATAAAGCATTACCTGGCCGAGGATTTCCGCTCGTTTAGGCGAATGAGCCACGTTCCGCAAACGTTTGGGCACGTACCAAAAGCTAACGTTCACCATTTCGGGTTCCAGAATCAGATAGAATTTGTCCGGTGAAGCCTTGATCTTCTCCACCATGTACTCGCTGAGTTCCATCAAGTGGTTCATGTGATTTTCGAATCCTTCAGTTCCCTGGAAACACATACACACACGCAAAATGTATAAATCGGTATACAGAGGCGGTGACTTGACTTGGAAACGAGCCTATTCAAATCGACATGTATACCTTTGCACGCCATTGAAGCCAAAGTTTAAAAATATCGTTGTGGCGACCGCACTGTATCACCTTGTCGCCGGTGTCGTACCTGACGTCGTACAGTTTGTCCTGCATGAACAAGTACTCAGCGCTCATTTGATTGCAGCTGATCAACAGACCCTTAAAAACCAATAGAACAAATACTTTAGAATTATTCTCAGTAACGGTGAAAGTTTGGTGTAAGCGTTGGCTGGAACAACTGCGCTATTGAATAGCATTTGTTGAGTTCAGAAAAAATGCTGGGTGGGTTAGACAATTATTGCATTTAATCATGCAAAAATCTCTGTAAAACCTGACATGTTGTCACTTTAAAACCTCTGGGAACTTCTGAGACTTTCTGTGAACCTATTACCGAGTTTCAAATGACCTATACGCGGTCTATCTGCAAGAAAGTGTTTTGAACGCTGATCTTTATTTGCTAGTTTTACAATAACGATATTAATTCTATATTAAAAATTGTCACGATAAAAAACCTTGTACTTACGTTGTCTTTGAAGTGAATGGTAGAACATTGCAAAAGAGTGCCCATAAGTTTGTGCGGATTCCACGTGACTGAGTTTGCACTTTGGTATCGTATATGCAAATAAACAATTATATGTGTATTTATAATGGTTATAATAATTAATATGTAACTTAAAAAAAAAAAAAAATAATGGTTTTATGTGTACAAGATGTGGGGAAAAGTGTCATTACATGATCTAAGAACAGGTCCATATTTAGAGCTCAATACTACTATAAAGTTATTTATTATAAAATAAATATCGTGATTTATCGTGGAAATGTAACCAGTAGTAGCAAATTCGCAAAAAAGACTTATTTTAATTATGAGAACAAAGGGATTCTCATCTTATTATTGAAACATTTCAATTAAAGGGGGGAATTGTTGAATATATATTTTATACATTGAACAAGATCTATTTTAATAAGATCTATTTTATCAATAATATAATGCATGGGTTTTACGTTTGTCAGTACCGTACAATGAAAAATAACTATTGCTTCGGTACACGGTATGTTTTATCGGGTTCGCACTGCTGACTAATAGTCAAATAGGTTAAGCTTTTTCTTTTTTTTTCGTATTCTCTGTCAGAAGACTGAGAGAAGACTACTGTCGTTGTCGTCCTTGTATTTTCCTCGGCAGTTTCGGAAGAGACAGATCGCATTACTTAAGGGCTTATGCCGAATACGTTTAAAACCGAATATTAGCGGTGCTCCAGATAATCCTGGATTTGAGCCCCACGCTAATTCGGCTCCCCTTCGGAGGTCGACTAAACACATAGTGGTAATAATGCCTCGAGGATAAGGTAGTCGGCGTTCAGTGAAGGTTTATTTTGGATGGATTTAATAAAAGCAAATAAAAAAAAACCAAACCAATTTAAACAAGTGCAACGCCAACGCGAGGAATTTGGTTACGACTGGGGTGTAAATTAGTTTTTTCTTTTATTAAAAAACATTTCCTTTTAAAACAAAATACTTGTTTAAGGAATTCATTTCGAAGCCGTAAAGCGGCCCTCGACTTCAACCGAGAAGTGTGAGTGTATAATATGGCCTTTGGAAATTTATACCGTCGAAACCGCTGTAACGACAAATGTGTTGTAAATGAAATCAAACAGGATAATATTTTTCTTGTCATTTAAAAAGTTCCAAGACTTCAATGAGTTGGTTTTTATTTATAAAAAACAATGAAACGTTTTTTTTCTGTTTAAATAAACGTAATGTGTATTGGTTTAATCAACAGTGTAACAGTGACATATTTTATCTAAATAAACCATAATTCCTTTTTAATTTCGTTTGAATTTTTTTTCTATAGGGTTTTGTTTTTTAGCTGCAATGAGAAGCTCAGAAATAATGGTCTTACAGTGATTTAGGAATTTTCATTTTCGCTTACAGCTACAAGATATTTTTAAATCTTGTATAGTTATTTGAGTTTTAAAACAGTCGTTATCCTATTTTATTGAGGTTATTACCAAATACTGATAGTGAAACATTTAAAAGAGTTTTTGAATATCAAACAACTAAAATATTTAATGTTTTTACTAGGTCCTTATATATATGGCCAATTTACCGAAATTATTGAAAACCGATATTATTTGTATTTCATAAGATTATAAATTTCATTTGAAATATTTTTTAATAAAATGCATTATTTTGCAAAAAAAAAAAAAATGTAATTAACTTCTAGGTTTTATTTTACTTTAAAATTTATTTAAAATTGCAATCTAATTTATTGCAACATATTAAGCAAATTAATTCTATTCGATTCAAACACACTCGTATATTTTAATAGGTACCGTCGCATTATACTTTTAGAATTAAATCAAAACCCGGAATGCATCACAGTACACTAGCATTACCCTAGTACCTACTTCAATTTAAATCATTTGGAATTGACAGTGTGTGTGAACTTTAGAGAATTATAACAGCTGTAGCACTGCGAAGCCTAATAGGTATTATTTGTTTATGAGCTCATAGATGTTTCCTAGATTGAATTAATATTCACCCCGTTTAACGCAAATAGGAGTGGAATAGTGATTTTCAAAGTGCTATTAAATATTTTAAGCATCATAAAATATAAATTCAAGTACAATCGATCAAAATGTATAGTCGTAATAATAGGTCACGCAATTTCAACATTTCTAGAACTTTAGAATTTATCAAAAAAGATAATGAATTTAATATTGTTTTATTGTTTAAAATAACATTAACTAAAATATCTTAATGAAGAAAAATGACTAAAGTTTAATTTATTTTCATGGAAAATGAATGTTACCGTGTATAAACAACTGTTAATAATAGAGTATATTTATATATTTTTTGTTTTAAGCTTTTACCTCCAAAAGGTTTTAACTGTATACAATTTCTGATTTATGCGTTGATTTAGTAAATTGTCCTAGAGGTTCCAAAGTTACAGTGGACATAAAGAAACAAAAAACAAATCGAAGTAAGTAAAAAAGGTCATTTTGAAATTTATCCATTACAAAGAGCTGCTAAGTCAGCCCTAAATATATCATGGAAATTTGTATAAAACCAAATAATACGACCGAGCCTAAGTACAAACATGTAAGCGAGACAATGGATAATTACAGCGGCTTAATGTAAAATGTATTTTCTATAGAACAAATAGTGTAACGAGAACATTACAGAATACAAACTGGGCAGGGGCAAAGGGCATGTACAATTGGTATATTGCACTTTCAACTTAAACCCCCCCCCCAAAAAAAAAAAGGATCCGGATTTAAATATATTGCGGGTAAGAAGTGTCACGTGTATAAGACTTTTTATTTACAATATTGCACATTAAAAGGGTGCTTGGTATGGTGGACTAGGGGAGGGTAAAGCGTTTGATTAATGAACGAACATTAAAATTCAATTAGGAGCTGCTCGTTCATCTCACCCTGCCGAATTAGAAGGGTTGCGGTGGTTGTGTTAGAGTATAGCCACGTATGTTCACCGGAGTCCTCCCGGGAATGTTTATCGTGTCGCCTGCACTTGTGTTTACACACATACACCCTCGTTTCATTTATCGTTTGGATGCAAGAGATGATTTCAGAAACATCTGGAGACGACCCTCAACAACAGTAGCGGATAGTCCTGTACTACAATTTTGACAGAGACCGACAAATGAGAATGGACTTACTTACACGATCCCGGATGTATAATTGCTACCATATTACTTATATACACCCTAAAAAACAGAATCTGCAACTAAAATGTAATCATATGTAAGGTCCACCAAAAGAAATAGGCTACCGTATAACATATTATCTGGATGTAAATTTCCCTATACCAACAGCCACTCTTTTAGGACCAAAACTTTATAACTGTTAGAAGAGTGTGTACTTGTTTTCTCTTAAGTATACCTAAGCACTTGGTAACGTCTAAAACTAATATTATTTTTAGTCGTTACTCGGCAACTACCGGCTAGCTGGCCGTAATAATAAAACGTTAATTAAGTTTTTAATATTTTTGATCAGGTAAATAAAAATACATATTTTATTGTATAAGGGTCTATGGACCTTGAAAGTATACAGTGAAAAACCCGTATCCCATTTTCGGTGCGGTTTGAATGTAAATTTTTAACTGTACAGCTTACAAGCTAAAAAAAACATATTTAGGTAATATGAGTAGTTTGTTGATCTAAGGTTTAACTCAGAATAGATTATGACGAGTATATGAGATTATCTTATTATAGATAATTCCATTTTTCACAGCTTGTATAGGATATTTGCGAAATTAGGGCGCTAAAAATAGTTTTTTTTTTAAATTTGTTAATGGGCGTTGGTGTTTAAACATTCGAAAACCTATTAGTTCCTAGTGTTTTAACTCTAAGCATATATATATATATATATATATATATATATATATATAAAATATTATGAATTTACGTTTGAGATGTTATTTCAATGGGATACGACGTTTCATTTTTTTTTAAGAACGGGCAGTATAACGGGATTTCGTATTATATAAACTGGCGGAGTTATTGTGTTAATACAAACTAAGAAAAATAAAAGAGCTGGGTATGAGTAATATGAAAGTAAATATTGCACAACATGTATACCGATATTTGTTATTATTTTGTCAACTTTGAAAAAACTTTAGCGAGTATTAGGCAACAAAATATTAAATAGGATTAAAACGTTTTAGAAGGTGTATACACAGGTTTATAATGATTGCATCTCGCTGGCTTTTAGTTGAAAACAAAAAAACATAATTCCCTGGAAAACGAAAACAATTTCACGGAATTTGCACAAAATTCTAAAATTAATCATAAAACAAATTAATTATTTTTTAGTTATCTGCGCTACGTAGCCGGGATTTTGAAGTATAAAACTTGAATGAAAAAAAAAATAGTATAGGTTCTAAAAAATAAAAAAGTAATTATAAAAACGTTTTTTTATCGCGAAAACGTAGATGTACAACAGCAGTTCATTAAATTTTAATCGCGTTAGTTAATTGCATTACGATAAATGTACAAGTTAAAGCCATATAACGTTTTAATTAACTGAAAATTAATAGTAGTAGCATTACAGTGCGCTAAAACCATTGTTCTTATAACGCGTCACGTTAGACACGGATATTACGTCTTATTATGTGTAGTTCGATAAATATTTTATTATACCAAACATCAGACATGACCCAAAACAATAAGAATATGTTTCAAAATTATAATATTTTCGAATAATGTAAAATATTTCAAAACTTAATTTTGGCAGAAAATAAGGTACACATTAAGAATTCAAAGAGTTTTAAAATGCCGTCATATTTTTTTTTTTTTTTTTAATATATAACTTTGCCGTGTGAGAATGAGAGTGAGAAAAAGATCATCAGCAGAGAACGAAATTGAAACTAGGTGAAGACCTATTGAACTGCTAAGAGCAGTTCAATTTCTCTCGATCCTAGATTGGAATTCCAACCATTTGTGACAATTTTTTTTAGACGTGACACTTTTGAGTAGAAGACGTTTATTTTAGTTTTCTGAGTACGCTTACCGTTCGATGCCAGTCAACCGAGGGTGTCTGTACTTGCGCGACAAAAGCAAACCACCTCCCCAAGCAGCATCCACGTGCAACCACATTTTGTATTTTTCGCATATATCGGCGATTTCGTTGATGGGATCGAAGGCTCCCAGCACGGTTGTACCGGCCGTACAAGTGACGAAAAACGGTAGGTGGCCCTTGGATTTTCTTTCCAAAATAAGTCTCTCCAGTTCCGCGGGTATCATGCGGCCCCTACAACACAAACGCAATAGTAGATTTTGTCAAAAACTGTATTAATAAAACATATTAGTAATCATAGATAGACGATAGTTAAGTTTGATAATGCCTCTCGCGTATAAGACCTGTACGACCTGATCAACGACTAACAACGCTGTGAAACGCTTTGGATCAAAAAGTTTGCTAATTACTTTCACTATCGGAAAAATTACTGAGTGATGCTTTCGAATAGTAAGAGCTATTCGAGCTATATGCCAAATAGAAAAAGGGACTCGATTATATGCATCGTCTTTAATTTAAATTATATTTAACAATATTAAATTATACAAAAACGGATTTTTATCATGCTAAATTTTTTTAAAAATAGATTATTATCTTGGCATTCTTTACAATGTTATTTTCCCTATAATTGGGATAACCCAGGGAATAGCGGTTCTGTGCATTTTCACTGGTTCAATATTTTCCTATTATTATTTTTTCTTCACATAACGAATAAAACAATGATGGCGTGGACATTTCAAGAAACATCCACAATTTCACATTGAATATGTGTACTTTTTTTTATTAGTGTACAAGAATCAACATTACTTTTTCTGCGCACAAGAGCTCATTAGGCAACAGTAATAATGTTTTGTAACTGACTTATAATTATTGACTTTTACATATTTTATTACCTTTCATCTGACGGCACTTCAACGCAGTTATCAGTTCCCAGGCCGCAGACGGACGCACAGCTCTTCACCGAATAATGAGACTGTGAACAATAATTGCACACGGTTTTAGAGAGTTCCAGCAGATGTTTAATCTGTCAGTGTATCACCCCAAGGCTGGGCGTCGATTCGCTGAACGGGGTTCGACTTGCTAAGTGCAAAATTCGCAGAGCACAACATCTGTCGTTGTTCTCTCGGCAGATTTGCACTTTTTTATTCATACACATTTTATTATAGTCTAACAACTTTTCCCTTGGAGAAAGAAAGTCGCGCGAAACGCTGGTGTACAGCTCACTCAGCCTCGAGGCTAACAGACTTTTGAAATAAAAATAAATATATATATAGGTCACGACAAGGCATGGCATTAATAAAAGCTCAACCGGATGAGCGATTGTTACGCGCAAACATCTGGCTGTTGTACAAATATTAATTTCTACCCTCGTCTCTATCAATCTTCGCTTCTATGTGCATTACTGTTGATATTATTACTATATTCCGAAGTTGGTGCTGAACGTCTCGCATTTTAGATGCAAAATTAAAAAAATTCCCACTCATTGGCATAGCTCTGCAAAGAGGGTGGTGACGACGACGGTCATTGTTCGTTCGCAGTTCAATTTCTAGTTCGTTGCACACAAGCTAGTATTTTTATTTGTCCCTATATAGTCAGCACCAACGCCGATTGTCTGGTCTCTATATATATAATATTTATCCCCAAAACATGTGCGCGCAAACTTAGCGGACTCTTTTGTTTGGCACACTCGGTCGGTGTTTTTCTAAAGGTCTTTTGTGAACGCCCACAAGACTCTTGGATCATCGCCGAGGCGGTGGCAAAAACGCTAACCGATTCTGCATCATAAGTCACTACATAATTACTTTCTGATGATCAAAAAGCACAAAAGTTGTATAACAATAGGTTTTAGGTGATAAATGTATATATATTTTCAAGTTAATAGATTTTAGTCTGTCGTAAGTGCTGAAGATGACAACATGTATTATTTTATGGTTAAGAGGGCGGCATACTTGGTTACAACACTCAAAAAGGCTCTGCATAAAGTGAAAAAATGATCTTGTAAAAACTAGTCTTGGGCAGATATGAACTGGGTATTGGTTGTCTTAGGCGGAATTTAAAAAAAATATTGACTCTTTTAAACACACAAAGAATTTGAGATACACGGAGGCCGGAGCCTAATTCGGCTGGCCAATTCAGAAAGATTTATAGATGATGTTTACACGTAGGTTTCTATCAGCTTCGGTATGCAACTCAATGATTATTAGTGTAACCCCGTGATTATGGTTTCAATTATATTATTATTGAAGCTTCGTTGTTAGCATCGGTGATATTGAATTGAGTCCCAAATATTGAATTGAGTCCCACGAATATTTTTGGGTTGTCGGAATTGAGTCCAACAAATATTTTTTTGGTTGTATGAGTTGAGTCCCTTCAGCCTATTAGCGTTATTCAGGAGACACCACGGGAGGTTGGCTGGAGTCTCCCAAAAATGTATGTGCTTGCTTACACTGTTTATAAATGGTCATATAAAAACTTTCAATTTTAATCATTTTTTAAAATAAATAAAATAATGACGAAATTTAAATAGTCGCTGTTAAATATTTCAATGAAACTGATTTCAAATAGTCAAATCTGCGAATTTTTTATTTTGATATTTGATAATCTGCTCCCGTAAAAATTGTTCTTTTTCCAATGTTTTTTTACATGGTTTTGTTGCATTGCTTCGTATTTTTATGTAGGTATCTGACTGTATGCCCAGAAGAGTGTCAACAAGAATAAAAATATTCGGATGTCCTGAGTGAAACAATGTATTTAATTTTGCATGAAAACTTTCACAACTGTTAGTTGTCCGATTAGTGCTTGCTGAAAAATCACACCAAATTTTGGGGGGAAACTGTCCAACTTCATTGTCAATGTAAAATTGTCAATTATCTAAAATGTAATCTGTGAAACAGTCAATTTTATCATCATCACATGGTTCACCATCAAATCTTCCGTGAAACATTCAACTACGTCATTTTCGTTTAAAAATGGCAATCCGAAAAAGTACTTGAGATATCTACTTTTCTCAGAATTAGACTTATATTTCTTAGACAGACCAAACTTCTGAATTTTTCGCCGCCAGCTTTACTTTACCAACACCATTATTTGGGACTCGATTCAATATAGTCCGTCCAAATTCCCTGCTAATAATAGCAAAGGAGACTATGCTTACGTACGACAAAAACGCATACGTTTTTGCTTACGTACGACTATGCTTATCTACGTAATCAATTCAAACATATTTAGATAATAAACTGGATTCAATTCAAATAACTAAAAGTAGGATGGACTCAATTCGATGTTATCCGTTAGCATACGGCATTGACTAGATAATATTCTCATTACAATTCAATCATCTCTAAACAAGTTAACAGATTCTGTCACTCGTTTCGAGAAACCCGGGCGTGACTACTGACAAGATGTCGAGGCTTACTTGATTCGATGTGTACATGACCAGTTGTCCTTTGATGGAATGAAGCCCTTGCTCTTTGTAGCCGGGGAACATTTTGTGGCGGGCTGCCAGAAACGCGTACAAATTAGATATCGATCCACCTGAGAAAAAAAAAACATTTTAAGCAGAAGATGACCGACTAATATTTAGACGTTTCATTGACGGCGTGCTTCTCACCCGGAGCCAAAATCGAGTCACCACCTTTCCATCCGATGATCTCTCGCATCTTGGCCAATACCACGCTCTCCATCAAAATAAACACCGGTGCGATTTCATACGTGAACATGTTTGTATTGGCCGTGGCCGTCAACCATTCGCCTGCCATGGATACGATGTCCAGACCGCACGACAATTGGTTAAAGAACCTGGGATGTCCTAAAAAAAAAAAAATAAAAAAAGCATAAACATTTGTCTCTTTATTTCCCTAATGGAATCTTTGATTAGAATATACCATTTTGGCCAATTCTATCTATCCATCGGTTTGTAAATTACATTTGTAACGAAAATGAGCAATTAATAGAGAACAATTTATCGCGAGACAGTTTATAGTGGCCTACAGTTATAATTGATAAAAGTATTTAGATCTATGATTATCTATTATGATGATGGATTCAGATCAATGTTCTGTCGCTAGCCTCTATAAATATTGAAGCTAGTATTAATAGAGTATTACTCGGTTAGTTAATTGCATAAAATGAAATTCAAAATAACTATATTTTTGACATTATATAATTACAACATTGTAAAATTAAATATTACTATTTATGAGTTTCACGTTTCCCCAATAATAATATTTAATGTACATTAATATATACAATCAATAATGGATTAAAACAAAATATCCTAGAACCGGAAGGACAAATCAACCTTCAGTTTATACTTTATTTCTATCTACTTTGTCATATTTGAAGCACTCTAGAAATAACCACATAAGAGAAGAGAATACATTTAGTAACTTGCTGAATTGTGAGTCAATATAATTGAATTATTAAACAATGCTAGCCAAGTGGGCATGTAGACTTTTCGATTTTTAATTTTTACAATACTTTAAGATTTTTAAGGCCATTAATACTTAAATACCAAAGAAAAAAAACGACTTTTTAGTATTTATTTATAACATGGATTTTTTTTTAATTGTATAGCATTTGGAAATTTGTACAAAGTTATCTAATAATAATTAGGATTTACGCTTGTTCTTATATAGTATATACAACGTATTTGCGTTGTAGTTACTAGTTAGGTAAAGTGAAATACAACAAAGATAGGCAGTGATGGATTAAGCACGTCGAAAGTTAGGAAAAACATGAAATAGTATAAAGGGTAAAAAAAAAATTGTAGGTGTTAGAAGTAGAAATAGAATATAGACCGAATAAGTAGTATGTGGACATAATAAATAATAATTTGTATAGATATGTGTGGTGAGTGACTTTGTGACAGAGATATTTGGAGAGAGAGAAGACTTCTTTGTTGATTGCTACCTAGTTTTGATTCAGCTGTTTTTCATACATTTAGTTTAGTATACTTATTAAAGTACTTAATACGTCTTATAAATAAGCCCTTATAGTTGTCAATTTTTAAATTACTAATTTGTCTATCAATTGAAGTCGGATTATTGTTAGTGGTTTATTCGCTTAGCTATTAATTTTTTACTTATTTATGTATACTATAGTGCAATATAATTAGTAGATAGTCTGATAAATGTAATAGCCTACACGACGTGTACCTACGTACAAATATTTTGGCCAAAAAACATTAAATTAAAAATAGTATTAAATGGAATAACAAATATACGTTTATTATACAGAGCTTGACAGTAAAGAGTCTACATTTTTTTCCATAAAAAATTAATTTTAACCGATACATAGCCAAAATGTCAATATCGTCACGTTAAGTCGATATTAGTTAAAAATAAAGGGTTCAGTAAAGTTTTTAAGTAATTAGTTAATTTTTTGGTGGCCTGCAGTGATGAAATTAACTTTAAATTCTTTAGGGAAGGGATTTCTATCATAAAACAACATCTTAATTTGTTATAAGTAAATTAACAACACTTTTAAACTTTACGATTTTATAAAACATTTTGAGAGAACTTCCAATGATTCAGGAATATTAGAGAGGGATATTAATAAATATGAGAGTGTAATCATAGGTTGGCAGCAGGGTCCAAATAAAATAACGGAGAAAATTCACATTTTTTCTCTCTACATTTTTTTCAATATATCTAAACGGTGGTTGAAATTGGACTCATTACAAGTAAACAGCTACCAATTCGTGGGCACATGATTCCTTCAAAATTGAAGGATATTAATTTAACCATATCAAATACATTTTAAATTTCTAATGTAGTCTAATTAAATTTAACTTCACCTTGAAACAAACGAAATGTGCCCCAAAACGATGGCACAAAACAGGTACAGATAACCAGCGTACGGGGGTAGAATACACATTTCATGTGTGCTATTAAATATTTAATTATCACAAGAAAATAATAAGCGTGGAGTTCATTTTTCCACGATCTATTAATTGAAACCAGTACGTTAGTACCGGCACTATGAATTTATAGTGAATTAAAACTAAGAACACCGTCCCAATACTACCTTGGAGTAATATACTAATTATTAATACTGCTCGAGGGAAAGGGGAGAGGGTAATTCGGTACGTGCTATACACGCGAAAAATAATTTAATAACGTAAGATAGTAAAAAAAGCGTTTTAATTAAGTATTATCTAGTATTGAAATATACCGTTATTAAAAATCGAATGATATGTATTTAAGACGTCGACCAAATATTTTATCTTAGTTGTATGAAGTCAAACGTTCATTAAGGAGCTTTTTTTTTTTTTAAAAAAAAAGGTAATGTAATCATGCCATATTATCGTTTAACATATTGTGTTATATATATATGTATGTTATTTTTTTTGTTGAAAAATACATCTATTAGCTTCGGTGGGGAGCTGAGAGAGTAATGTTTTTAATATTTCTTTGAAATTACTGCGTACTATAACTTTTTTAAAAATAGTCGAAGTAGTTCCAAATTTGTATTGAACATCCTTTAGATGTAGTACTATCGATATACTCTGACAAAACAAAAAAAATATAATAAGTTTCGTCTCCACTTTGTCCCGACCTTACTGAGCTCGCTTCTTTTTACTTGTAAACGACAGCACAAATATTCTGTTTTAGCTAAAAATAAAATAGTTTTTTTTTGGTCTCATCTCATTCCAGTAAGAAAAGCCACCCTAATAATATCCGTCCAAACATTTTTACAATTTACCAATTTTTTACCTTCTTTACATAATCTTAATATCATTCGAATCTATCTCATCCGTTTGCTTATTTCATATACCTACCTCCGATAAACTGATGTTGTTACTTTGTTACAAATGTTGTAAGCATGTATTGTTCTGTGTAATCGTATCATTTTTATCTATTTATCTGATTATCATTATCCATAGTGTCGAAAATGAACGCGATTTCAATATTTATGAGTATGCTCATTGTCGCCGAGTCAATAGGACTTAACGATTCGTTTGATACAGATTATGGATCTGATGCCGATTTGATGTGTTACCTAAATACGATAACATGTAAAAAACAAGAATATGAAGATTGCATCTTCGAAACGTCCGGAGAATTACCGCCAAACTTCAATTTTATGAGCCAGGTAAATTTACGGTTTCTTTTAACTTTGTCTAATCACTAATACCTAACGGTAACCTAACATTATCTACCCGTCTAAACTTGACATGGTCCTAAGTCTTTCCTAATAGGCCGCATCGCTAATTACAGAATAATATTATAGTAAAAACATCAACCCAATATTATAATCTAAATATTATTATTATTAAGTACATAATTATAATATTTGGTAATATTTCCGATTTACTTAACATAGCCTAACTTACATTAACTTTACTTGAACATGATACAAAGTAGGTAGAATGAATAACAGGAATTTATTTTTATTTCAATGTTAATACCTAATAATTATTTTATTCGTTATTTTTTGTATGGTTAGAGATACGGTCACACCGAAAGTCGTATAAAAACATGACTGGGGCCATGCGGACTGTATATTATATTTTTAAGTTAAGAGAGTTAGAGCATTTTGACCTCTCAGCTCTACTTATATCTTCTGGGTTAACATCATTTTTAAAAAACCAAAATTTGCAAATATTTTCTGATACAAATTAAGAAGGCCAAACAAATACGAAATTTACATGGTAAAAATAGCAAATCCTGCATTGAGAAACTACACGTGATGCAGTGTCGCTAATTTTATTTATACTTAGCTTACACTGCGTGTACTAATTTTATTCTCTATCGTGAAATTCTCATTAAAGATATCGTTTAAAATTTGTTTATTAGAAAATCTAATGAGAAGTTAATTTTCATCGTCCATGTCATCTTACCTACATTTTTATACTTAACATAAGTGAAGAGTTGCTAAATATTATATTATGCATTCGCTTTATTTATATTCACTATTAGATGTTCAAGTGTATTTTTAATTTATTACATGACACATATGCGTGTTATCTACCATATTAGGTGCTGTACAATAACCCTAGCTGTATTCTCCTATACTATTTTATTGCTATTGTTATTTGTAATTTGTTTTTCAGGAAAATTTTGAGTCTCTTAGTCCCGGTGAAAAGGTACCCCAGGGCCTGGGTGGCTTGTGTAGAGACATAAACTCCAGGTTTATGTGTGTCTACGCTCAAAATGAAGATGATTTGGAGCTGATATGTGCACAGCCCTCATCCAACAATGAATCACCACCAGTTGAATCTATGTCGGATCCAGAACTAACACCTATTCAACCTGTGCCAGGTTCCGACCTACTGCCAATTGAATCTGTGACGGATTCTGAACTACAACTAAATCAGTCTGAAATGAATAGAGCTCAACTGCAAATTCAATCTGTGCCGGGTCCTGAACTATCACTAACTCAGTCTGAAATGGATAGAGCTCAACTACAAATTCAATCTGAGCCGGGTCCTGAACTACCACCAACTCAGTCAGAAATGAATAGAGCTCAACTACAAATTCAATCTGTGTCGGGTCCTGAACTACCACCAACTCAGTCTGAAATGGATAGACTACAACTACAAATTCAATCTGTGCCGGGTCTTGAACTACCACCAAGTCAGTCTGAAATGGATAGAGCTCAACTACAAATTCAATCTGTGCCGGGTCCTGAACTACCACCAACTCAGTCTGAAATGGATAGACTTCAACTACAAATTCAATCTTTGCCGGATCCTAATGAATCAAAAACTCCACTTTCTCTGCCACGTTTACTTAAACAACCAATTCAACCTATGCCGGATCTTGATCTATCACTAACTCAGTCTGTGCTGGATAGAGTTCCATT